ATAGCCTAGACTCTCTAGGAGCCTCGTAATAAAGTCGATAAATATCTCGCTCTATATTCGATTCGATACGAATAAAAGTTTTAGGAATTCTTATTTTCTTTTCCTCTAAACTTTTATTCGTTCGTAGATATTATAGTTTCGTATAAATTATCGAATATTCTATAGTTTTTTCGGCTAGAAGAATTATCTTACTATTAAAGAGCTCGTTACCTTCCGCTCGAAGTATTCGCTAATTATTAAGTCGTAGGTTTCTTAAATTAAGAATATACGTAAAGGTTCTAAGTTCGAAATCTATAGTCTTCTATAAAAGCGTACGTTTCCTTAGCTATTAATTATATACTTAGCGATAGATACTTTTATCGCTAGAAACGATAGAAACTTCGATACTTCTCGAGTAATTAAATCCTTAATCTACTCGTACGTTTCGTCCGACTCTACTACCGTAAACTAGTTAGTATTAACTATATTACTCGCTAGTTAGTCTTCGGTAGAAAGTTCCTCTACTTATACGAAAGCTACTTAAATCGTTCCTTTCGCGTCGAAGAACTCCGGCTTTAGTAGTCTTATCGTACGATACTATAGTCGGTCGTCCTCCTCTTCTTTCGATATATTTTATTTTCTTCGCGATAGCGCGTCGGCTTATACGTTATTCTTTCCTTTAAAGTAGAAGATCGTAAAGTTATATTATAAGAAAATAAGAGACTACTATATTTATTTCTTTATAAGCTTTTATATAATTATAAAGTATTCTAGATTCTTATAATCTAATTATATCTCGAACTTATCTATACTCCTTAACTTAGCGTTCTATTCTTTAAGATAACGTATAATAGCTAGTATTTCTTTATTATATATTTTATAGTTATATTCCGCGAATAAGTTCTTTTTTAAAAAGAATACGTAGAGTTATACGAAATCGTCTTCTTCTACCTAGAATAAGGTACTATCTATATACTATTTAGAAGTATTAACTTCTAGGAATATTTCTTTCGTATAGATAAATAGAGCGAAGATCGAAGCTATTATAAATATCTTTTTTAGTCGTACGAACGCTATATCGGCTTCCGAATTTTAATAGAAAGTCGAATTTTTTTATACGAGTTTTATAATTAGTAGAATTATCTTCGAGAAACCCTTAATAAACTTTCGGTAGAAGTTTACGAAATCGATAAAATTCTAGACGCCTTTAATAGACTTAGAAGCTTACTATTCTTAGATTATAATAACCTTTACTAAGTTTATTTATACGCCTTATTTCGCGTCGATAATAAATTCTAAGTACTTTACTAACTTAACTTCGAACTCGTATTTATTAATATCGACCTAAAGTCCTACTTCGCGGAGTCGACTTAGAACTTTTCGTATATAGTTTTAATACTTTCGTTATATTTTCGAAGAATAGATTAGAATATTATCTATATACGCTAAGTAGAAAATACTAAGGTAATCTCGTAAGACTTAATTAATATACTTCTAGAACGTATTAGGCGCGTTAGTAAGTCTAAAAGAAGTAACTAGCTATTCGAAAAGGCTATATCTTATACGAAATACTATTATCTACTCGTCTCTTTCTATAATTCGAATTTTATAAAAGGTCGCGATAATATTAAGCTTTATATACTACTTTACTTATTCGATATTTCGTAGAGTCTCGTAGATTAGTAATAATAAGTATCGATTCTTCTTCGTTAATTTATTTAGTCCTCGATAGTTAATATAGAATCGTAATCCTCCTCCTAGCTTTCGTACGAAGAAAACTAGAGCCGCCGTTAACGAGTTACTTACTTTAATAAATTCCTTATTAAGAAGTTTAGTAAGTATACGTCGTAGTATTAAGAGTTCGTCTCGAGATATATTATATAGCGAACTCTACGGAACTTAAGGTTTCTTTTCGTCTTTTAGTTCGAGGTCGATCGCGTAGTCGATTTCCTTTTCTCGTAAAGGAGATAACTTTTCTACTTTCGTACGACTAAAGACGTTTAAGAAATAGTAGTACTATTAAGGAAGCTTCGTACGCGAATTAGTAGACGTCTTTACTCTAAGTACTTTTTTAATATTCGCTATCGTCGCCGAGAATACCTAAGTTTTCGTACGCTTCTTACTTTTCTAAGCTAGTAGACCGAATACTATAATAAAGACCTAGCTATAGTCTAAAGGCGTATATAGTTTTCGTAGTATATTATAGATCTTTAGATCGAAATAGCTTATTAAGAAAGAATCGTTCGCGACGCTAAAATATACGTCGTTCTTCTTTATTTAGGGTAGCTTAAGGATAATTTCGTACGCTAGGTTCGAAATAATATAAAAGAATACTATTTCCTTATAGCTATCGATATCGACTTTAATTTTCGCTACTTTAAAGATTTTAAATTATATAGAGAAGTCGAATTCGGAGATCGAACGAAGAATAATAAGAATACGCTCGAAAGAATAGCGAGAAGCGAAGCGAGAATTAATTAGATCGTATAATAAATAACTAGAATTAATTAGAATCGATATATAATATTACTTATCTAAAAGTAATAAAACTATAAAGGATTAATCGTCTATCGAGGGCCGAAAAGCCTTCTATTTCTTCTTCGTCTTCTTCGTACGCTCCTATCGACGACTTCTAGTAGGAACTACTCTTTTAATAGTTTCTTATTATCGTCTATAGTCTCTAGTACTACTACTTTCTTTTCTATCTTAAGTCGTACGACGGAAAAGAGAGGATATTTAACGATAAAGTAACTTCGTTAGCTATAGTAAAGATACGCTCTAAGCTCTCTTTTCTAGTTAAGTATCGTTTACGATACCTATAAAGCTTTCTATAGTTTCGCTAAGGACGCTATAGCTTATACTATCGGCGTCTAATTTATTTTATCTTTCGTACTACTAGTAGTACCGAATAGATTACTTCTAAATATCTTCTCTCTAGCTTTCTTCTATTAAAGAGCCTCTAGGTTTATACTAATCGTATAGAAGAGAGTATAGTACTCTCTATAGGTTAATAGAATTAGTATTATAACGAGAGCGCTCTTTAAGTCGTACGAAAGGTAGTTTAATATAAACGTCTTCTTTACTAAGTCGGCCTAGTCTAGTTCGTCGGCCTCGAGTAGCGTATAATTAAACTCGACGAGAAATACGCTAAAGGACTTTTCGTTCTACTTTAGCTAAGAAAGCTTTCGTAATACTTTCTCTACGACGTTAATATTCTCGTACGCCGCCTTTAATTAACTAATAAGTCCTTTCGTATTTATTTCGAGGGTTAATTATATAGAATTAACCTATAAGCTAACCTAGATAAGAGCGTAGCTCCTTAGTCTACTATAGAAATACTAAAATCGTATAACTTCGATTTCTTTTTACTTATTAACCGCTAACTTAGCTCGAGCTTAAGTAAGCTACGACCGAAACTTTAATCTTTTTCTATTAAATTTAACTAGCTTAGAGAGCTTAGCCTTTCGTCGTATAGAGTCGAATTCCTATATAGCGCTCGCCGTCGTAGAAGTCGTTACTTTAAGCGTACGAACTTATATTCTATTCTATTAGTCGAGTTAATTCTCGAGTACTATTATCCTTTAGTTTTAAGCCTATAAGAGCTAGTATAGCTCTACCGCCTACGCTAGAGCGGTTTTCGTTAATTACTATTCGTTATCTATTTCGTACGCGGTACTCTTTCGCTACGTACAATAGAAAGCTTTAGAATAATATAAGGATTTAGCTAGGAATTTAGAATAATTCGTCTAACTACCGTATAACGAGAATTCTAAAGCTAAGGAGAGAAAAGAAAAGAGAAAATCTATCTACTATACGAATAAAGGAAATACTTCCTAGCCTCTTCTATAGTAGATTAGTATAGTTTCCTAGGAGATAATCGATAGAGAAGAATTACATAGCTTCGGCTATATAGTTATATAGCCTAAAGGTATACTACGAGTAATCGCTCTAGGGCGTACTCTAGAGCTTTATACGGGTTTAACCCGTAATAGTTTAGATAGGAATTCTATAATTAACCTAACTACCGTATAACGAGGATTCTAAAGCTAAAGAAAGAAAAGAAGAATCTATCTACTATACGAGTAAAGGAAATATTCTCTCTTCTCTCCTATAGTAGATCGTATAGTCGCCTAGGAGATAATCGATAGAGGAAAGTTACGTGGAGGCGTTACTCGCCCTAGGGAGTACCTTAGGGCATTATACGGGTTTAACCCGTAATAAACTTAAGCTATTCTCTAGGGTATACTTAACCGTACGACTTTAAGCTGCTTACTTATTATAGTATTAAGATCTACCTTCGTAGGATTTCGTTCCTCATAGGGAAGCTAGTACGCAGGCCGAAGCAGCAACGAATTGAAATAGATGACTAAGGCTCTTGTGCCTAACTACGTAGGTGGGCATTCAATGCGCATGTTTCTTGCGTTAGTTTATTTACTCGTTCTATAATACCTATATACTATTCTACTTTAGACTCTAGTATAATAACTCTATTCTATATCTACCGACGACACATTTCTAAGCGACTCAGGAAATGTGCTCACTTATAGTTACTTACGGACTGAGCCTTGGTGTTGTAAAGACAGTACTAGGCGCCTCGGTGCTTTGAGGTTCTTCACCGCCTATAACGACGCCCCTACGACGCTAGTATCGACACTAATACATAGTCCATAACCTGACAGCCTCTACGGCTGGAATGGAGTCTCCCTGATTCCCAAGAACCATAAAATCCCAAGGCAAAGCATTTAAGTATAAATTCCATGAAGACCAAACTCTATCTCTACTCGTAGAAATAGACCATCTCATCCGCTTGTTTCATCCATACGACAACCCAACATGCAGCCCAAAATTATCAAACAGGCCTTAGCGTTTGCCTTTACTTTCCTTCATCTGGTTCTATGTCAGGCTGTAGGGAATATGTCAATGTTTCCACCGGAACTAAATGCCCTTCGTACAATCTCTGTGGGATTTGTAAATCGCGGCCTTCTCCTGATGATTCAATTGCATTTGCTCATCATGAATAGGTTGTATTCCCTGGCTTTGAGCTACTCGACGTTTTTGGACCCATGGAGATCTTGACAGCGGTAGGTGCAGACTTCGAATACATGTTAGACTTGGAGACTAAGAGAATCAGCTTTCTGTCTTCTACAAGCTCTCATTGTCCATCATTGCTGCAGAACCTGGTCTAGTGTCAGCTGGAATCCCCCCTTTTGCACATATGGCCGGAGCCCCTGAGTCGGATTTTGGATATGTCATAACGCCTTCAATCGAAGCTACACATTCATTTGACAATGCCCCACCAATCGACATCTTGTATGTGCCAGGTGGGTTGGGAGTCGTCACCCTTGACCAGGATAACGACACCTCTATTGAAGATTTTATCAATTTGCGGTATCCGAGAGCGGAATATTTGGTCGGCGTAAGCTTTGGCGTTGCTCCCCTTGCAAGGTCGGGTGTCTTGAATGGGAAAAGGGCTACGACAAACAAGTCAGGCTGGAAATGGATCACAGCGCATGGTGAAAATATTACCTGGGTGCCGCAGGCGAGATGGGTTGAAGACGGTAACATATGGACTACCTCTGGGATGGCTTCTAGTATGTGCACTATCAAGAATCTCGGTTTGCTGTAATGAGCCTTGCTGACACGTTAGAAGGTCTGGACGCTACTTATGCACTGTTTGAGATGCTGTATGGCCCGCGAACCATCAATTACATGACGAACGTGATTGAATATGCTCCTCATCTTGATCCTGAATGGGATCCTTACAGTGCAGTTTTCAACGTAAGTTCAACAGGCGATTCATGATTCTAAGCTCACTACCTACCTAGGTGCCGGGATCGGATGGTAATGCAACTGCGGCAGATTGTGTTGCTCCTCTACCAGTAGTTAGATAATCACGGTCATGGCGAGTTCAGTCATAAAAGACTTTATGAGGCAGTTGAGAGCATTATTACTTTATATTGGAAGGAACCGTCCATCATAGAGTAGCTGGCTACATTGTGCTTACTTAATTAGAGAGTTCCACATATCTTAAGTTTAGCCAGATAATGTAAAAGTTAAACAAATATAGCCTTCAAGAACGGTGGCTACGGTCACCTATCTAGATTCGTGCACCCTATCCTTTTTGCTTACGTCATGGCCGCCTGATGAGAATCTAAATACGTCCTTACGCTATCAATTATATTCTCGACCACATCATCAGGGATAGCACCCTCCTGCCACGTAAATCCAAATCCCCAATTCTCGTCGCTGGCCAGCACACAGACCACCAATGGCCCTCCAGCAGCATATGCACATCGACTGAGAAGTACTTTCCCTGCCTTCCAGATCGGAACGGATCCAGTCTGGAGATTCTTTGGCTGTGAAAAAGTGCCAAGGTTAGATACTTCAAAAGATTCGCTCCGAGTCCCACCAATCATAGCGGTCAAGACGGCGCTGAGGTCCGGAATGAGTTTGAATAAGGCTATGTTGGTGAACAACTGACCAGAAGGTGAAGTATTCGCAAAATACCTTCTCGTAGCTTGTTGGATTTTCCGGGCGTGAGTCCAAATGTCCAAAGAGCCGATAAGCTGGTCACTTGACTTTTGGGTGTTGTCGAGGTCGGAGCGAAGTAATTTAACCTTGAAGGCATCGATGAAATTTCCCATCACACCATCGACAAGACCACTTGGCAGATCCATGCGTAAGCTGACAGGGAGGTTGCAAAGCAAAGCTTCGACAGTTGGCGGAAGGTTGTTGAACAGTAATCTAGCGATTAGAGATGGGAGGGCAGTTGTTGGCGTTGTCTTGTGCTTCTTGCATTCCTGTGCGAAGCGCTGTACGACATCTGATTCTAAAGACAGTGACATATACCTTGTCTTGCAGGGCACTTGCACAGGGTTGCCCGTCCATTCCTTGACTCCCGTGGCATTAGCCTCCGGAGCTTCAGTTGGGATGGGCAGTGGATGAGCCTCTTCAAGGGATGGAGCAATGGGGTCATCGGAATTCGAGAAGATGACGCTGCTAGCCTCTACCTGTAATGGGGTTGACCCTGAAGTATTCGACAGGGCACTCTGGAATGAGTTTTGGAAGACTTGAAGACCAATACCATCGCTCATAGAATGATGAGCGATTAGACAAGCCGTAAATTCAAGCTGGACTCCTGGTTCTCGCAGAATAACCAATCGCCATACTGGCAGAGTACCGTAACCATCCTTGAAACTAGTGTTATGCTGACTCTCAAGCAATGAATCAAGCTCTTTGTCTCTCCCAATGCCGTCGATTGTCGAGGGCGTGCTTCGTTCAACGAAAGTCACGGCTTTCTTGATGTCAATCGATGGCAGACGGCCCCAGTAAGGCTCTGCGCCGCCCGCACCGACTGGAATGGCGAATAGTATGGGATGTGAACGGACCACATCTGCGACGGCAGTATATATGAGCTCTTCGACATTGGTCACTGGGTGAGACGATTTATAGTGCACGGATATCGCAGTATTCGTGAAGAAGCCTATGTGATGAGCGGCGGCGGCGATGTCCTCTAACTTGCCTGCCATGAACACCCTGTTAGAAATCTTTCGCCAGAGTTCATGGGGTCAGCATAGTACCTAGGGGCCGTATCTTTTTGAGCTTATATTCGGACATGATGCTAATCTTGCAAAACAACTCGAACTTTGCCTGCTACGCTGTGGTCTTAGATGCCCTACAAGCAGAAATCACACAGTGTACCCTACTCGAGAGAGCTTGAGACTTACTTTTAGCATGCCATCCGGAGAGTGTATTGCAGATACGGCGGTTTAGTCGGTCATTTCAAGACCATACGAGACGAGACTGTAACAGTTTTATCTATCGTGTAAAGTTTCTTCTGCCAACTAATCTAGGTTTTAAACTAGTTTCTATTGAGCATATTTAGTACTGGCAGGGGCTATGTAAAGCCCGTGAAACGGTAACGGTAACGACATGGTAATACTCCTTTACCCTTATCTCTTTGCTATTTCTTTTAGTCACAGCTGTTGTGTTTCTAAGCAGGCAAAATTATTTGCAGCACGGGGTACGGTTGTCTCCGATCTCTCATCCCCACCATCTAAACTTACGGACACATATTTACAGCAACACTCGTATATTTATGCTCATTATACTGATAACTAATGCATATGAGCAAATAAGTCACCATTCATTCCCATTGTTGGTCGCCCGTACAATATATCCCTAAGTACCACATATCCTTACCGCATGCTTTTCCTAAGAAGAAAAAAGGGATAGACCAAAGGTGTTTCACGCTGATGACTGTCCGTTCCGCAACTATGACGGCATATCCTTTTCCATATTCTCAAGCTGCAAAGCTTGATTCGAGGATTAAGATATCTCGTCCTATGTACGACCCTACTCTTGCTCCGATACTCGATGCTGCCTCCTTCCCAGAAGAGTTTGACCTTAACATCATGCGAGACGTTGCTAGTGGACACCAGAATTGCTCACATGGCACGTTCATTTTCAACGCAACAACCATTCTCAAGGATGAGCCGCATTTGACACATGCAGAGCACATCATTCTTGGACCAGACAATAACCCAATTATTCTTTCCATCTTCACACCAAAACAGCCGACAGTGGTTGCACGACCAGCTTTATACCACATCCACGGGGGTGGCATGGTCAGTGGAGACCGTTTCACTGCCTTAACCCCTGTGATTGATCTCCTCAAAGGTATCGACTGCGTGATCGTGTCGGTCGAGCATCGCCTTGCCCCGGAAACACATGCTCCTGGCCCAGCCGAAGATTGTTACGCTGGACTGGTCTGGGTTTCTGAGCATGCCACGAGCTTAGGAATCGACCCAGCGACAATTGTCGTGTTTGGTGTCTCTGGGGGAGGCGCACTGGCCGCCGCAACTTGCCTTATGGCTCGAGATAAGAAGGTCCCTGCAGTACCAATCAAAGCCCAGATGCTCTACTCGCCTCTGTTGGACGATCGATTGCAGACCTTGTCAGACCAGCAGTTTGAGTATGGTAATCCATCTAGCACGGCATGGATACGAAGGATCTGGGAGCTCGTCCTTGGTGAAGCCTACGGATCTAATCGAATCACACCATATCAGGCTCCAGCAAGGGAGGCCGACCTCTCGAATCTTCCGCCCGCATATATCGATGCTGGCGAATGTGAGGTGTTTCGCGATTCTTCCATCTCCTATGCCACAAAAATGTGGCAATGTGGATCAACTTGCGAACTGCACATCTGGCCAGGAGCCTGGCATGGTTTTGATATGTTGGATGACCCTAATATTCCTCTCATTCACATGGCCAACCAGGCAAAAAGTAATTGGTTCCAAAGGGTTCTGAAACCTGAGACTAAATAACAACTTTTCTGTATCTAGACCTTTCAACGACAAATCCAGCTAATTTTACCGACGATAGTAGAGATTCAATGACAAAATGCTTACTGGACGCATCCGGCCAAGCTTGGCACAAGCGGCCAACAATGCGGAAAAGACCCAGAAAAGAAATTTCTCAACCATCAAACCATTCTTCTTCCAGGCCAATCAAGCTTGTAGAGCCAATCATTAGATTGACAGAGGTTCCACTAAAACTCCACCATCCAAAATTACTGACCAAGTGTTGTGATGGCTGCATCTCTTGCAAGTGTTTTGTTAAATAATGGGGCTCCCTTTGATTTGCTGTTCTTCGTTGGCATTCATCGACTTATCCGCAGTTTTTGCTTTCTTTCCTGTCACTTCCTTATTACTTTCGTTATTGAGGACTCTCTTCTGCTTTGGCACTCGTGTGATCCAAAACAACAAGATGGCCGCCGCAACATTGAACAGTGTGTAGCACCAAAATATGCCGAAATTTCGCCAGCGCTCTGCGTAGTTGGCACTCACGCTTTTCAAAAAGCTGTTAGTATCATTGCCACTGCAAAAGACACATTCCGTGGTTGAGCCTATGCTATCCGGAGTGAGGTACCCACTAAATGCTTCAATATAGGGAGCAAGGTATGTGGAGCAATTCAACGATGATGGCGGCGAGAATCTCAGCAATTCTTCGGCGGTGCATGTAATGTGTGAGTTCGCAAGCCCCACGGACAATACCCCCGAGAAGAAATAGGTAAAAGGGGAAACGCGGTACATGAATATCCAGAAACCAGGCAAAGCCTCTGGGGTTGCTAGAACACTGGAAAATAGTCAGTAATTGCTTGTGAAATTCCGAAACTTAGTTTAGATAGGTAGAAGTACCCGCAGAAGATTAAAGACAAAGAATGCAACAAGTTCGTGAGATTACCGCCCGCCTCGGCTGTGTCTACTGCCGCCATGACCATGTTCGTGAAAGTTCCGGCAAACATCAAGAACGCAAGAATGAAGAGGAACATCAACGCTTCTCTTTCCGGACCTTGATTCGCCTCTAGTGCATTCTGACGTAATCCGATAGGGTAGTACCAGGAAATGAAAACGAGGAAAGCAGACACCATGTTCCATGGCATTTCCACTATCATCATTGAGAGGACAAATACCTTCCAGGAATAGGTCTTGGACGGGCTCTCTCGAGCTTCGTAGAGCATACGCTGGGAGACATAGTGAGGCATGATTTGTGAGCAGACATTGGTGAATATAACCAGCAACATAAAGATGGCAAACATTTGATTCTGGAGTCCCTGGAGGGAATTAGGCGTCTTCCAAAAAGAAAACCCGATGAATAATGCCTGGAATGACTTTAGCTGTATCCTGGAGCCTGTCTGGTATAATTAGACTTACGCTGAATAGACAGAGAGCAACTTTGCTGTACAAGTATGACGGTGTGCGCCAATACTGCTGAAATACGCGCTTCAGAACAACGCACAGCTGGGTTCCAAAAGGGGCTGCAAACGGGCGTAATGCATCGGGATCGTCAGGATTATTGGAAGTTGGCTGGGCAGAGAAGTTCATTTTCATGCGAGCAAGCTCAGCCTTTATGGCTGTGCGTTCTTCAGAGTCGCTCCAGATTACTGACCAATCCTTTGCGCCCCTGGACGAAGTAGTCGTCCCAGTAACTTCGAGCATCCATTCTGCTGGGTTCTCCCTGGCGCCGCACGATCTTGCTCCATGACGCTCGAAATAGCTGCGAACAGTCATGGAGGACTCACCGATCTCGCCAAAGTACAACGTCTTTCCCTCCAAAGAGAGAAGAAGAAGCTCATCGAATGCTTGGAACAGATGCGCTGAGGGCTGGTGAATGGTGCAAAGGATAGCTTGGCCGTTATCAGCAAGTCTTCGAAGCAGAGTGCATATAGACCAAGCTGTCTGGCTGTCGAGCCCTATAATGGAAACATCGTGGTCAGTAGGGTATCGACTTGGACATCTTAGCAACTAACCAGAAGTAGGCTCATCAAGAAAAAGCAACAAGGCAGGTTTGGCAGCAAGTTCAACTCCAATCGTCAGTCTCTTCCTTTGTTCAATATTCAGACCTGTAAAATTATTAGAAATCGTGAAGCACGTTCTTATAATATTTTGCCCCGCGGATTGATGATATATTATATGGCTGCTTACCTTCTCCTGGGACTCCAACAATCGCATCAGCATACGGCTCCATCTCGAGAACCTTGATGACTTGTTCGACATATGCAATCTTCTCAGCTCGTGAGGTAGTCCTCGGCTGCCGTAAAAGAGCACTGAAGGTCAATGCTTCTCTAACAGTAGTAGTAGCTAGATGCAAGTCCTGCTGTTGGACATATCCAGTTTTGCGTTGAAATCCTGTGTCTCGAGGCTGCCCACTTACTAAGAACTCACCACCAACAACGCCAAGCGTCGCCCTGGCAGCTAAAACATCAAGCAAAGTGGTCTTGCCAGCTCCAGTAACGCCCTGAAACACATGAATAAGCTTTTATTCGGCCCGACTGAGTTTCACAGAACTACCGACCATTAAAGCTGTGAGACGGCCCGGTTTAATCCATCCATCGACCTCATGTAGGAGTCTTCGCGTGTTCTTCTTGACTTTGATATCATAATCAACACCTCTCCACTGGAAAACTGCAGTCTGTCTTTGGAGACCAGAGGGGCATTGAAGCGCCGGGGTTTCTTGTCGCAGGATATCTGTATTAATCCGCTTTTCGGCATTGGCTTCTTCATCCGATTTGGATTCGATGTAAGGCACACGACCGCGCTGAAATAGGAGAACCTCGCCTTTTGACTTCTTTGCTGAGATATACTCGGTAGCTGTCAAATATACAGCGCAGCCAAAAGCCATCAATGCAATCATGATACCCAAGTTCCTGGAGGCCAATGTCATTATACTTGTCTTCTCCTTGACTCATTCCACCGCATTCACGAAATCTGAAAGAAACTACATACCTCCACAAATGGTCAGCATGGTAATGGAAGTTGACTGCGAGATAAGTATTTCCATCAAGAAAGTTTTCTCCCGTAGCCGCTCCAGTCGCTGCGCATATCCTCTCTTCTAGAGAAGCTCTATCATAATCAGGCCCCTCAGGAATGAACTTCGAGCATTCGATCGTCCGGTCGTGGAACTGGATATGTTAGTGGTTCGTCCTTGGAACAAATGATCAAACAGGTGCATCATTTCAATACTTCATTGATCATTAGTGCTTCAAAAGCATAGGCAACTGGGTTGAGATAATTGAGCCATCTGAACCACGGAGGCATATCTTTGACGGGGATTGTGAATCCTGTATAGATTGCAAGAGCGAGGCTGAATATGGACGCCGGCGCCAGAGCCTGATTCGTTAGCACGGAATTGGGTGAATAATGCACAGATGTACCTCTGGTAACGATCGAGACAATGCACCTATGCATCGAAAGTACATTGACATGGTCAATGTACAGGTAAAGGTAAAAAGCAAGAACACAAAGAAGTGACCTGGTGTACGCCGTAAATTTGTCATGAAGTAAAGGGTGAGATTGAATCCCAGAGAGGTAAGAATTTTGTTGGGTAGGTCGCAGATCATGGAAGCTTCAAAAGATCAGCTGAACAGATAGGCAAGTCACACATCGAGGGCTTACCGATTGCTTCAGCGAACGGGTGATAGAAGGCATACTTAGATTGTTTCTCCACAATCGGCCTCTGGGCGTACAAAGTCATGATCTGTTCAAAGTTAGGTCCGGTTCCGATCGCTAGCCCTGAACAGACCTCGAGAGCACTAGCAAAAGAAGCTAGCAGGATCGCAAAGAAGAGAAGGGCCCCACGACTGTAGAGTGAGTCTGTGTTATTTGGAAGATCGTAAAATATGCTGCCGATCACCAGCGCCATGATCACGTTGAAAAAGCCTCCGGCGATGACAGTCCCCATATCCCCTCGCAGTCTCTGAAATCCCCGTCGGACACACAATGACACCTGCTGTGACAGCGAAAGCGTGTATGGTGACTTAAGATGCCTAATCGAGTAAACAAAGATTAATTCAATAGATTCCGGTCCAACGGCTTAACATACTGTGATCCTGCTTGCGCAGCCCGACGAAAGTTCTTGAAGTGATCTAGAGATGGCCCTCCAACAGGATACTGCTTGTCGAACTCCTCGATTTCACGCATTAGGTGTAGGCAATCTTCGCTCTGTTTCCAGACGGCAGCAAACTCATCCGGTGTAACAGGTGTCTTCCCTTCAAAGCCTGGCCGAATTCGTCGTTCCAACGGGTTGGTTAACGATGTGAGGAAATCAGCAGTCAATTGCCGTGGTAGACACTCGAAGCCGAGATTGACAAAAAATCCTTTAGCTGCATGAATGTTTCCAAAATAAATCTGTTGTCCTGCGTAGAGCACAGCAACTTTATCGAAGAGCTTTGCACGTCAGTGGAGGTGCTAACTTGTTAACAGCAAGACTCACACCGTAGATAGATTCAGATGCTTGATACAACGTCACAATCGTAGTTGCTCCAGTGAGCGAAGTTGAGGTTTGAAGAGTTCGCACGAATTCAAGAGCAGTGGAACTGTCAAGTCCGCGCGTGCTATTGTCCCAACATTGTATAGTACTGCCGCCAATGGCACTGCAGATGATGTTAGTACAAAACTTTATAAGCATCCTCAGCAATATTGCCGCATAGTGGTCTGGATAGAGAAGAACAATCAATCGACCTCGACATCAAAAAGTTAACACATAGCGTCAGTGGCTCCCGAACTCTGAACCCTTCAGCTGTGCAACGATATAAAATGTCTGCTATACTGGTGAAATCTTACACTTCTGCGATACTAACACGTTTCCGTTCACCACCGGAGATACCCCTAACAAAGTCGCTGCCTACCTGGTGTCCGAATCAGTAAAAGCTGCTCAAAAATGCCCTTACATACGATTGTGTTTGCTGTATGGCTCAGGCCAAAAGCTGCCATGGCAACATCACGTAGATGTGTAGCGTATGTCTAGGCGAAGAATCAGCATTATCATGCCAAACACACGCTCCGGTAAACGGTGATATAGAGACCATACATCCTGAGTGACCACGGGCATGAGATTTTGGGGAGTCTTAGAGAAGTTAGTTCATCATGCGTTGAGTCCATCGATCGCAGCGACGTACCCTTGCACGAGCAGCAAAGTCGAGAGTCTGAGCCACGGTCAATTGTGGGAAGTGTGCATCGACTTCAGCTTGGTAGATGCACTCCCCTCTGAAGTCTTTATGCATAGTCTCCCTTGGGATGCCTTGATAGTTCAAATATGAATCCTTGCCGATATAAAATCCATCGGTTTCTCCAGAGATGGTCTTTAGCAACGTCGAACAACCACTGAAACTGTCAGCATTCCATAATTATTATACGAGCAAATTTGCCAGTGAAATTACCTTCCTGGTCTTCCCAACACCACAAGCATTTCTCCGCTTCTGACTAGGCCATCAAAATCTCTCAATATTTGTATTCTGGTCTTCTTCTCCTGACTAACGAGGCGTTTGGCCCATTTAAAGAGACCCAAAGGGTAGTTGCCGAACGTCTTCTGGTAATCCGTTTGGTTCCCTAAACCATGAGCCGAGAGATTCCTGTAAGCAATACCTGCGAGCCCTTTTGGATACCGTTCAAGGTCTCGAGATGTAATGTTCATGACTGCTTGCAGCCATGCTCTAACATTGAACTCTGTTGACTGTGGGTCGAGTTGCGGATTGTTGGACCCCAAAAAAGGGTTGGCTGCTTCAGACGTCTCGTCCTCGGCTTCGCCCAATGATGCTGGCTTTGCAACCACATCGACCTTGTCCATATCTATATCAGCCAGAGACAAAGGGGGCGCCATTATAGATTTATTCAAGTGTAAGTACCTGGTTGCTATCTTTAGACACCTCGACAGCTAGACCTGAACAGCATTCGTGGCCACCCTCGTCAACCGTGACCTCCTCGAAATAGCTGGGACGATCATTCTCGTACACAAGCTTCATCCTGGGATCGTTCTTGAATTCCCCCATCGGTGCGCTGACCCAATCGCCATCTGCCATTAATGCGACGCTGCAGTGCCATGGAGTGGTAAACCCGGTTTTTGTGTTTAGCAGACTCATGGATATCTTATGCTCACCGGTAGATTGATGAATAGAAAGACGTAAGTGGTCTCCAAAAGCGTGCTTGACAACGCTTGCAAAGGCCTGTCGGAGACCTATTTAGCCATGGCAACATATTAATTACAGATATATATGACGTTTACTCACGTATCCTCGAATGAGCATCTGTTTTGCGACATACCCCACGGCTTTCTTGTAGCTATGATTCGACCGGCCATCGCCAAGTGGGAAGATATACTTCAAATCGGACTCCAAGAATCTTCGATATCCAAGGTAAGTCATTTTTGTATCCGGGTTTGTAGCGATTTCGTAATCGATGTCAATATCGTCTTTCCCAAATTTATTGAAGATGAATCGTCGAAAATTGGTAGCATTAGCGACGTACGTAATCTCTTCCAACTTGTCTGGCAAAGGAAAGTCGACAAAATCTCGAAGCCGGGAGAACCTGATGCGATCGAACCCCTTCTCCAAAGCCATTGCTCGGAGGGCTTGTCCATATGCCCACGTGTCGCGATCCGATATGCTCAACAAGTCTGTAGAACGAATGAGTCTAGAATTCAACTGTTCCCAAGCAATCCACGGAATGTATAACAGACCATTGTAGACAAGACCATCTGAGATGATGGTACATCTTGCACCAGGTGCGTGGACTGTGCCAATACGCAGACACATGTCGTTTAATCGCTTGAGAGCAATCTCTTCAGCCTTGTCAGGCAAGATACCAAGAACCTTGTAGACTTTATTGGCCGACCTGGATACTTGTAGCATTAGTCTCCATTTCCACGCTTTGAAAACAGTTATAAGACGTGTTTTTAAGTGGGATAGTGTGCGTCTCAACAATCTGGGCGAGATAACCACAGTCTCAACTGAACAAATGGTCAGGATTACGCACTTGAAAGGAAACGCAGGCAAACATGTTTCCACCGGGGCTCCTACGGAAATAAACTTTTCGATGACTGACAGGAATCTCGGTCTACCGGCCTCAAGCCGTTGCCTTGAATCGCTAAATTTGTTCAGGGCATAGTCGAAGATGACTTCCAAGATTTTCAGAGAAGTGTCCGAAGTAGCAGATTCCACGACAGGAGGATCGCGAGAAGTCTCCCGTCCTGACGAAGTAGAGCTGGAGAGCTCCATTTCAGTTGTCTCGATGGCTGTTGTGCTGGAAGGTTTGATTAAATGATCATCACCCTCTTTAGGCGACTCGTGTGATACGGGAATAAGTTCCGTGTGTAAAGCATTGAGGACAGGTTCCATGGTACCAGATTTACCCGGAGATATAGTGTGCGGTTTGAGCTTCAGAGACAGCCAAAATTCAACAAAATGTAAGACCAAGTTACACCAATGGCTGTCAGGACGGAAGGATCAAAGCTGAGGTCTCTATAACGATGACAACCTATGATACTACATTAGATGCTTTGGTCTAACAAAATTCTACCGTGGACCTTAGCTCCTTCAAAGCCACAGGCATGTGGAAACAGCTTAGTCTAGCTAAGGAAAAAGGGGGCGAAAGTAATATCTACGCTTAAAGCAGGTAATGTGCTCACACTTTAGGGTTAATACCACCTGAGTAGAAATAGCATTAATTTCATTACACTAGCGAAATACAGTAACTTTCAGGTATTTGATTGAAAAGCAAGATACATCACTTTTGTCGTAGTTGGCCCTCTTACCAAAAATTTCGATCTAACTCATACAGATGGGATGTGAGAACCTCGCCTAAGCTCAATGCTTATAATGTGCTCACTCTCCAGGTCCTCCCAAGGTATGTTAGGATATCCGCGCACCGGCGTAGCAGCGGCCAGCCTGATCTAAGCCACGCTTTGAGCATGTTCTTACGAGGAAACGAGGAATTGTGGAATCTGGAGACAAATTAGGCCATTTCGTGAGCAGTAGGATCTAGATTGAAAGCATAGTGTCTGATGTGGAACGGCTGTTTCTACTCTGTGTAGACTGACGAACTCGTAATTAGTTGTTTTGGTCGGAAGGAGGGGACGACTTTTCTCAGAACTTCAAGGGCATTCTATTAGCGCGTTCAGCCATGTGCCCCTGCTCTTGGGATGGCACCTGTGGTAGTGGACCTTCCCTGGTGAAAATGAGCAACCTCAGACTCAATGGTTCGAACACTAAGACCAGCTTTTTCTGCCTTGTGAATGAGCATAACCTTCCGACTTTGGTACGTGGGTTCATTCATCATTACTAGTGGAAGTAGCTAGACAGTCGTGGATAACTTGCTTATATAATTTTAGGGCTTGAATTGTTTCATATCCAAATCAACCGTCAGATAGGTTACATCAAGTTTCTCTCCTCTTCTAGGTCGTAATCATGACGACCGATAACTCGATGGGATATGGCGAAAGGCTTATACCGCAAATACTAGATCGACTGGCTGCCTCAGATCCAGACCGAACGGTGTATTCAGTTGCAGAGTTTTCTGGCGATTCTCCCCAGTTCAGGCACACCTCTGCTCGGAACTTTGCAAAAGCGGTTGATAAGACAGCCTGGTGGATTCGTGAGAAAGTCGGAACCCATCATGAAAGCTCAAGCGGGCAAGAGAACGGCACTCAGAACGGTCAAAGCGAAGCACTTACAAAAATCATGCCCTTAGGTTATATCGGACCTCGTAAGTCTCGACATCCAGCGAAGAAAATACGAGGTCTTAACCAATCTATCAAGATGACTTGCGCTACATTCTACTGAGTTACGGGGCTGTCAAGGCTGGCTGTGCTGTAAGTATAGAAGTATCTCACAGAAAACGGCAAAGAAAGTTACTAAAGGGTTTCTCTCAGGCCCTTTTTCTTTCCCCAAAGAACAATGTTGAAGGCGCATTGGCTGTTCTTAATGCAGCGAACTGTAGCATATGGGTCAAGCCGCAAGAGCAGTCGATGCTTCCTCTAGTAGAAAAAGTCCTGCAGCGGAAATCCATGCAAGTTCTTGAGCTTCCAGGAGTTGATGAACTTCTTGATGCCGAGTCTATCGAGCCGTTCACCTATGACAAGACGTTCGAAAGCGCGAAAAATGATCCATTCTGTATTTTGCATACTTCCGGAACTACGGGTGTTCCCAAACCGATTTCGTGGACGCACGGTCTAATCAGCACTATGGATGCTGTGCGGCTGCTCCCACCCACTGAAGGTGATGGCGGACTTGTCCCATGGACAGACAACTGGAACGATGGTGATAGAATATATTCTTCGTTCCCTATGAGTCATGTGAGTATCTGGCCAAGGTTTTTGCTGAGCTACCATGAGTGCAACACTGACCTCTGCAAAGGGTGCTGGTATCATCATGGATATTCTCATGCCTTCGCTCTTCAACCTGCATTGTATTCTAGGACCGTCAGGCGTCCTACCTAACTTAGGACTCATCGAGTCGCTTGCAGATCATGCAAAGATTGATATCTGGAGCATGGTTCCATCTCTTGTAGACGAGTTGGGAGAGAGTCCCAACATCCTGGCAAAGTTCAATTCTTCAAAATTCATCTGTGCATCCGGCGGTGAGTGTTATGCTTCTATAGAAATACCATCGCAGAACTCACTAATTTCTCTCTACAGGGCCTGTCAGCCCAATCATCGTATCAAAGGTGAATGGAGTAGTCAGGGTCCTCAACCTCACAGGCACCACAGAGGGCTTATTTATTGGCAATCTCTGGGTAGAAAGAGACGACTGGCATTGGTTTGCATTCCACCCTTATTCCGGTTTCGAATTCAAGGAGGTACAGCCCGGCGTATACGAGCATTGGGTCCACCGAAATGAACGCTGGGCGTTGTTTCAAGGCATTTTTTATACATTTCCGGACCAGCAGTCCATAAACCTTAAGGACTTGTATATCCGGCACCCTTCCAAGCCGAATCATTGGGCATTCAGTGGGCGAAGTGATGATGTGGTTGTTCTTTCCAATGGTTTCAAGATCTCGCCCTTGGACACCGAGGCATTCATCACAACACATCCAGCAGTTGACGGCTGCCTTGTTATTGGAACGGGGAAGGCCCAGGCAGGTTTACTCATTGAATTAAAAAGCCCATCAGCCAGGAACAACAGTCTGTTCGATAGCATTTGGGCAACGGTGGAGAGAGCCAATAACCTGACTTTTCAGAAAACCCGGATCCAAAGACAATACATTGCTTTTGCAGAGCCAGATAAGCCCTTCATTCGGACAGACAAGAGAACGATCAAACGACGCGCTACTCTAGACCTCTATACAGATTTCATTGAACGCTTTTACAACACAAGAGGTGCGGATATGGACGGTGAAGAGATCGAAGTCTTTCCGGTAGATACAAGCTCGATCGAGGCTATTATAGCCTCCATATGCGACATCATCGGCTCGATAGTACCTGACATTGGAACCTATTCTCCAGATGAGGATATTTTTGAGCTGGGTTTAGACTCTCTAGAGGTATTTCGCCTGGTCAATATCATCCGAGCTGCTGTAGGTCTTCAGGAACAGCAGCTTGCGCCACGACATTTGTACGCAAGTCCTACAATTGCTACGTTCGCTGCCCAGATTGCAAGAATATTGGAGGAAGTCAAAGATGGGCAAAAGATACTCAAAGATGTGACCAACAAATCCACTCCTCAGGGTGACAGCACAGACTCACCATCTGCTATTCACCGCAAGACCGCCATCCAAGGCATGATCGCTGACAGTAAGCGACGACTTGGATTTAAGATGAACCCCCTCGATGCTGTTAACCCCAATCACTACATGGGATTGAATTTCTACTTTGCCCTCCGGCGCGACATCACTTTCCAAGACGCTTTTGTAAGATTGCAGAATGGCCTCGTTCATGCTTTTGAGATCATACCTGAATTGGACGGGAAAATGATTCTTGCATCAGAACATGAATTCGGACACAAGAAAGGAGAATACCGTATCACGATTCCTCCTCGCTCGCTGTCTGTCTCTACGAAGCCGAGGCAGCTGACCTACAAGGATCTCTCACAGGTTCTTCCCCCATTCGAAAAGATGCGGGAGGAAAATTTTGCGCCCTCATTGTTCCATGACAATATTGTGCTCGACTGTCACCCTTTCCCTGGAATGCCGGCCGACATAGTAGTTGCCCAGGCCAATTTCGTTGAAGGTGGATGCATCCTGTCAGCGAACTTCATTCACACGTGTCTTGATGGTATAGGTGTGATGGTAGCCCTTCGTGTTTGGGCGGAGTGCACCCGGTATCTCGATGGGGACAAGACAGCAACATGCCAGTGGTTTGATCCGGAGAGTTTCAATCACAGTCTACCTGACATCCTCCATGATGCGGAGGGTTATGCGAAAGCAGCCCATAAGGTAGACCCTGGAGTGTGGGGTTTCCTGCCTTTTTTCTGTCCGGACGATTTCGATGCAACTCACGATGCGGAAGATCATTCAGTATTATCCAAGGAACGGAGTGGCGATGTCAACGGATTTCCTCAAGCCAATGCTGCTACCCACACTTCAGAGGTGGCTCTTCCTCCAGCCCCAGTATTTCCACGCCAGCTGGTATGGCCGGCTGCCCCGGCCGAAAGGTCTTTGAGCACAAGCGTGTTTTTGATCTCTAATGAGAATTTACAGGTCCTTAAAGAAGAGGTTCTTGCCGACCCTGAAGCCAAAGGGATTGTCAAGTCAATCTCCGACATTGTACAGGCATTCTTCTGGCGCAGCTCGATCAGGTCACGATATCGAGTTGCCAAGGAGACACGAGGCGCAATTTTTGGACCCAATGACATGTCTATTCTGGAGCTACCTATTGATGGGCGACCCTATTTCTCACCGTCACTTCCCTCGTCTTACATGGGTAGCATGCTTATACTGAATCGACCCACTATGCCTATTGAGACACTGTGTTCACCCCATACAAGCATCGGACGAATCGCCTACCTAATCCGTGAAGCAGCGTCGCATATCACCCCCTCTCTGGTTCATGATGCATTTACACTCTTGAGGTCTATGTCCGATTACAGCCAGCCTGCAACGGCGAACATGGGCATTGATCATATGAACGCAATGGTCTCGAACATGATGCTGTTCCAGACCAGCGAGATTTCCTTTGGCAATACTTTTTTCGACGGGGGCACTCCAGAAGCCATGCGGCCACAGATTGAGAGAGGTCACAGTCGCTTCCGTTTCTTGGTCATATCTCCGATGAGAAAGGACGGTGGTGTGGAGCTGGTGCTCGGCACGCTGCCAGAGGAGTTGACGATGCTGAAAACGGACGAGGAGTTCACGAAGTATGCAACGCTTGTTGATAGCCAGGAAGGTGGACATGTATAGCGGCATAGAACGCGGCAGGCAGTCAGAGTCCACTGCCAAGCCCTCTATCTTTGTTTTTAACGCTCGTCTCAGCTAACTCTGTTGTATCTTTCTATTGTCATGCGATCTAAAATACCCACACCTTAGAAATTAGAATGTCTGAGACCCTGTGTCTTGTGGTTTTAGGCTCGTTCAAATCGGCCCCAGTTAAGCGTCACTTGGGAAAGAAAAGCAACAGTTCATTCTGAAATCTGAGCACGGCCAGGTTGCGTGGAGCTGGCTTGCATGAGAAATCTATGAAAGTCGGTGATATGATGATACCTGCTCAAACCAGGCAAGGAGCAGGTTTTATGGCCAGTCTTCATCACCCGGAAAGTTCGGTATATTTCGAGCGTTTACCTTTCTTTGCTGGAGACAGCGGGTGGGTGGTTGGCCGCATGTTTAGTACCTATAGCCATTCTTCGTAGGACCCCATACTCCGGACTCGGAGGTGTGCTTTGAATCTTGCCACTCCCCTTAGGAAGAATAAGTGGGCATAAATTCAAATAACATGTGTAGTTTCATACGTGCGTTATAATACATTTCAATAATATGTTACATAATAATACTCCTTTCAATTAGTAGGACAGCTTCACTCCGGCTCTCAAGCCTAAAACGCCCGTACTGTATATTTCTTAGGCTCCGTGATAGGTGACAGAACATTAAACTTTAGGGAAAGATAGAAGACCTAGAGGGTTCGCTCAATAACTGCCTAGAGCTACTAGTAGGAGCACCCCTAAACCTGTAGTAATATATTTCATCCGTTTTCCAGTATCACCTTAGAACCAACTAGCGCCCTCTGAGCGGCCCAGCGACTAGCGCAGCCACAAGGCCCGGGGCGCGGTTTCTAAAGCTAGTACTGCATTAAGCTAGCCTTATCTACTGGCTTACCTTTGCCGGAACCGAGGACCCACCAATATAGTGATATTAATGTGCTCATCGTGAGCATATTACGCAGATACAATACCCGCATGCAGCCTCGTTGGCTGAGTGGGGGTTGCGATTTCATTCCCTCATTACACGCTTGATGACAAAACGCTGTATCGCGATGTCGATTCTAGACCGTGGCCCACTTGGGTGATACATGCTCTCCCTCATCCTCATTGGAAATGGATGTGACAATGTGCAGATGTAATGAGTACACGCGTGGGCACCTCATCAAGAGCTTATCCATTTCTGTGGACCGACCTACACTAATTTCCGTAGTTTTGTCGTTTCATCTCCTTTGCGTATCCTTGAAATGACAGTATCCGACGTACAAAGCACTGCTATCGAGACCCATCTTGGTTCGCGTGCATTTCGATCTTTGGAAAAGGATATTTTGGCCACCTGCATTTTGCTACCTGTCAAGATTTGCTTCACTTTCACAGAGGCTCCAGTCAACTTTCGTTCTTATTCCGCTCCATTTGATCTTCTAATATATTCGTCGTTTAACTCCGTCACGCAATCTCTTCTAATGCTGCATTGTTCAACATTCACCCAACAAGTCACACCCACAGTAGTCATCAGACGATGGCGATCGCAAATGATGTTGACAACAGCGGGAAAGCCCCCACTGACATTCGCGGCGTCCGTCATACCGTTCATGAGGATTTGCACAAAGACCGTGAGCATACTGAAAGTCGTCCGGACGACGATAACTCCGTGGACACCAGATTCCAAGCTGGCGTTCAAGATATTGAGGCTGTGACCCTTTCGTGGTCTACAGCTTCACTAGTGGTTGCCTACATTCTGATCTGGCTGGTTTATTTTGTTCAAGGCCTTGTTGCGGGCGTCACTGGCGCCCTTCTTCCCTACGTTACCTCCTCCTTCGCTCTCCACTCACTCACGCCAACCACCGGCGTCCTGAGCTCAGTTATTGGGGGCGTCACAAATTTGAGCATCGCCAAAATTCTCGATGTCTTTGGTCGCCCGCAGGGGTTCCTTTTCTGCGCTGTCCTTGCCACGCTCGGACTCATCACGGCGGCAGCATGCAACAATGTTGAGGCTTATGCTGCGTCACAAGTCTTCTACACAGTGGGCATCAATGGAGTCGGCTACAGCCTGAGTGTTTTCGTTGCCGATATCACCTCGCTACGTAATCGAGGTCTGGTGCAGTCTCTGTGCGCCTCATCTAACGTGATAACTCCCTGGTTAGCGGGACCAATCTCCACGGCATTTTTGAAAGGGGCAGGCTGGCGCTGGGCATTCGGAATGGAGAGCATCCTTGTCCCAGGCGTCACCCTTCCGTTGTTTGGCCTCTTCGTGTATCATTTTCTCAAGGCGAAGAAACAGCATCTTGTCCCGAAGCGATCAAGTGGACGTACAGTATGGGAGTCGTTGGGCTATCACGCACGGGAGTTCGACATTGTTGGGCTCTTCCTGCTGTCAGCTGGCGTCGCTTTCTTTCTGCTGCCTTTCAACCTGTACGCTCAACAAGCTAAAGGATGGGGATCAGCTATTATAATCTGCTTCCTTGTGTTCGGCATCCTGCTTCTAATTGGATTTGGCGTTTGGGAAAGATTCTTGGCCCAAAAATCTTTCATTCCATGGAAGTTAATGCAGGATCGTACCGTCATCGGCGCCTGCCTTCTTTCTTTTGCACTGTTCTTCAGCTACATGTGCTGGGGATTGTATTTCAGCTCGATTCTCCAAGTGGTGAACAACTTGAGCGTCACACAAGCCAGCTACGTTGTCGCATGCTACACCGTCGCCGGCTTCTTCTTCTCCATTCTTGTGGGTGCACTGATGTCCTACACTGGACGCTTTAAGCCAGTCACTATCTTCTTTGCGATTCCTCTATCAATTCTTGGCATGGGCCTGATGATTCACTTCCGCGAGCCAACCACGAACGTTGGCTACATCGTCATGTGTCAGATTTTCATCGCTTTTGGCAGCGGCGCCATCATGCTCACAGATGAGATTGCCATTTTAGCCGTTGTCAAGGAGCAACAGTACTTTGCTATTGCTATCGCCCTGGTGTCGATGTGCGCCAGCATTGGCCAAGCCGTTGGCCTGACAGTTTCAGCTGCCATTTGGCAGGATATCTTCCCCAAGCGGCTAGCTCAATATATCCCCGAAGAGGAACTTCCAAATCTTGCCATGATTTACATGGACATCGCGACTCAGCTGTCGTACCCAGTTGACTCGCCCACTCGATTGGCAATTCAGCGGGCGTATGGCGATTCACAGAAGTACCTGTTCATTGCGGGCACTAGTGCGTGGGCCATTGCAATCGCGGGATCTTTAATGTGGCACGACATTAACATCATTGGCATCAAGCAGACAAAGGGTCGTGTCTTTTGAGCCTGTATTTTTGCAGGCAATTCACAGGATCCCGAACATCAATGTATTTATCTCGTGCTGTTTGGCAAGAGAACGTCTCTACGTAGTATCTCTTGCAAGTCCGCGATTGTAAGCTCTTGTTGCCAACACGTAGGGATAGCGGAAGCCTCATGGTATATGTGCGAAAATGTGGTATTGTTTTCGAATTGAAGGGGAGGGCTACCAAGTAAACATCTAGGAGCATCCGCCTCTCTGTTAGGGTGCATTTTCCTTCGGAATAATGGTATGCGAATAGGAAACAGCCAGAAAGCAGATATATTCAATTAGAGATAGTTGTGTTTAGTTCAGGTCTTCAGCCCGCCCGCGAGACACTATATAGAGTACGCTGTGCACGGCGCCCAATTACGATCCATCCCTGTAAGAAACGGACCTTGTAGCTGGTACAAATAATAACAAGTCCAACCAGAAACAGACAGAACAGGAAGCCATATTGCGCCATGCACTCAGCCATGGAGTCCTCAGATTATCCAAAGGCATAACCATCGACTTCGTCGTAAGAGGTGGCTGTTACAAGAGTTCTTGTGTCTTCACGAACGATCTAAGAATGATTTCATGAACAATGCAAGGTCTTGGCATAGCCTTGCTATAGTACCTCGCAACGCTTTGGTAAGTCTCAAAGCAACTTTTTAGCTTGCCACAACCTCGACAGGGATGACTTGTGATATGGAGCATCTAAATCTCTATCTAACTAGAGAGTGCGAGGCCCACTCACAGGATACAGAGCCTGTGGTGATGCACGCGCCGAATAAGGCAGGTGCGACAATAAGTTAACATTGCCTAGAAAAATGGCCTGAAGTCCTCCACTGGCTCCTTACTCGAACAAGACGTATTTCCTGAAGCAGGAGACTTATTTAAACTAGAATTGTTGCCAAAAGCGGGAGAAATACTTGAACGAGCAGTGTTACCAAAAGCAGAAGCAGGGTGAGCAAGTTTTCCCAGACTGAGCAAATTTCTATGCACAACACGAGTCTAGGAAGCAACTTCGAACGCGAGAGCTAATCATCACTACCTAAAACCGTCGGTTCTTATACACGGTGGGGACGAGTAAACCTAGAAGTTAAAGATAGAACAGCCTCGCAGTCGATAGGTAGGCAAAAACTTCTAGACTATAATTACAGTATTTCAGTGTAATACAATTACTTCCCAAAGCCTTTCTTTAGAGAACTATTATAATATTAGCTTGTTATTAGTAAGAGCTATATAGTAATAAAAAGTATAAAGTTCTAGTAATATTAATAGGTTTTCTAACTTTATATCTAATTTTAGTAGATCTAAAAACCTCTCTTTAAGATAATAAAAGTACGGTATTAAGGTTAAATCGGCATATATTCTCGCCTATCCTATAGGTCGGATAAGGGGGTAGGGCTACGTTACTAGGAGTTCTCTCTCTTCCAGGACCGTAGGATAAGAACTAATCGACGCCAAAACGAACACTATAGTAGCCACAACTAAAACGATACTCTTTGCTCACCTATGTCAGCGAAGGGATAGCAACGCTATAGATCTCTATAGTCTTGAGCCCGCTAAAGGACTGTACTTTCAAGACTTCTCGCAATAGACGTGCACAAAACTATAATGGCTATATTCGTAAAGGTCACTGCCACTGAAACTTAGGCTGTACAGTTGTACAGCCGAACTCGTAGAAGGAAAAATGCTCCCAATTCTGCAAACTATGCTCTTATGGCTGCTGTCTAATACTCAACGCACGCTCTCGTACGTGAGGTTCCTTCTTCGTCCTTGCTTACGCTTCGATTGTCTGCTTTTCTCCTCACTTGCTTGTTCTTCCATGCCAAGGCCCCTTCTCTCTTCTTTTATGACTAAGCGCCTCGAGCCCCAATACAGTACTCTAGTATAATAAATACTCAAATAGTATATATATAAGATAAATTATACTAAGAGATTATATATCTATAGATAAGTAAAATGCTACGAACTAGGTCACTAGAAGGGTCGCTAAGGACAAGCTACCTATACCTAGGAGGAAATAGGGAAGTTAGCCGATAGAGAACCGACGAGGCTACGTTACGTGACTAGGTAGGGCTCTAGTAGGCTCTAGGGGGACTCTATAGGCTTAGTAGGGAGCCTAGTAGAGCCTAGTAGAGCTACTTATACTATATATACACGATTATAAACCTAGGTAGAACAGTTCGTAGTTAACTTCGTTAGCAATCCTATACCTATATTTAGGATATAGTCCGACGATTGAATATTCCCTTTGTCATCCTGGTCAATACTCTTGTGTCCACTCTATCAAGGAACCCTACCTTGGTCAGAACTGCTTGTAGCTCTGATAGTAACAAAAAAGCAGTAAATAATTAGCTTTACTGAGCTTAATTGGCTCGACGCGACTATTACCCGGTTGTTTTCGGTCTAGCTTACAGCGAAGCCCACAGACTGCTCAAGGTCAGTCTACAGTACGTGTACAGTGAGTAGAATTATAGTATGGCTTGAGGGGGTGTTCTAAGAACCAGTAGGACTCCAGAACATCTTGAGTTAGAATGGTTATAAGTTTCAGTGGCTATCCGCTGAGCACCACGTTCGGCAGCGTCGAGTTAATCCGTCCAATTGACTGCTACAGTCCAGTAATTGAGCCAACTGATAGAGGACGTCCGGTCGACTACTAGGGTAGGTTTGGTACCACTGGGTTCGTTCGTTCTATGGTCGAATAAGTTACAGGTCCTGTCCAGCATTTTCCAAGGATATAGACATTCTATCGGGCTTTTATTAGCGCATCTGTTCGTTTATGGATCTGGAGTACAAGGGTTAGTGATTTGGCCCTAATGGTGTGAATACGATGTTGTAGTGGTGGCAGTTTTGTACCCTTATGCGGTGAATCTTATTATGACGAGAGCGAGTATACTTGAGATTCGCACTATAAGGTAATTTTGAGTGGACGGTCTACCACTGACTATGATTCCGTCCTGTCTTGCTTCTAACCAACATTATAGGTGAGTGCCTTTATAGCCATACCCTTTTGTAGTCTTGTTTTTAATGCGGCGCACATCGAACAAATGTTGTCATAGGAGGTCCTTATTTTGCTCGTTGTTCAATTGTGCGCCGCCCACACCGATATCTCGGATGAACTTTCAAAATGGAACAGCTAATGGTTTGCCGGGGCGTGGAACTAAGTCACTCAGGTCTGTGGCTTTCATTAAGCTAAGGTTACTTTCCAGATGAAGGAGGAATTGAAGGTCAAAGTTATGGTGCTTAAGAAAGTATCTTGTGCCTTGGCAAATGTCCTCGCAATTGCATAAAGCAGTATAACAGCGTCGTATATTGACGCTAGCTCTGGTTGGGTAATGTCAATCTTGACTCCAGCGCGTCACCAATTGCAAATCCAATCTCAGTTCTAAGCAGCGGGAAGACGCTCAGTGTGAGCGGTGATGTAACTCAACGCGAATGCCGAAAATGATATGGAGCATTGCATTCCCTTCGACCTTCGAGGCTCGTTCAACCAGTGTTGTTTGGGCTAACAAATCGAATGAGCAGTTGGACCCGTTATTCTACATGTCGTCTCGCACTCTGTCACCAGAATTGGCGCAATCGAGCTGGCTAGGATATGGGATAATTAAACTCAACGTAGAGATAGTTAGGTGTGATCTGACTGCCATGTGGCCTACGTTAATTTGTCGGACTCAATCTACAACTGCTCCAGCTTCTGGTCATATGTTATTCCTGCCTGCCGTCTAGCCTCATCCATCCATTCCAGTACCCTCAGACTCTCCTCAGCCCCAATCACGCCGGGACGCTGCTTAAATACTGCTGCCCCGATGACATCCGCCTGGTACCACATCCCCCAGCCCCTGACAGGCTTTATGATGGTCTCATTTCGCTCTGTGCCATCCTCCTTCAGGTGATCATAGCCATACCATTGTACATGCAATTCTTCAGGCCGAATAGGTGGAAAAGGGATTGCAATTGATGCCTCTGTGGCTTCAATTCTAACAGAGGGCGCTGCTTTCTTAGCACCGAGACGTACGTAGAATGGCGGCTTGCTAGATCCCGGAACAGTCATACTGGTCGTGATGATTGCGGTGGCGCTCTTGTTCGCAAGGACGACAGTGTTGATATCGTCAACCTCGCTAGGCCGCCCAGGAACGCTCCGGGAGTTAGAGTATAGTACACTGGTTTCGCCAGCTTTGACACCATTCAGGGCAAGGTCCGCCCAAGTCAATGCATAGACACCCTGGTCTAGTAATGCCCCGGCACCCGCTGCTTTGTCTAGAAATCGAGATGTATTTGAGAGGTCAGGTCCGACTATAGGAAATGAGAAATCAGAGTACACTCTCCTTACTTCCCCTACTTTGGGTAAGAGTTCTTCTTTCAAATGCCTAGTTGCGGGGAGATATCGTGTCCACATTCCTTCCATGAGCACGACGCCCTGCCGCTCTGCAAGTTCGATGCATCTTCGATATTGCGCAGCATTCATGGTTGCTGGCTTCTCGACAAGAATGTTTCTTTTGAATTCGAGGGCTTGTACTATCTCTTCATAATGCAGCGGATGAGGTGTTGATATGTAAACGATGTCAAAGTCGGCTTGCTCCAGCATCGTCTGCCACGAATAGTAGACGACTATAGACTCCGAATCCGGAATTTTGTTCTCGTTAAACCATCTCCGGGCACGTTGATTTGAACCAGTCGTACTGATCGCGACCAGCTTGTGCTCAAATTCAGCGTCCTCACGACCGAGGATGTCTGGAAAGAAGACTGATGCGATATTAGAAAGCGAAAGTGCAGCCCAACGGCATATCTGTTTTTGCTCCATGACCAGGAAAAGCTCGCATTCACTCGTTGGTCACAGACCCTCTCGTTGGCTGTTTTGCTCGAGCTTTACGGTCATTCAGCTCAGCTAGATCGAATAAATGAATGCTGCTGCAATGTATCCGTCGGACAAGGAAGAGATCACATTCCACGCACTGGTCGTATTTCTGATATCGCAGCAAGACGGTTTTGTCCATCCAAGAGTTACACAAGTCCCGAACGCATTCCCGCGACAAAATCAGCACTTTTAAGCCTAGGAGATAATCAAGGTAAACGGAGTCGCCTGCTCGCTACCCCGTGGCTGCATCTCCATAGTTAAGTATCGCTTGGGAACTCTCGGAGAGATGGGGGGCGAGACTTACAATTGGCCCGGAAGATTGACTGTGGACTTCGTAACGTAGATGGTGATTGGAGCTGTCCTGATTGCACCCCCGGACACCTCCAGGAATATTCTACTCGGCAGTGATCTGGTTTGCGGGAAACAAAAACTGTACTTCACTTGATCGTCTGAGCCTTTTAGCCCTTTAGCCGCTGGGGCCCGCTGCCAAGCTAGCTGCCTCGCGCTGATACTCCTACAGTGTCTCTACTTGCCTCACTTCCGGCCAAGTTACCAATCTCCATGCTTCTGGCTCCTCTTGTTCTGTTAATCATGGTTCAAGGGCCACGCGACATTCTGGGGGCAAGCTCCAGTGGCTAGAGCAAGGTGATTAGGCCTGTACGACTCCGAACCATCTTGGCTCGAAGTTGTACTGAATATATATTTCAACTTCTTCCCTAGGGGTGACGTGTCTCTACCATCTTATCTTCCAACAAACCCTCTCTCCAGTTTAATCAAGGCTATCTCTTCTTTCATTCAGCTCTCTACGCGACAACCTCTCACCGAAATGGGGTTTCAACCATGGCGCGCCCTCCCAGGCAAGGGTGTCATGCTCTTGCTCAACGTTGTTAGCGCGGTCGCCCTGATTTACGAGGGATACAATCAAGGGGTTTACGGTAGTGTGTCTGGAACGCCAGGCTTTATCGCCATGTCCAGAATCGGTTACGACAGCATCGTTACCGAAACCACCAAGCAAGGTGGCCTTGCTGCAGCGTATTATTTCGGAGCAATATTTGGAGCCTTCATTGGTGGATGGCTTGGTGATAAGCTTGGAAGGAAGAAGGCCGCATTCATTGGTACCCTGCTCTCCCTTCTCGGATCTGCCCTTCAGTGCGGGTCAATCAACGCAGACATGTTCATCTGCGCTCGAGTCATCTCTGGGCTTGGAATTGGCTTTATCAATAATATCATTCTTTCCTGGGTATCGGAATTGTCTCAAGCTCACGACCGTGGATCCACGTTCTCTCTGGTTTTCGTCTCGAACTTTTTGGGCATCTTTCTCGCGAACTGGATCAATTTTGGTATTCGAGATAGCGAGGTCGGCTTTAGGTGGCGATTTCCTCTAGGTTTCATGTGCATACCTATGCTCATTGTTGCAGTTGCCATCCCCTTCGTTCCAGGTAAGTCAAATTCCAACTGATTTTATGGAGCAAACCTAATCAGGAATTAGAATCTCCTAGATGGCTCATGGCACATCACCGAAAGTCGGAAGCAATTGATATCTTGTGCAAGATCCGTGGTGATAAGGACGTCTCGGACCCAGCTATCATCAAAGAGATGGAATTGATTGACGCGGTCGTCGAGGCATCTTATCACAAGCGAAACAACTATATCAACATTGCTCTGGGAGGTCGTTACTCTGGAAAGCTTCACCTTGGTCGCCGTGCTGTCCTTGGATTCGCCCTTCAGCAAATTCAGCAGTGGACGGGAATTCTCGTCATGGTCTCTTGGGCTACCAAGCTCTTTGAACTTGGAGGCTTTGACGCCTATAAGGCTTCTTGGATGTCTGGTCTTCTAAACACTTTCGGTGTCATTGGTACTGCCGCAGCTGCACCTGTTATTGACCGCATCGGTCGTAGGATGAGCCTCCAGGTCTCCTTTATGATTCAGGGAGTATCGCTGTTTCTCGTTGCGGCACTCATCAAAACATCCCAGGATCGTGCCACGTCTAATGCTTCGGAGTCTCAAGCTCTTGGCACAGCTGGGTCTGCATTCACCTTCACGTTCGTCTTCTTCTTCACCATGTTCAATATTGTGCCATGCTGGATTTACGGTACTGAGATCTGGCCACAAGAAGTCCGCGCTAAGGGTTACTCATTCACCATCCTGGGTTGGGCGATCGGCTGTGGCGTGACAACGTTTGTCATTCCCATTATGCTATCTAATATCGGATGGTGGTCTTTCATCTTCTTCGGCTGCATGAACTTTACGGTGATGCCAATCATCCACTTTTTCTACCCTGAGACTGCTGGCCGCTCACTCGAAGAAGTCGACCTACTCTTCACCAGTGACAGTATGCTGGTCAGCAAGAATATGGCTGAGTATCACCGTCGTATTGCTGAGGCCGGTGGTAACGTGGCGGTCGCTGCCAGAAGGCTTCTTGATGAAGTTGATGGAGAGACCAATCTGGATCCGAGACGAATTTCACTTGCTGGGGCCGAAAACGGTCACGCAGGGACTAAAGCTGAGACAGAGTCGATCGAAGTGGCAACTGAGAAGACATCGTTTTAAACTCCAGAGAAATGTTTGAAGTAAATTCACTCATATCTTGAAGGAAGGCTAAGCTGGTGTTTGTCAAGGTGCATTAACTCAGCCGCGGCAGGGTCAGCTCTCAAGGGCGACGGAGAACGTCTCCCAGCGAATGAATTGTCAGACTTCCGTTTTGGTGAATCTGAAGATATACTAACGACGAGATTGATCTAGCCTCTCACGTAATCTCTTGTAGGTTTACACCCTATTGTATGCGATAGAAATATATTGGTTATCCTTTCAAAACGGAATCTTTTACTGTAGTTAACCGAAATGCTAAACAAAGGGGTGTTTCCGTGGGTAGGGTTGGAGGAGTGGTCTGTTATTGCCGCTGGACATCTCAGGGCCTTTTCATAAGCGGACGACGTACTCTTGATCATATTTCTGAGTGCAAGTCTCAAGGATGCCCTGCTCGAGATCGAAGATTGATGAGAATGACGCATTTGAGTTCGCATTTGCCATGTCCGTGAAACGTGGAAAAGGCGCGAGTCCCTTGAGCGGCACCTATAAAGCGGCCTCAATTCAACACTGTACTCTGTGAAAGGATGATCTCAGGCCAGGAGAGGCATCATTGCAGCTACTGATTCCTGCCCAAGTCTTTCATCCTTCAGCTAGCGATAGGGCAATATGAAACTACTATCTGAGACAACTGTTTACTAAGTGGCAAAGCCCGTAAGGTACCTCTTCATCGCGAGAATTTTATGAAATTGATCTAATTGCTTGCAAAGCTTTATGGCGGCTAGAGCTGCCTACATCAGAGAGAAGATCAGAGACTTTCGTAACATCTATATAGGCAGTAAACCTCCACACAAGCCAACAGAAACAGATAGATTCCTAACATCCATTTTGCTTGTCCAGCCCCAGTCTGGCATCTGATCGCAAATGCATCCATATCTCCGCAACAAACAACTTCTCTGAATGACAATTCGCCGCTTCAGCAGTGGAAAATACCGGTATAGTCAATTTAAAATTGCGGGATGTTTCCACGAAGTTGCACCGCCATCCAGGAGCAAATCCTGTCCAGTATACCAATTGCTGGCTTTAGAGGAGCACAACCACAACATAGCGCCTGTCAATTCCTCTGGCAGCGCAATTCTTCCAAACAAGGTCTCCTGCTCGAATTGCTTGACCAGATCATGTTGCTGGGACTGCAAGCCTCTCATCATATCAGTCATCGTATATCCTGGGCTGAGACTGTTGACTCGAATTCCGTAACGGGATAATTCCATTGCCACTGGCTTCACGAGGCCCTTGATAGCTGCTTTTGACGCCGTATAGCATGATATTTGCTGCACTGTGCTGGCGATGTACGTGGCGATACTAGCGATGAAGACGATACTCCCAGTTGCTGCGTCCTTTGCAGGCGTGTCGCCGTGCTGCAATTTGTATCGTTCGACCATGGTATTTGCGCATGCTTGCGCTACAAGGAAAGACCCATTGACATTTACAGCGAAAGTCCGTTGGAGATTCTCGTCTGAGGTTGACAGGAAAGGCTGCTCTTTCACAATTCCGGCGGCATTGATGTTGATGTTGATACTGCCGAAGTCTTGCACGATTTTGGAGATCGTGTTAGCAACCTGGCTGCGGACAGAGATGTCTACACTGTAGTACTTGACTTTGACGTTATATTTGGACTGCAGTTCGTAGAATGCCGGCGATGGCTCCTGAAGAATATCCAGCACGGCGATATTGCATCCTGCTGCTGCTAAGGCATCCGCGAACGCAAGACCAAGGCCTTGAGCCGCTCCTGATATCACTGCGGTCTGGTGTTCCAGATTGAACTGACATTTAAATAAATGCGTGATCCGTAGAGTGTTTCGTTTACATACCATGTCCATAGTTTAGAGGCTGTTTGTGCGTGCTCCCTATAGCACGGCCTGGTTGTCTCAGTCCTGGCCAGACGATGACTGTGAGAACTGCTGGATGGTTTTGAGCAAGATCTGTTGGCTACAACCCCCAGGTTGCGACGTGCATCAACGCTGTTCTAGTCGTATATCGACCTGAATCTGGACCCATAACTAGTAGTATAAGTGAGCAGGCTAGGCTTGCCTCAAAAGTCTAGGCGCGCTGATCAATGTGGTAATCCCACCAAAAATCACCGCCTCTTAGCCGTTTAACCGTTTAGCCGAGGCTGGCGCGACCAGAGAGCCCATCATCCATGTAACCTTAAAAGATCCGCAGAAACGAATGACAATCGATCAGCCTCGTGTTACTCCCTTCGTGGTGCCGGTGGCATTTTGTCCGTTGGAGGAACACGGCGGTCGTCTGTTGTTTCCGATCGGCTTTTAAGCGAACTATGATTTTGGTATTTATGTCTCCAGCACATACATTTTTGTGATTGTAGTATTTAGGCTTCCAATATATGCTGCGTTCCTCTGATTCGAACCTCGTTCTGATCCACGGGAATAAGTCGTCATGTCACCCACTCTGATGGGCAGCCTTACAAACGGCCTCAGCAATGGTCATCATGAAACAGGATTAGATTTGACGGTGCTTGGTCTGAATTCGGGGACGTCCATGGATGGCATTGACTGCGCGTTATGCTGTTTCAGACAAGATTCTCCAGAATCACCAATGCATTTCCAACTCCTGGCATATGATGAAATACCTCTGGAGCCGGAGATCAAAAAGCGCGTAATGAACATGATCTTGCACAACAAAACCACGCCCGAAGAATTATCGGAGATCAATGTCCTGCTGGGAGAGACCTTTGCTGCAGCGGTGAAAGAATTCTCGCAAAAGCAAGGGGTTCCGCTTGAAAAGATTGATGTTTTGGGATCTCACGGACAAACCATCTGGTTGCTCAGTATACCGGAGCCTGGTCAGACTAAGTCTGCCTTGACAATGGCTGAAGGATCATTCCTTGCTTCGAGAACAGGAATCACATCAGTCACCGATTTCCGGGTTTCCGACCAGGCTGCAGGTCGACAAGGGGCGCCGCTAATTGCGTTCTTCGACGCGCTCATCCTTCATCACCCAACCAAACTCAGAGCGTGCCAGAATATTGGTGGTATAGCTAACGTGTGCTTTATTCCTCCGGACAGGGATGGCAGAATAAATCCAGCATTTTTTGATTTTGATACGGGTCCGGGGAACGTCTTTATTGACGCGGCAGTACGATACTTTACCAACGGAGAGCGCGAGTATGATAAAAACGGCGAGATGGGTGCTGCAGGCACGGTAGACCAGGAGATGGTGAGCGAATTCCTGAGGACTCACCCATACTTCGGCCTCGAACCGCCGAAAACCACAGGACGTGAAGTGTTTAGAGACACCATTGCTCACAGTCTTATCGAACGTGGCCTTGCCAAGGGTTTGTCACCGAACGACATTGTCGCGACGGTGACTCGCATCACGGCCCAAGCCATCGTCGAACATTACCACAGATATATGCCGCAGGAGTACGGTCCTCTTGCAGAGATCTTTATGTGTGGCGGTGGAGCCAAAAACCCCAATGTCACCCAGCATTTGCAAGCAGCTTTTCCAGAGACCAGGATCATGATGCTTGACGAGGCTGGCATTCCGGCGGACGCGAAAGAGGCAATCACATTCGCATGGCAAGGCATGGAGGCAGTGGTGGGACGGAGTATCCCAATACCGAGCAGAGTCGAGACACAGAGACAGTTCGTGCTTGGAAAGGTCAGCCCAGGCAACAATTACCGACAGGTCATGAAGCATGGAATGGATTTCGGCGCAGGGAGGGATCATCTCGAACCGGTGACGGAGATGGTGAATTACGTCCAAGGCAAAGCATTTGACAACAAGTGGTGAGAAGGTCTGCTTAAGAGAAGGTGGGAATGTAGATCTCACGCGAAAGAATGTTGAAAGAGTGAGTGATTCGCTTTGGCCACACGCAACCTGTTGACTTGATGTCGTCGGAGATGAACACGGAGGGACGGAAATCAGAACACCGAGTAAGGAAGCATAACAATCCATCGGGCAAGATGACTTCCATGCTGTATTTGTCCAAGTTCGCCAGTTTTGTATAAAAGGAGAGAAGCACAGTAGGACACGAGGCGCACTCCAGGCGTTCGTCTGGTCCTTACACAGAACCGGGCCCATTGTTTGCTCCCACACGTGGGGCCTTGAAAGGGCAACTCTCCCGAGCATCGGCTGATGTAATCATGCCAAGGCGCCATTGCATTTTGGGATATATCGTTAAAGCGGCCTCAATCCGCCTAGATTTAACTTTGAGAATCGCACCTGATGTCACGCCTCGTAAGCTTCTTCCAGCAGGTAGACCGACTCTCAGCTTCTCCTCTCCCCCGTTGCATGTGTCCCATTCACATATCTCCAGATCGGTGTGGTCCATGACTTGCTTACCATCCAATATGTGATGTCAACAAATGCACACCGAGTTCCGATTGAAGAGAATGTCATGCCGGCTTCCGAGCAACAGAAGGCCAAGTCAAGACGGATCACGCGAGCGTGCGATTACTGTCATAAGCGCAGCATTCGATGTATCGGCGGTAGCGGCTCGCGGTGTCAAAATTGCATTGATTTCGATCAGCCCTGTACTTACAACCGAGCAGCGAAGAGACGGGGCGTGACGCCAAAGGCTCAAGCGGTGTCCCCGCCTGCTCCTCCGCCTCGAAATTTAAGTCCTGCAGACGGTACGTTGTCCACAAGCCCAGAGCGCGCTATGACATGGCTTCAATTTCTCTTCTTTCATCCTTCAGGAACAAGTTCTAGGCCAGAACATGGGCTTTCGATGACTGACACTTCCCAGCACCTTTCAAGCCAATATCACAACCATGGGGTGCTCCGACGATTGCCCGTCAGGCTGTGGTGATGAGTCTCGTGGAGTTGTACTTTGAGATAGTATACCCAATCTTCCCACTCTTTCATAGGCCCACATACATCCGAAGAGTAGGTTTCACTGAGTCGTGGGGTTTTCCTTGCCCACGGCCGATGTTCCAGGCCACCGGATCACTGCTTAGCCCGGTGCTGATAAGCCTTTGCAGATATCGAGAGGTGATTACGCCACCGACAAGGATCTGTTCCCAGTCACTATGGCGGTCTGCGCGCTTGTGTCCGCTCGAGTCCGAGATCAGGCGATTTTCAATCCTTCTTGGGACATTCAAGAATTGTCGGAAACGCCATCGGAAGCGTTTTATGACGCTGCAGTCCGTTGCTGGGCCGACTATGAAAACTCCAGCCAAGCCCACACCTTGAATGCATTGCGGTCCTGTGCTGTGCTTGCCCTCACAGCCATTCAGTATGGCAAAATTCGCGAGATGCAACTCTATCTTGGGAAATACCACACTTTCGTAGCTATGGATGGACTGCATGACGAATTGAACTGGCCCAAAAATATCGGCATTGTCGAGACTGAAGAGAGAAGGCGGCTGGTGAGATGTAATATTCAAAGCGAGGCTTGTGCTAACCAACCAGCAGTTCTGGTCCATGTATACCTTGGAAGTCTATTCGTCCATCATCTGGAACGGTATCACACGGTGTCGGGAACAGCAAGTCAACGTTGCATACACCACGGAGCTAGATGATGAGCTTTTCAATGACATGGGATACACTCAACCAGCGTCCTCTCCCGTTGACATCGGACCAAGCCCGGGTGGCAGATGGGGTGAGGTGAAGAGCAGCAGTTGGCTTAGTGGCTGGAACTTCACCACCGATCTTTATCGGGTCCTTGAGCACGTCATCACCAACTTTCGTGACCGAAGGCGAGGTAGGAGGACATTCCTCAGCGATATGTTTGGCGACAAGACTGCCATTTCCCCCTCTTTCGTCCGTGACTCCCTGATGGCACTATATGGCAACCTTCCCGGCTGCTTCAAAGAATTTCCAGAGATTACATGTGATCCTTCAAGGTGGGTTCTTCACCAGGGGTGCGTGCGTCAGCCATTGACTGTGCTAGCGATCGGTATGGATTCCAGGCCGCCAATATCACTGCAACTGTCCAGCTGCTTCGAATGATGTTGTTCGCTTCAGGTGGTGGTAACATTGAAGAACGTTGCAAGATCGCGAGCGAGGTGGTTGATGCCTTCACACGCATTCCAGTTGCCTATCTGCGAGCAATTAGTTCGCCCCTCCTCCATCATCTTGCTGGTATCGGCGCAATTCTGGGCAGCGTTCTCGAGGAGCCTCTAAGCGATATTGCCTATCAGCAAGTGCGAGTCGTCTTGCTGTCACTTGCGCAGCTGCTGGAGAATCTCGATCATGGCCTTCATTCGGCAATCAACGCAGAGCGACTGCGGAACCTGGTGGCGCAGATCGATAGCTACTGGAATCAGCTGCGCATCTGCCCTGAGGGTGAGACGAGTGCTTCAATGAATTCGCCCAATCGGAAATACCACAGTCCGCGGCATCCCGGCGCACGGAGAACCATCCCTTCCCAGTTGGCCACCAGTCTGTTCGAAGACTGGCCATGGAACTTGGACCTTGTGCAAGTAGCAGAGAGCTGGTCGCCCACAAGCCTGATCCTAGATGTGTGAAATTGGACTTCCTATCATTGGTGCGACAATATATGAAAAGAATATATTGCGAGGAGACTTATGGAGATCTTGCAAACGGTGGTCGCTCGCCAGTATAGGGACGGTTTGCAGTATGCAGTGCGGTGTTACTCGCCGCAATGTGCAGTTGAACGGATCGTGACTGTTGCAAGCTTCTTCATCTTCCCGTACCTGCCGTGAATCTTGTCAATGGACAATTGCTTAAGAATGCAAATCCATTTCTAGTTCGTTTCGCACATTTCCCTTCTCCTAAAACCATCCACTATCCATCCATTCACCCATCAATCCTACAACACTGTTTCTTGAGCAGCCCTTCCCCCCCCCTCTCCCTTTCACCACTAATCATTGTAGAGTCTTCTCCTCCTCCACGTCTGACAGAGACTGCTGTAACTCTCGCCGAGCCTATGGCCAAGTGTCGAAGCTTGCATCGACAAACGTTCTGAATATCCAATTCCATCGCAGTACTAACCTTTCCATACTCGATTATGTTCTTGAATGTATATTCGAAACATTAGTCAGTAAATACACCCAGCGAGCCGGCCCACAGTGGGAAGAAGTCGTGCAGCAGGAGGACTATTCTTCCAGCGCGGCGATCCTGTCAATACGAAAGCTCGGGACCACCCCAACGCGATGGTCCCCATGTTGATCAAAGTCGTCGAGGAACTCTGCCAACCGGACCTAGTCCTGGAGTATTCGTTCTTCACCCTTCGCTCCTTATGATCACCTTCACGGCGGGAATCTCTCAACTGTCGCATCTCGACAGGACCGCTTCGTCATATTGCATTGAATTCTCGCTTCGTGAGACCAGGAAATTGGCCTGACAAGGTATTCTATTCTCTCTGGTGGATCAGCTTAGTAGCTGCGCCAACTTAGGGCTTGTCGGCCCGAAGCCAGACGATCGGGCTGTATGGTTTGACGTCGAGTCACGCCATTGCATTCCAACCTCCACGAGACTTTGTTTTCCACACTCAGGCGGCGATGGACGGAGTTGATCGGCCATCGACGCAGCATATAGAAATCGTTTAACCAGTGGTATAGCCGTTTGGATCCAGGGCTGCACGAGGTCAATCGGGAACCAGATATAGATGAAATGCTAGATTATGCTTCTTCTGAAAGAATTGGAAATTGCACTTATTCAATTCATTCCAGTCCTAGACGCTTTCATCACGTACGGAGGACCTTTAGTTGTCAACCGTAAGTAGTGTCACATGCAAGTCTACTCAGTACTTCATCACGGTCTCCTCGCAGCCTCGCCCACATCGATTCCAAACCTGCGCTCTCCACGATCGACATCTCCGCCTCTTATCCAAGTATCGACCTCGATCTCAGATCTCGCGAGATTCGGACTGCGGCTCTGGGCGCGCTCCCACCAGCCGAGATGGACAAGGAAGCCTTCCCAAGCACCCCATAGGGCATCTTCACTGCTAGACTCACCAAAATTCCGCCTCCTAAGGTCTTCGTCCCGGACCAGGCGGACGAGCTCGCTCCCAGTCAGGAGGGATATCTGCGAGCCGATGCTGTGGGGAGCTTTCACGAGAGTCACTTTTCGGTTTACAGTGAAGGCGGTGATGAGGCTGTAGAGCAGGAGAGTTCCGAGCAGTACTTGGAGGGCGATGGTGATGTTCTTGTCTTGGATGAGCTTGGAGCGCATGGTGACGACCTGGGCATCGACGATGGCGGCTTGAGACTGCGTTGCGCTCATTGGGTCGACGAATGGGCGGGCAGAGTCTATCATTATGGCAGCGAAATGCTTCAAAATTTTGCCGCCAGCCTTGGAGAGTAATTTTGGTGACTTGACGAAGTCATCGTCTGTGAATTTAGGGTTTCGCATTTTTATGGTATGGTAGAGGAGGTTTCTGCCCTCCAGTGGGTAGACGCTGCGGAAGGTGGAAAGGCGATTGATGCTGGTCCAGTTCAGGTGTGAGATGTTGTAGGCTGCGTGGTCCTGGTCGAGGATGTGGGTGATGGATCTCACGTCGTAGCTCTTGATGGCCAGGGGGAGCGTTTGTTGCGTGCCTAGAGCAGCCCGCCTGGGTCGACTCACAGTGACATCAATTTCGATGGCGCTGTAGTTCATATTGCACCAGAAACTCGCCACGTCTGTGATTTTGAATCCAGGTGCCGTAGGGTCAGGTTGATTGGTCTTTGCTAGTAAGAATGTGGTCACGTTCTGGAAGACGTTGAGGCCGTCGAATTCGGGGCTTTGAGGTGCGTAGGACGAGCCAGGGGAGCCGACAAGGGAGTCTCTGTTCCAGAAGTATTCGAGGTCATTGGTAGAGTTAGCTAGGGCGGTGAACATCGAATCCACCCTCTGGCTCGGGCATCTCCTTAGCCCGCGCCCCTCGTTGCAAACGATATCGATTGTCGAATTCATATCGACGTCCTCGAAGGGGGTGATGGCGGTGTAATTTTCCGTGCTAAAATGTCTACAAATGGGTGTTACCTTGATGGCGGGGATACGAATACGCATGTCGGCTCCAGAGTCGAGGATCGTGTCCACATCCTCATTGCTCATGCGGTTCGTGACGTTGCTGAAGATGAGACCGTCAAGAAGTCCCACCGGCGAGTTCTCCTTGAGTCTGCTGGGATTGGACTGGATCAGGGTCATGGCTCTTGCGCGCAAGAGTTCTTCGTGCGCGTCGGAGCTCTGGAAGTTGGTGAGATTATATGTGTCGAGGTTGCTGACGAGGCTAGATTCGAAGGGGACGGATGTTGTCCTGAAAGATGGCTGCAGCGCGGTGAAGAACAGGCCTGCTGCTATGAGTTTGACGGTAGGGACAATCAAATGGGCAAGGAAGCTGAATGCGGAAATGGTGCTCCTCGACTGTTTCAAGGACTGGTAGTCGACTGTGAAAGGTGAGGTTTTACTGGGATTGAAGCTTAGGCCTGCGATCGCGCGCACGGGCTTGCTCGAGAGTAGAATGTATGGCTGTAAGCACTGGACAGCCACGTCAACTATGTGGATAGCATAGGTCAGCAAGATCAGGAATACAGGAAGAAAGTATATGATGGCATGGCTTCCTTGCCCGCTTGTGGGTGCAATGCCTGAAGTTGTCTCGTTCCGCCACCACAAAAGGCCCAGAGTCAAAATCGCAAGTGCAATTGCACCTCCCAGGGCCATGAGATAGGGGAGGGTCAGGCTCGTATGGTACCACGGGCGTGGCTTTAGCTCCCTGCGCTTGTGGAGGGAGTGCAGCATCTTAGAATACCGCTGACTATCCTGAAGCTCGAGGATGGTGTAACCGTCTTTGGTCATTGTCCTCACATACTGCCCTCTCAGGTGAGACAGAAAGGCACGTTCAGAGAAACAGCCGGCGTCCTGCAAGAGCTTTTCAATCGTGCCGCTTCTTGAAAGAAGCATGGCCATTGCGCCGAGGGTCCGAGGGTCAGTGCGTAGATGTGTTCTTGGTCTAAATTTTGTGCTTGTTAACAATGCACTGGCGAGTAGAAATATCAATATGGCTTGTAGGATCCGTAAGGAGACTTGTCGCATCCGAATAACGGGTGTCGATATCGTCAACAAGCCTTCTATTGCAACGGCGTCTCCACGTCGGTACTCAGTGTTGACAATCTGTGAGACAAGCGTTTGTAATAAGTCCGACATGTCTTTCTGCATTTGCAACGGCTCTTTAGCATAATTTGCTATACGAAGGTTGTTGCCCCGCGACATCATGAGAATGATTGGATCAATCTCGATTGCTCTTGTCAAATCAGAACTGGGTCGTACGGCGCCGGGGAAATAGCCTGTCTCTCCATTTTGAAAGTACTCGGGTTGAGTAGATGATGCTGCTTCGGATAGAGGGTCATCTAGGAACACCTCAAGCGGAAAATGATGGCCGCTGTCATCGGCGAGGTCAAGTAACCCTCCATCACTTTGCCTCAGGAACTGATTGACCTTCAGGACGATGGACTCTGGATTCTTGATCGATAGCTTCTCGAGGAAAGTGGGAGCGTTTCCAACATTGAGGAGTCTGGCCTCTCGCGCATCTACGCGGACTTCGTAATCTGCGGTGAACAAGCCAATTTTGCACAGCAGGCCTGAGATGGTTGCGGTACCAGTTGAAAGAGCGGACGTGTCGCCGTCAAAGGTATCAGGATTCCACACATTCAGCATCAAACGCAGATCATCGCTTTCATTTTGTCCACAGTTATTCGGATTGAAAGAGAGGGAGTCCGTCGGTGGATTTGAGCACTGGTACTCCCCACATGTTGTATAGTTGAACCATGCGGTGACATTTCCCGTGTCAAGGGAAAATTGGGGGTAATCTTCAGGACGAATGATGCACTTCGCCTTCACGAGGTCGGTCAGGTTGGGCATAAGCCGAGTTTGAGTGACAGAGGAGTTCAAGGCGGGCACAACATCGTAGAACGTCCAAGATATCGGGTCGCAGGTGGTGTTGATGCCGAATGCACTGGCCGTGGCCGTTAGCGTGATATTGGCGTCGCCCGAGACGTCAAGATTCGAATCAGTTCCTGGGGCCGTCAAATTGAAGCTGTCGAAGGCGTGTTGCTGAATCGTCCACCTGGGGAATCCAAAGCTCTCTCTCTGAATAGCCATATAGGTAATGAAGGATTGTGGGTCAAAAGCAGACGAGTTCTTCGTAGAGCCTCCGTTTCCAGTCAAGGTATCATTGACAAGCAGCCGTGAAGTTCTGAACAGGGCGTGGGGTGTTGTGGTCATTCGTGGTATTGGATCGGTGAAGAACAAGGTGTTGGCGAAAGGCAGCAAAGCACCACACAGAACAGCACCAATATAGCCCAGACTCACGCCGAACTGGCGCACCCTGACGGAGAGAGCGAATCCTCGGATGTCTAGAGCATCAATGTAGTTGACCAAATATAATCCGTCCTCGGCGCGGGTCCAGCCTCTTGCCATCAGAGACCATGGACCGACTTCTTTCAGGTTTTGCAAAAGCATACTCCACAAAAAGCCTAAGGGCACCACGAATAGTGTCGGGATGTAGTTTGCCTGAGATCTCATGTCGGCCCCGACAGCAAATCCACCACGGGTGCGGTCCAAAATGTCGAATACTTGCAGCAGAACGACGCAAACTGCAAAACAAGCGGCAAGGGCGTAGCTGGGTCGCGGCCGAAGCATTCGAGGAACCCATTCATGCTCTTGCTGATCCTGATCCTGGACTGAACCCTCGTCGGGGCTGGATGCATCGGCAATGTGGATAGTTGCGAGCTTTTCCTGGATCGAGGCTGCTGAGCGTGTCTCTAGATCATGGAATGTTGAGAGCCCAAAAGGCTTTGACAGACGTCCAGAGATGTTCCTGTGATTGACGTTCGGGGGGGGCCAGATTTGGTAAGCAATGCTGGAGAGAGGCGCTGCAGGTACCGGCGGAGCTGGACGGCGGTCTGCCTTGGGATTCTCAGCGGCCGTAAGATCCGTCTCCATGGGTAGCGGCTTCATCAACGACGACACATGTCTAGCATGGTTGTAGCTAGGAGTCCTCAGCGATTGCGACACACGGCGAGGTCGAGCAGGAGGGCTAGCTGGCTGCTGGTCCTCTTCCGTCGTGTCGATGAGAGGCTCCTTCATCAACGAGGAGATATGCCTGGCATGCCGATAGCTCGGGTTCGCATTGCCCGTTGCCGGCGACATCTTGAACGTAACTGATTTACTGGAGCAAGGCGCAAGGCAATATCATGATGGGCATCATATTCAATCGTGGTGGCTAGGTGGCCTCTGTGGCGAGCATGCCTTGCCCTGGAGGATCTGGGATGATGTTGAACGGAAAGCAACGCGACGACCAGCGCCTCAACACGAAGGAGAAGGGCATCTTCAGAGGAAAGCGAAAGCCGCACATAACATACAGAAGTCACCGACCTGAAGGTTGGCCGAGTACTTACTGATCTTCCAAAGGTTGAAACTCCCTCCGTCGGACTATGCGTGGAAATGGTCCAAGTGTCGAATGGGCCTGAATAGATGGAACTAAGATGAGTTTGAGGTCGGATTTAGCTCGAGTCGAGGGGTGTAATACCCCGGACTCTGCTGGCCACCATTCTACGCTTAGAAGCGCGCACAGTCGCGATGAGGAACGTCAAGTGTATCATGCTGCTCTACTAGGGATATATGCCTCATCCTAATTTGAAATTGCTACGACACGATCCGGAATGTCGGCAATCATGCTCAAACCTAATCGCTACTCCATCTCCAGCTTCAAACCAGAGAAGACGCTTACATGGTTGATCGACTGCCGACTCCTCGGCACCGTGTACCGAGTACTCCGTACGCCGGAGGAGGTCGATGCTAGGTGAGATGGGAGATGACCAGTTCGAGGCGCTAAACACAAAGCAAATCGTGTCTTCCTGGTCATGCTCGGCACCAGACGGACCAGTGGTGCTCACAAGCCTGTCTTGAAACATTACTCAAGAGATACTAGCATTCAAAGAAACAAATCTAGCTGAAGACGGCCTCAATCTGCCTGCATTCACCACCTGTTGTGTGCATCACGAGAAATATCCAAGGGCACTACTTAGTACTGACTCGCACTCCAACGCCAAACAACGCCAGGCTGAAGAACCTCAAAGACCTCGGACGTAAGACCGCCCGCAATGGACCACCCTATTACAGAGTTCCATTGCCAGCCTTCCCCTCAGCTTCCAGTTTGGCGATTTCCTCTAATGCCTCGATGTCATCCTCGTCATCAACGCCCGGGAATTCTTCTTCTGTTGGTTTGGCTTGACCATCGAGCACGTTGCCGGGAGGCTTGACGGGGTGTGAAATGTCGAGATTCCAGTTGATCGGACCATCTTTTCCATACCGTTCCTCCAGCCAGTCGTTGGCCTTGCGGAAGTGCTTGTTGTTGAAGAAGCCCGGAGGCTTGTGTGCACTCAACGGGCTAGGGTGGACGCTCTTCAGCACCAGGTGCCTGGGGCCAGTTATCCTGTCGCATCTCTTTTGCGCGGGTGAGCCCCAGGCCAGGAAGACTACACCGTTCGTGCGGACTTTGACGACGGTGTCGATGACTTTCTGTGTAAATCTTTCCCAGCCTTGGTTCTGGTGTGAACCCGCATTTCTCGCGCGGACGGTTAGGCAAGTGTTGAGCAGAAGCACGCCTTGATCGGCCCAGGGAGTCAGGAGGCCTCCTTTCTTCGGTGGTGGCTTGAATGAAGGGTAGTCGTTGGCAATCGCTTTGTAGATGTTGCCCAACGAGGGTGGCGCAGGCTCTGGCGGGAGGACGGAGAAGCAGAGTCCATGGGCTTGTCTGGGGCCATGGTATGGGTCCTGGCCGAGGATAACCACTCGGACTTTGTTCAGAGGGCAATGGCGAGACCTAGATAGCAGTTTATCAGCTGGTTTCATTCTAACGCAAGACCAATCAGTCAATCATGGCTGTACCAGCTGTAGACATCTGCCATGGGAGGATAGATTGTCTGCGTCTTAACTTCCTTCGCGAGAAAACGCTTAAGTTCCAGGAATTCCCGACCCACGAGCTCTTCTTTCAGTACACTCAACCAACTAGGGTCGAGGGTATCAATTTCGAGCTTCAGGAGTTGCTTCTGCTCAGCGGTCAAGCTGGCCACCCATTTATCCTTGTCAAATTTCGCCGTAGGTTCCGCTGGGGCTAGAATCGATTGAACTTTTGGCGCTTTGAAGAACGAAGTCAAGTCGCCATTCTTCTTGAGCTTCTTTGCATCTTCATTTTCATGCGTTGTATTATCTTTGCGTTTGAGAGACATTGCAGGTATTTTGGGTGTGAGTCGATGTTTGGTAGTAAGGCGGCAATATTGAGACACTCTCCAGATCAGCATAGACTTTCATGCACTCATCAGTCTGTGCAGTTGCGGAGTCGCGACGGGGAGGTGAGTTGCTGCTGGGTACGAGTGCCTTAGGATCCGGGGAGGATTGGAATAAACACGAAACTGACACGTCATGCCCCCTGGAGGAGCGCGTCACGCGATCTGATGTGACGAGTGTTACGGGTACTTCGTATAGCAAATTGGTTCATCGCAACGGGTACGAGGCATGGCAGGCTGCTAGTACACAGCGAAGGCTAACAGGTGCTATCACGGACCAACTACTACTGAGCACCGCGTACTTCGTACTTCAGCCTGGCGCCAGGGTTCCAGTGGAAGGCCACCATTGTGCTTGTCAGGTAACGCCTTGTGTCGTAGAGCAATGTCAAATTCGGGCGTGAGGTGGATCTCTATCTCGTACTATGCATTTCAATCCTCCTCCTCTTCTGAAAGTACGATTGTAGGGATATTGGTATATCGCTGTCCTCCCTTGCGACGACCTTCCAGCTCCAACGCCATACTTTGGGCATCTGCCTTTCCCCGGTCGACATCAACCAGGACCATCAAGGGCAATGGTAAGAATATCAAGACTGCAAGAAACAAAAACGCCGGGCGGATCTCACCATACCTGTCCGTGATTGCGCCCACAATTGCCGGCCCGAAAACACTAGAGCCCTTGTCGGTAATAGCATAGAGAGCATAGAAGGACGCTTCAAAGCCGGGAGGGATCAGCTCTCCGAAAAATGCTCGGCAATACGACGATAGTCCGCCCAAGACAAAGCCGTATATCGCACCAAGAGGATACATCTCCCAAGGTTGCTGTAATCCAAACACGCCGTACCGCTTGATCGCCGGAATAAACCCTAAGAGACCGTACAATGGTATAATCTCGAACAAGCAGATGCAGGCTACGATAGTTTGCGACGCACGCAGGTTGAAGAATCGAGACAGGAAACTCCAGTAGAATGCACCGAGGACGCCGGCTACTGTGGCGATCACGTTGATAAGTCCGAGGGCCTCTGTCTTCATGCCCAGGGTGGTTTTGGCGAATAGCACTGCGGTTCTGTGAAAAGTTAGCGTTGATTCGGATGGTCAGACCTTCTTGAGACACACCCGCTGACCGTGGCTATGCTGTCGCTAAGCAGGAACCACGCACACAAGAAGATAAACATGTCCTTGAGTTTCCGAGCATGCCCGATTGTCTTGAACAATGACTTCCAAGCATAGACGATGTAGGCCACCCATGCACGATTTCCCGCCAAAGCTGCTGGGAGCGGGGGTCCTGGTCGTGGACGAAGCCACATGGCAGCTGGTATGCTGAACAAAAACCACCACAGGCCGACCACCATCAAAACCAGACGAAGCGAGAACGTGGTCGAGCCAGTTGCTACCACCAGGAGTATGGCCAGTGACTGAACCACCAAACCAGCAATATAGCCAATTCCAATCCCATTTGAAGATATTCTTGTTGAGAGCTTGAGTTCGGGCGAGATGGTGGGGGGAGATTCCAAAGATGCAGAGGTCGCACCTGGGCGCTCTCGAGGAAGCAAACCCGAGGTTGATGTAGCTAGCTCATGATCATCCTGCTCAGCATATTCGTCGTCCTCTTCAGAAGACCGTCCATCTGCTGTGGTCCGTTCCCCGTCGTACCGGCTGTGCAGAATAGAGGGATGGTACCGCACCAGAAGTGGGAGGAATGAGTTGAGGAGGACGAAGGAGGCGCCAAAGCAGGTGTTGGAGATGATTGCGAGGAGAGCCCCGAACAGATAGAGCTTGGGGATGACGCTTATGAAGAGGGTGGTAGCGGTCGCGCCGGCAAAGGCAAAGGCAAGAAGAAAGGTTTTCCGAAAGCGACCGTGGTCGGCAGCACCTGACATGGAAATGATAAGAAGAGCCTGGATCAGCACGCTGATGGAGAAGGTGTACATGGCGAAGCTGGCTGTATTGATTTCAGCCCCGAGGAAGTAGATCACACAGGAGGGAAGCTCGCTATGCCCATGCTTGGGGTCATTGGGCGCAGTCGAGTTTGGATGGGCGATGGGGCCCGAGCCAGTCTGCCAGCCAGCACGGCAGGGGGTTTTTTTGTCCTTGAAGAGCACTCCCTGATCTCTGGCCAGCTGTTCAAGAGTGATGGGCAAGAATGATCCTGGTGGTGTTTGGTCAGTCGAGAATTGCAGGGAAGCGAATCAAGGGGCTCACCCATGGCACAAATCGCAAAGACCTCTGCGGCCCAGCCATACGAATACCATCCCCATAGTTCTTTCTGGCTGGTGTGCCTCGTGTCTTCATCGGGATGTCTTTCTTCCTCCGCCCGCTCGTCGAGGTCATCCATGGCGGAGTCCGAGTAGTCCCAGGACGAGTCGCGCTCGTCGTCCGCCTCGACAGAAGGGGTGGGAGAGATCAGGCTAGCACGGGACTGGGAGAGCTGGCGATGGGGCGGTGGTGGACGTGGGTTGGCAGAATATTCGCGATCTCCATGGCGAGGAGCCTGGGTAGAGTAAGAATGATGGATTGAATAAATGGACGATCAGATGGACTGTTGATGTGCACAGATGGACGGGAGCATCGGGGAGGGGGCCAACCATTTCGGCGAATCAACACCCGTAGAGACAGCTCCCGACGGCGCGTGGCCCCTAAGCCAATGCCTAGAGGTGCCTTGGACAGCTCCTCGTGGTCCCTAACCGCGCCCGGTGCCTAACCGGTCTAGGCACTTCTAGTAAAGTAGATTGGAGGAATGCTCTTTGGACCAGTGATCATAATTCATGATGGGTTTTCGCGGTGCTGGGTCCTCGCCTTCGATGGTGATGGTAAAGATGCTGCTACTGTCATAGTTGACATCGCGAGGAAACCCTTGTCATGATCCAGGTTGGGTCAGTTCTCGATACAGATTCCAACTATTGAGCGCGGGATGCAGGCTGGATGAGGTGCACTTCAGGCGCGTGTAGAGGACTATATACGAGGACGATTCACTGCCAGGTGCTCACGGAGGCTGGTAAGGTTGTGCATCTACTTGCAACTTGGAAGCGCAATGGCGGATCTTATATTCCCTTGGGCTTAGGACCGAGGACGGCGTACTATCAGCACCTTTATCTGGTAGTATGGTGGTGGACGGTGTCCAGAGGTAGAACCGTCATGCTAGCCTACCAAAGGCGACGGCGATCGCACCCTCTACCGCTGAATTGATGCCGTGAATGGGTTGGTGTGGTGGATGGCTTGCAGCTGCTAGATCCAACGCATTCGAACCAGCACTTGACCGCCCAATCAGTGGAGTTGGCTGCCATCACAGGGAAGATAGCCCGAATGATCTCCTGATTGATCGATTCGTCTCCCATTGCACCACAGGTATCTGTGGACAACAAGCTTCTATTATACTGATATGCGCCGCAGTTTGCTGAGATCAAAAATGGCCCATTGGTTTTGTTGACAGAGGTGCTCCGTACAGGACCGTACGAGGACGAGTTAGTCGGGACTTCCTTCCTTGTACTCCGCCGTACTCTACGCTAGTCCTCTCACGGCAGCCGCGTTAAGCTGTCCCAAGGTGGTTTAGCCCATAGTGCCCGCGCCAAGGTCACGTTTGCACCGGTTGCACCTGACTGGGTGAGCAGAACTTGGGCAGCCGCCTTCCGCGCGTGTCAATATCACTCTCGTCCTCACTCTCGCTCTGATTGATCTCTGATCTCTGATTCTTGATCCCCATCAACCCTCACCCTCACTGATCCCTTATCCCTTGCTAGACCCCTTTGGCGACAACACCTCCAACCATCACCGCTTCCTTCTTCCAATCGAGCACCGAATCTTGACGAGATTGCTATCCCTCTCCCGCGCTCCCTCCGGTTCATCCTTGCCTCTCCCTTGCAAAACCAACACCCGCAAGGACTTTCTGCGACCGAGACTGTGGCCAAAAGCCACCCGATCACAATCCTACTGTTCCAATTCACAGGCCCTTCCGCGTGACCTCGTTCATCTTGTCTCCAGTCTGATCCCAGGATTGTGATTTCGATTGCGCTCTACCACTCGCAAAACAAACATCTTCACATTCGCCGTTTGCGTCCCCCTATATACAAATCATCACCGGCCAAAAGAGCGCGCCCTCTTGTGTGCCGGTCATGTGTCGATTGATGGTGCGAATCACGTCAATATGAATGGGCACCGGCCGCCGACCAACGGAGAATACCACATGTCGAATGGCATCCAGCGAGATGGCGCAAGTTCTGCCTCGCAGGATATAGCCCCTAAGGGAGAAAGACTACCTCAGAAACCGTCCGTAGCCTTCTCCGATCATGAGCAAGGACACACCAATGGCCGGCCGAGCGACATTCCCTTACGTCACTCCACACCCCCTCACGCTCCCGCGAGTCGCTCCCAACAACCTCCGCTAGAAATCCTTCAATTGATATCCAAGGACAGTTACCTACCTCTTGCTGCTCTTGTAGGCCGCTCTGCACAATCATGCTGGAACAGTCTTTCCATATTGCTCGAAGAGTTAGCATCCATCCATGTCTCCGACCACGTTGGCGAATCCTCTAAGCCACCTCCAAGTGGTCAGACAAACAACCAATCAAAGGCAAACCTAGAAAAGAAAGACAAGTTACTGCAGTTCGCAAATGAACAAAAGGCCAATTTCATCAAGCTGCTAGTTCTCCTCCAATGGAGCAGAGATGTCGACGATGTCAGCAAGACCATCTCCATCAACTATTGGCTCATGACCCGCCGGCAGGCTTACTGGGATGTTATCGCGTCACTGGCGCTCATCAAGCAGGATTCTGCAGGTTTCCAAGTGCCCAATCCCGACCTGAAAACCGCCGCCGAGATCCTCTCGAAAGGAAAAACGGTTGAGATGCCGACACTTGGATACATTCCGCAAAGGGATCTTTCAAGCAAGCAGATGCTCCATGTTTTAAAGTCGCTCAATCAGTTGTTGAGCATCAGGTTAGCCATGTCCGACAATCTGCCTCCACCTCTACAGAATTTCCACATCCACGATGGTCGAGCCACTTTCGTTATCCCGAATGAGTTTGAGATGGATGTGTCAGTCCTTGACAACAGCCCCGGCTCTCAATTTCGAATGGTCGACTTTCGCTTTGCCTTCACCCCGGCGCCAAGCATATCAGATGGCATGCGAAGTGAAATTGAAAACTTTGCAAACTCCAACATCGAACGGGATGGGCTTCCGGGGTGCTACCTCTTCTTACAGGAGTTAATTCTCTCCTATAAGTTGGCGGAACACTACAAGCAAGCCATAGAGCTTACGCGAACCCAGTGGGCCGGAAACTTGCGCGTCGAGCTGATTCGACGGACACTAGTCGTTCAGTACTGGTCCAAAAGGCAGACAGCAAAGAGCTGGGTTGAGATCGGCATAGCGAGTGGTCATGACAAGTCGCAAAATTCGGAAAATCTGCCACACTTAGATGTGAGGTGGATCAGGTACGGTCAGCTGATTGCTTCCCCGATGCTTTCAACAACCCAATCGGTTCTTAATCTCGAGGAAATACTCCGCCAGGTGGTCGCTCAAGACTCAACCCTGCTCCTTGACGATATTTACGATAACCTCAACTCCACGCCTCTTTTTGCCAACGGCGACTTGTCATTGGAACAAAGTATCTCAGCTACATGTCCCGAAGAATGCGCTTTGACAATACAGCTTTCCCACTCTTCACAGATCGATCTGGGGATTGATTGGGTGACAGGATCGTTCGTCATAAGCCCTGTCACCGAAAGGAGCGAAAGACTTCAGTACGAGATCAACAGAGCCCATGGTGTTGGCGGTGAGATTGTCTCAAAGCTACTAAACTTCAGATGCAGCGTCTCCGAATCAGCCATCAGTGCGGCGATGTTAGCAACCAATTGGGAAGTGTTACGTACTTTCAGGTTCAGCCAGTCGGAGATCAAATCCTTGTTTGGCGGCCCTGTCGCAAGGCTCAATTCGTTTCGCAAGCCCCGTTGGAGCTCGGACTATTTCGTTACGATATCACACACCCACAATGGAGACCAATGGTGGTTAATGCACCGGACAAAGTTTATCGGTTCAAGTGGTCAAGGCCAGTTTCAAGTCGTCCGGAGTCAGCAGATGAAAGTTACGCACAAACTAAGCCCTGCATACTTCGACCGATTATCTGAGTACACCACAGGCGTCATCACTCTACGCCGAAATGCTGAGTACTTGAAGGAACGGAATCATACCCACGATCTACCTCCATTCCCAGATTTTGAAGACGGTTACAAACTACCTGAACTCTCATTTAGATTGACTGGTTCCCAACAAACATCTTCGATCCTCGACACCAAAAGCAAAGATGACGATCATCGCACGATGGTCAATGTTCGGTTTGGTGGAGTCGATCCTGCAACCAACATGACAACCGTCATTGGGAAGATCCATCTTGATGGCAATGCTGGCATCTCCAAATACCTCGACAAGTCAACATTGGACCCTGACGTGTCTCTGAATTTCAGTGACCAAAGTGCCACTATCCGTGTGGAAACTTCCATTACTGAGGCAGCAATTCCGACCATTTTGGACAAGGCAGTTCACCTAAAGAACATGATCTCGACCGTACAGGAGATACGTCGTCTTCCAGGAATAACATTGAAAAGTGTTTCCAAGTCCGGATTTTCAGTTTACTACTACAGTGCACCATCCAAAGAACTTTCCGTTCAAGTGTCTTTTCGAGACAGCGGCCAAGCGCCGCAGCTCATGTTTTTCCCCCGCGAAGAAAATCCGCATTCTCTCCTTGCAGAGAAGTACTCAGACACACTCGTCTTTGATCAGCATCCGTTCGAGATCAGAATTCATAATTTTCTGACCTCACTCATCATGACATATCCGTTGGCCCTTTACCTCCATAATCTACAGAAGAATTATGGCCAAGCAGTGAAAACAGACTCCGGTCTTACATCGACGGAGACTGGCCCACAGCTGCGAGTCCACATCCTTGTGCGGACTGCCCAGCATTTCGCCATTCAATATTTCACAAATAAAAATCATTATTCGAAAGATGGCGCACCTGAGAGCCAGACAAGTCTGGTAGCTCGGTTGGAGATCCTACCACACGTCGACCACGGGTCTAAGAAGCCAATGTGGCTAGTCCGTGCGGCAATGGAGGAGTTCCAGGCTTACTCAAGACCGTCGTTCTCCAGCACTTCGCTCCGGCTCAAACTTCGACAGGGAGTCTTCTCGCGAACGGAAACACCCACAAAGTGGCTGACGCTGGATACAGCAGCTGCTTGCCTGGCTGACAATCCAGAACCCCTATTGCAAGAGATTCACAACCTTATCACGAACTTCGTCAATGAGCAGAGCACAACTCAAGTTGGGGAGGTCGCACCTGCTAAAGCAGATGCTCAAAAGGCTTCAACTGGCGGTGTCTCGAATGGAAACATCAAGTCCAAGGGCCAACCTCGTGCAGCAGGGAAGATGCAAGCGCCTGCGGCTATTCCAAATGGGGCCGTAAAGCCACCACCACAAAGAGTCAACAATCCTGCAGGCCGAGCGTTTCCTGGAAAATCTCAAATGAAATCGAATGCACCAAACAATCAGGACAACCCAATAACACTGGACTAGACTAGATGACACGATTGTCATGATGTACGATGGCTTAAGGGACGGGTTTCAATCTTCCTTTCACGTGTATGCTTCCTTTTGATATATTTGACTCACAACGATCAGATGCTTTAGCGCAATACCCAACTTGAATAAAAGGACCCCAGCAAGGGGGTTTCGAAGTGCGACCTTCAGCATAATCACTTGGTGTGACAGAATAGAATTATAAAACGGCCTACCCTTCTGGAAGGCGTGCAAATCACAACCAAGAAATGTGTTCGACAGGATCGTCCTTCCTGTTCCATACGTATTCTGACTCCAAGTATCTTTCTTCTTGATGTCCCGAACACGGTCCGATTTGCGTTCGCTTCTGATTTTCCGTCCACATGCAGCAATCCCAGCAAGCACAGTCTACAAACTAGCTTAGCTTTTCAAGCGACGCCTTGATCTGGAGTGCCAGTAATTTCGAGTAGTACCGGCACAGCGCCAGATTCCCTCCCATGAACCAGAATCCCGGGTGGCCGGTCTGGCGCCAGATTGTGCGCATTTCTCCTTCAGCGTCGTAACCCCATATATCACCTACCCGGTCGGCGATCTCATCACCGAAGATCTCTCGTGCTTGTGTCCTCATGTTCTGGTACCCCGTAGCGAAAATGATCTCATCCGCTTCGAGCTCCGAGCCGTCTGCGAAGCGGATACCGCGCGGTAAGATCTCATCGATCTCCTGCCCCTGCTTCATCTTGACCTTCCCGTCAATGATCAACTGCGAACCGCCGACGTCGATGTAATAGCCGCCACCGCGCTGGAAGTATTTCATAAACAGGCCGGAATTCTCTGGACCCGAATCAAGTTTAAAGCCGGCTTTCGATAGGCCTTCGAGGGTCTTGGCGTCATGTTGGCGTTGGAGTTCCGTCACCTTGACTTGCAACGATTTCAAGACTTCGCTGGGGAGACTATGCAGCCAGAGGTCTGCGTCATCAACGGGCGGACCATTTTCGTCGTACAGACCTGCGAGGCCGATGTTTGTGATAGCCTCGCTCGAAATGACACATGTTGTTGATCTTTGCACGAGTGTGACGTCGTAACCCTTTTCGTAAAAGTCCTGGGCAATATCGTGGCCGGAGTTGCATGATCCCACCACAACGGCTTTCTTGCCTTTGCTCGCGGGTTTGGCACCTTTGAATTCGGAGGAGTGACAGAGGACATCGCCCTCAAAGTTGGCAAGACCTTTCGTGGTGGATGGAAAGTTCTTCTTGCCAGAATGTCCTGTGGCTTGGATGACGTGCTTTGGGTGGAGGCTGCGTGTCTCGGTGGTGCCGTCCGGCTTGGTGCGCTTGACGGTTATCGTCCACAACTTCTTTGCGTCGTCCCAGGCGGTTGATTCGAGAGTTGTCTTCACCCATACGTTGAGCTCGAGGAGCTTGGCGTAGGACTCGAAGAATTCGCCCAGCTTGTCCTTCGGCGTAAAGACTGGCCAGTGCGCGGGGAAATTAATGTATGGCATGTGGTCATACCAGACGGGGTCGTGGAGCACGAGCTGGTGGTATCGCCTTCGCCAATTGTCACCAATTCGGTCCTCGCTGTCGATGAGCAAGGTGTCGACGCCCAAGTTCTTCAGTCGAGCCCCCACTGTCAGCCCAGCTTGGCCAGCACCTAAACATAGTCAACAACAAATTCTTTGGGTGATATCATGGAGAAGGCTTACCAACAACCAGGACGACCGGGTCCTTGTTCTCAAAATCAAAATCCTGGGTCCGCCGCTCCTGCCAGTTCTTCCGATCGATCTTTCCACCATGCTCGACCCCCTTTGGTCGGCGGTGATTGACCAGCTCTTCATGGCCGGAGATGTTGCGGAGGACGGTGAAGAAAGTGAATATCTGCCATTTGCCGTCTTTCTCAGCCAGGCGGACGACGCCTTGTCCGGCTCCGGCGCGAGACGTGAAATTGGTGAAGAACTGGATACCCTTGACATCGCCAGTGCCGTCGAATGCGCCCAGCTGTGGCGAGCGGTATGCTGTACTTCTGTCGATCTCAAAGTTCGTAAGAGGACACCGTTGTGCCAGGAACGAGGCGATTTTACCCCGGCCTTTCAGGGTATGCATGTCCCATGAGAGGGCGAGGTGGTCGCGCCAGTATCCATCTTCGAGGAAGAGGTCAGCGATCGCCTGGGTGTCTTCTCGCTGGAGGGAGGCGTTGATCGATTGGACAACTTTGTCGGCAACTTCGTCTGGCGGCACGGACGTAGATTCGGCGGTCTTGGGCCATTTTGCCAGTGGAATGTTGACAGAGCCCGGGACGCAACGGTCTTTGGAGAGGGTGAGTCCTGGGTCGGTTGCGGATTGGACCGTTACACTCATTTTTGGATATTTTGAAAGAATGACGATCGAGAGGAAGTCGGATGATAAGGTGCTTCGTCGTCGATGAGGTTCAATTTGGGAGCGAACTATTGTATTTGTATGAGTTGTGTGGCGCTGATTGTCGGAGAAAGTGTTGGAGAATTTCTAGCTTGTTGATCGGAGATGTATTTATTTGGTAACTTCGAAACTGGAATTGAATTGGACCTTCGCCGCTACTTATATAAATCCTATGGTGCGTCGTTGAGGAACGAGTGCAGTACTTCGTGGCTTGTTTCAACTTTTTGGCTGGAGATACACCCCCCGCACATTAGGACAGCATGACACACGCATCATCCCGCAAGGTTCACGCGGCAATCGATAAAGGCGTGTCCTTGGTGGGCAACAGAGACGCTCGGGTTCAAGCTCTGAACTTTGATTTGAGGGTTTGGCTCGGAGAAACGATCAAACCACTGGCAGTGCAAAGAAGCCGACGGGGGCAGTCCGCTTAGAGATGATAAAGCCGGGGAAATGGATTGTAAGACAGCTGCAGCAAACAATTGACCAGTCAATGTGGCGAGCATAGGTGCACCGGCATCCCCATCCGCCTGCCCGGCTATTCATGCTCGGATCCGACCACTCCCCCTGGGCCGGTCTAAGGCTCCGCAGCCTTCATCCATTTTGAATGAAAGTTGCAATTACTCGTAAGGCTTTGAGATCTGGAATGATAGATCGCGAATCGGTGCCGGAGAGTTCCCAAGCTCCGTCAACTTGTTGCGGTCGGCTATGGAAGCACCAATACCGAATTCAACGTATGTACTCGAACACATTGGTTCCTTCCACAAAGTAGGCTCTACCATCGGTTGTGAAAACATTTGACAGAGGCGCATCACGGCTATTCCCATGGTGGCGCTTGCATCCAAGCGGAAAGCGTCCTAAAAACGTCTTAATGGCCACCTTGCGGCACCATGGCCGGACTGAACGCTGGTGCGCTCATGCAGTTAAAGCTGCGGTTTCTAACACAGCCGAAACATCCTCAGTCTGGGCGAGGACCCGAGCGAATTTTTGCATCTGTCCCTCACCCAACGGAACTCCAAGAACGGCCGATATCCCATGTCACTTCTCAAGCCTTTCCATGCATTTCAACCTTTGCCGCTCAGCTGGTACAAGATCGAAAGTATTTCGAAATCTGCTCCGATCGTTGGGCTTGAATCCGCAAACTCTGAGATGAACCGCAGCATTTTGGTGCACCACAGTTCATATCCTGTAGGTAATGCTTGCCGGAGCCGAGGATCAGGCGAATTTTTGAAGGCATGGAAGATTAGCAATTGGCCAAACATCTGCCCAGACGCAAAATACTTCAAAGGCATAAAGTTCTTCATTTTGGCACAAATCTCCCAGGTCAATGGCCAATCCATGGCATGCTGAAGAGCTTCCTTGCATAACAGCAAATCCTTCTCTGTCACAGTTGCCGGGGATTGGATAGCTTTGTACAGGAATGGTCTTCCTAGATGAAAAATGGATACTCGATAGCGAGTGTAGAGCAATGCAACGACCACCGCATCTGCGGGGGATTTAAAGCCCTGGTTCGGGTTTTCATCTGTGTACTTCAGGGTGTCAGGTAAGTTGGCACTCCACTGCTCAAGCTGGTGGCGCAGTTCATCCGCCAGCGCTGGGGAGGGGTGGACGTAGAACAATTCTTCGCGTATTCGGCTAAGAATGATCCTATGTGCTATCTGAGCCAGGAAATGGTAGTGATAGTAAGAGTCGTCGGGATTTCTAGAAAGAGGTTTGTTCATGTAGGAGAATGCCGTGAATTTGGGGAGGGGGACAACATCTTCCCATTCTTTGAACGAGCTAGGCGGGAGCTCCAGTTCTTGTACGATGATGGTCTCGAGTAATATGGCGCTCCAGAACAGTCGAGAATAGATGTCTATGGTCCACTCGTCATATGGCTCTGGGGGGCATCTCCAGAACGCGATACAGCTCGTTGCTGCACGTGTCGTCATCATCCATTGATCGACTGGTCTCATAGTCTGAGCGAAGAAAACTGCAGACGTCAAGTAATATTGGCAGCTCTGGATACTGCGATCACAAAGACAAAACCCAACTCGCCTCCGGGCTTCATTGAAGAAACTTAGTCCAGAGACGGCCTCGTCTATGGTTTGAATGGCAAGCGGAGGCAGCGCTACATAATGAGGTGTATCGAATTCACCTTCTTGATATGCTTTGAGCGCCATGCAACCCAGAGTCATGACATTAAGCACCAAACAGGTCTCCATGTCGTACCCGAATCCTTCACGAACCACCACAGCGAGTGTGTTTGAGAAATAGTGGTCGCGATCGATGAACGGATAGACCCTGTTGAAGGTGTCGAAATAGGCATTTGACAGCACCTTCACGCATGAGATGCTCAGCGTGGCGAGCCAGTCCCCGAAATGAGTATTGATATCGGGATGTATGGTTGCATTCAAAGGAGGTCGCTCGAATTCTAGGCGAGTGGGGTAAGTGCTGTCTACTCGACTAACAATGTCAACTAGTTCTCGTGGGAGACACTGTCTTACCCCCCGCCAGTGTACTGTTTGGTGGGCACTGAATGATATCACCAGGTTGTCATCAGGGAGAGACAAGGGATGTCTGGACAGATTTGTTTGTGGTGATAGAACCGATCTACTTGAAGGGACTGACTCGGGATGCGAAGGGCTGTCTTGTAGAACATGGCTTGGATCGAGCCGGTCGGGATCGGACTCAGAAGAAGTTTCAAGCTGAGCTCGGGTGGACAAGTGATCTAGCTTGAATTCTACTCTTTTCATAGTGTTGAACAGCATACTCATCGATATCTCGTTTCTATGTCACAAGTTAGAGGTCGAACACGGTCCTAGCTAGGGATCATGCCACCACGTACTTGGTAGGTTTCCGCTCGGCGTAGGTGCACTCGATTCCCAGGCTTTTGCAAAGGCTGCAGGGGACATCTTCGTCGCATCTGGTCTTCTTTGCACGACAAGCTTGACATGCCTCGAAGACAGTTAGCAAAATGATATGCCCCGATGAGCATGTGGTGCACAATGGCATATTACCTGGCGAGCGATAAAATTGCGTTGCCGCTTCGATGGTCTCTCGTTTCCATCAAGAAGCAATGCTGCCGGGTTAAAAGGGCCCTCAAGACCGTCACTTGGGGGCACTTCAGGGGTCGGTGTCATCGCCCATTCAATCTACCAAAGCGTGTGTCAGGAGCTGTGCTGCATCAGAGCATCAGGGCGTGAGCGGGTTTGATATTCAACAAAGGATGATTACGAGGCCGTGGTGAGATGCAATGTCAGTAAGAAATCACTGCGGCGCTTGTCAACTTGTCAATTTGTCAACTTGTCAGCATGGCAGGTGGCGGTACACAAGAAGCGGTCGCTCCTGCTCACTTGGATTATGCTTGTTATTTGGGAGCTTCCTCATTTGCAGGAGATGCCATTGCCAAGGCGTTACATAATCCAGCCCATCGATCTGGTGGCAACCACTACATTGCGAGTCGGTCCATCAACCCAGCTGACGTCCTAGGCTTGTCAGGCGTACATGGGTGACAGGACCTATCAGGCCTTGCCGTTGCCCTTGAGTTGATCCGTCGTCTAGTATCCCGCCTTGCCTCCCCTTCATTTTGAATCTAATTTGGAGAATCTCAGGATTAAATTGCTTCGGCGGATCCAGGGACTGTTGGAAAACGCTGTACGTTTCTAGGAGTACCCGCGGGCCACACCGTCTCGCTGCCATGGTTTCGTGTGCGATATATCCCGACCTTGCAGGCAAGGTGGCTTTAATCATGGGCATCGGCCAGGTAGGAAGCACGCAATCCAAAATCTGGGGCAACGGCGCGGCCATTGCGAACGTCCTTTGTCAAAACAAGGTGAAAGTATTTGGATGTGATCGAGATATCGCTGCGGCGGAGTTTACAGCCCGCCGCTTGCGAGTGATGGATGGCACCTGCGACGTTACGGCTGCGGATGTTACAAAGCTGGCGGATGTTCAGAAGGTCGTACATGCGGTCATGCAAAAATATGGTAGGATTGATATCCTGGTGAACAATGTTGGCATGACAGCGCCAGGTGACCCGGTGAGCCTGTCTGAGGATATATGGGATAAACAATACGAGGTCAATCTGAAGAGTGTCTATCTATCCTGCCATGTGGTATTGCCGATTATGGAGAAACAAGGATCCGGCTCGGTGGTCAACAATGCTAGCATCGCTGGGTTGCGACATCTGGGCAAACCGCCAAGTGGCTTACAACTCCGCAAAAGCAGCCGTTATCCATCTCACAAAGGTAACTGGCGTGCTATACGCTGGCAAAGGGATACGAATGAATTCAGTGGTGCCGGGGTTGATATACACGCCATTGGTTGAGCAATTTGGGCTGAGTGAGCTAGAGTCTGATAGAGAGGTGTATCGCAAGATCACCGAACACAACGTACCAATGGGCCGAATGGGGGATTCATTCGACGTCGCCAATGCAGCCGTGTTTCTCGCGAGCGACTCGGCCAAGTATATCACCGCCCAAGAGATCGTCGTTGATGGTGGACTGACCAGCTCGACGGGGACCTGATTGACGAGGATGTAACGGCGGTATGGTTCCCTCGGCGTCTGCAAAACGTGGAAGCAACTCAGCCTTGGCTACTGAGCACCTGGGGTCACATCAAGACATCCTGATAAGAAACGATAGAAGAGCGTTTCACCATTTAGGGACAGTCACTATGATAGCATCTGGTGTGCCGTGTGCCCTCAAACATGTCCTGGATAGAGAGCAACCTCGACGCGACGGTATCAATAAAAGGAGGGGTAACCGCCAGGGACGACTGGTGCGGGGCCATGTTTTGGGAGCCGAGCACTGTCACGTGCTGCGGGCCCTTAGTCATCCAAGACATGAAATCTAAGTTGAAACTAACTAGCTAGCAAGGAGCTAGCTTTAAAATCTAGAAGTGATGATTGATTACAGAGCCGATTAGCGTTATTCAGCCCAGGCACTATCCCGAGACCTTAATTTGCCCAAGTGCCTATAGAAGGGAGGTCCCTGGGGTGGCTGGAAAGTATTGAGTGGATGTCACGGTAGCACTCCCTGCTCATCTTGGATCTGGTTGTACACCGGTCTTAGAACGATGCGCGAGTGCAATTTGCTTTGGCCATTCGTGTTACATCCAGAGTGAAGCTGTGTGACCGAGTACAAATAATTGCCCAAATGTACCAGACCGAGACGTCACCCTACCCAAGAAATGGCAAGTCACTCTGTTCGGGTCACCTCCCACTGCAGTGTACAGGCAATCTCCATCCAGGTTGCACGAGCGACAAATCAAAGATCTCATAACTACCCAACGTGACCTCTTCGAATATTGCTGCTTGCCTGTAGCTCCATTCAACCTTTGGTAATCCAGCCATGCAGCTTGCGCGCAGAGTTCTGAGGTTTCTTGTTCTTGGGGTGGGGATTTGCCCCTCTGCAAGCGATGCAGTTGCCGTCAATCCGCTTCCAGCGCCGCAAAACATCACCTGGGGATCATCCGGTCCGAAACAGGTGGCAGGCTATCTTGCACTGAATGGAGCTTACAACCCGATCGTGATTGACGCATGGGCTCGTGCCTGGACCACGATATCTACCCTTCAGTGGGTGCCAGCTGCCGTTGAGGCTCCCATTTCAACGTTTGAGGCTTTTCCAACCGGAACAGTCTCGCGCCGCACCCGAGGAACTTCTTCGTACCTGAGTCTAATTGACTTGACTGTCGAGAACTCTGAAGCTGATCTGCAGCATGGGGTTGACGAATCGTACTCTTTAGAAATCACCCAAAACTCTCCTTCAGTTGCCATCAAAGCTAATACCATTTGGGGTGCCCTCCACGCCTTCACCACCTTACAGCAAATCATAATCTCGGACGGCAACGGTGGCCTCTTGGTCGAGCAACCGGTGTCCATCAATGATTATCCAAACTATCCACACCGAGGGATTCTCATTGATAGTGGTCGCAACTTCATCAGTGTGAAGAAATTCTACGAGCAAATCGATGGCCTGGCTCTTTCGAAGCTAAATGTACTCCACTGGCACATTGTTGATTCCCAGTCCTGGCCACTCCAGATTCAGGCATACCCTCAGATGACCCAAGATGCTTACTCAACGAAAGAAATATATTCTCCAGATGATGTTCAGAACCTCATAGCATATGCACGTGCAAGAGGCGTGCGAGTCATTCCCGAAATTGACATGCCTGGACACGCTTCGTCCGGATGGACCGCCGTTGATCCGGAGATTGTCGCCTGTGCTAACGCGTGGTGGTCAAACGACGACTGGGCTCTCCACACGGCTGTTGAACCCAATCCAGGGCAGCTCGATATTCTCAATAACAAGACCTACGAAGTGGTGGCAAATGTGTACACTGAGCTATCCAGGGTGTTCTCGGACAACATCTTTCACATTGGGGCGGATGAAGTGCACTCCAATTGCTTCAACTTTAGCGCCGCGATCCGCAATTGGTTCGCAGCAAATCAATCTAGGACATACAATGACCTTTTGCAAGTCTGGATCGATCGATCATTCCCATTGTTCTCTGCGGTTCCTAATAGGAGGCTCATGATGTGGGAGGATATTCTAACTGCGGGTGATCATGCAAATTCGCTACCAAAGGACGTCATCCTTCAAAGTTGGAACAATGGACTCGAAAACATCCAGAACCTGACAGCTCGAGGCTACGATGTGGTCGTATCTTCCTCGGATTTCTTCTATCTCGACTGCGGGAATGGCGGTTGGGTCACAAATGATCCTCGTTACAATGTACCGGCAAACCCAAATGCCACAGGGCCACCTACATTCAACTATCTAGGCATGGGAGGATCTTGGTGTGCTCCTTACAAGACGTGGCAGCGGATCTATGACTACGACTTCACCCTGAATCTTACCGATACCCAGAAGAGCCACATTCTCGGAGCTGAGGCACCTTTGTGGTCTGAACAGGTTGATGATACCGTCATATCGTCCAAGTTGTGGCCAAGGGCTGCCGCGCTGGCCGAGCTCACCTGGTCTGGAAATAAGGATCCCGCAACAGGATCGAAACGCACGACTCAGATGACGCAGAGGATATTGAATTTTCGGGAATATCTGGTCGCGAACGGAATCCAAGCTACCGCTTTGGTCCCTAAATACTGTTTGCAGCATCCTCACGCATGTGACCTCTACTACAATCAAAGTGCTTTGGCCGACTATTTCGTTGCGTCGTAATGTCCTCGAGGGAGAAAAGTATGCAAGTTTGACGATCTCAAGTCCCAAGTCTGAAATATTCTAACTGGAAGAAATGACTGCATTCTCATGAGGAAGTCGAGTGTGAAAACTTCTCGCAAGGTTGGAGCAGATATCCACATCAAAGCAGAGTTCTGTACCCTATCAAGGCTCTCTTTCATGAATGTCCGAGAGTCCAGCTGCCTCGGGAGACACAGGATTTGCGAATTGAAGCCCACATTCGAGATAGAAAACCGCTCTCATTGGGCATACCCATCAACATGGCTGACTCTCGAGGTCAGAACCCTAGCTTTTTAGTCTCCATCATCCTCCGATCACCCTTTGGCCAGTCAGTTCCGAGGTCGGGGTTCTCGTAACAGATGTCTGTGCGGGGTGTGGAGGGTGTGCCGTACCTTGGGAGACTCGGCACAAATTAATCATAGTAATCACAGACTTCGCTCGCTGTGCCTCCTCACTTTCCCTTCTCTTTAAAAAGTTGGATAACTTGCAAGATACTGTAGAAGGGGTGCTAGTTATGGCTTTAAATAGAACATTCTCGCGCCACGACGTAGGCACAGTGGAAATCCCCGTCACAAGCATATTTGCTAGGTTTGTAGCGGATGCATCCCCGGCGTTTCTGTCTGACAAGATTCGGGAGAGGCTCAAAGAGTACATTGTTGACTTCATCGCAGTCACTTTAGCCGCAGGCCACAGCTCTGATTCAACCGTGTCTATCTACAACGCAGTCAAGGCTCTCGGTGGGCAGACAGGGTCATCAACTGTTCTGGGGAGAGGGAGATCCTTTACACCCCAATACGCAGGTTTGCTCAATGCTGCGCTGGGCCATTCGTTGGACTTCGACGATACTTACGCTAAGGGCACTTTGCATCCTGGGGTGACTGCAATCGCAGCAGGCTTGACCCAGGCAGAACTTCTTGAAAATAAGGTCGACATTGACCATTTCCTCATCGCTGTTGCTGTTGGGTATGAGATCACATGTCGACTGGGGAAAGAACTGGGAAACGAAGCGTACGCGCGAGGTTTTCATAACACTTCCACGGCAGGGATATTCGGATCAGTAGCAACAATCGCAGTCTTGAAGAATCTCTCAGTCGACACCATAGAGAACGCTTTCGGACTTGCTGGCTCCAAAGCGGCAGGATCGATGCAGTATCTAGAAAATGGCAGTTGGAACAAGAGGCTGCATCCTGGATTTGCAGTGCACGACGCATTTCTTTGCACGGCACTGGCAGAAGCAGGGGTGATTGGTGCCGCTAAGATCTTCGAAGGTACATTTGGCTTTCTGCAGGGTTACAGCCCAAAAGCGGACAAGGACCTTGTCTACCTGACGAGTGACCTGGGCCAGAGATGGGAGTTCCTCGAAACCTCATTGAAGCCGTTCCCGGCATGCCGCATGACACACGGATTCATTGAGCATGCAGCGAAGTTTGGATACGACAAGGGTCAAGTGACAGCTGATGAAGTCAAGGCCATTACCCTGTCGTTGAGTCCTAACAACGTCAGCGTTGTTGGTGCTGCCACCAAAAATAAGATCCACCCAGAGAACATGGTCGATGCTCAATTTTCAGCATATTTCACCACAGCCAACAGTTTCCTGTATGGCTCAGATAACGGCGTACGTTGCTATGAGCAGGACAGACTCCTAAACACAGACATTCGAAAACTGTGCGACCGCATTACCTGTATCGCCGATGAATCTCTCAGACAATTTGGTTCAAAGCTGAGAATTGATTACGAGAACGGTACCTTTGATGAGGTCGAGGTCCCCTATCCTCTCGGGGAATCACAGCACCCCTTTACTAGAGACCAGGTGGATGCAAAGTTCTTTAGCCTGGTGCAACCAGTCCTAGGCAGGCAAAGAGCGCAAGCTATTCTGGACACTGTGAACAATATTGAAAAGCATAGCATCGCGGAGTTGCTCAAGTTGTTGTACTGAGAGGGTGCAAGACCCTTGGCCAGCATTCAATGCACTCCAAGGCACCTGCGATGTTCGCGGGGAGAAGAGACTCTCGTGGTTGAGCGTCTGAAGGCGGATAAATGAAATTATAGGAGTACCGGGCGATATCTGGTTTGGATACAAGAATGATATCATCTACTTATATGCTCATTAATCTTGCCAGCAGAGTAGCAATTTTTCCGGCAGTTGAAGATCATCCACTTTGATTGAGATGATTGGTTCATTCATCAGCCATGCGCAAGATTGCCTTCCAGATAATGATGTGCACGAGTAGATTAGTTCACGATGGGCTGGCCGAATGCAGCCCGATTCAGAGAGCCAAGAGCCCTTTTGGGTATTCAATACTTAGAGTAAAAAGTCTATGAGATGCATAGTATCAGCAAAGAATGTGTTGCACGTATTGACATTTTACCCGGACGGTGTCAAGGCAAATGTAAAGGATGAATGCCTGCGTCCATGCCTCGCACTATCTACGTACGAGTACTTCAGGCCGGCAACAGATTCGTTATCGGTTACTCAAATAGCCCATTGGCCTAAGGTGGCCCTCTCCATCGTACACCGTCCTCCGTGAAAACACTTCGTCAGGGGGAAGGGTCTGATGCAAGTGTTCGGTAGCGCCTCGGCCCCTAGGCCACGTAGGCGGCAGCGCAAGCCAAAATAGCTAAATTTGGGACATCCGCTGGTTCCCGAGATTGCCTCGCACTTATTCAGTGCTGCGCCAGATACTTTCCAACCGGGCAGGGGGCTAAGGCTGATCTGAAAAAAGCTCCTTGTCGTGTGACGAGCTGCTCATTCTAGATTCCAATACGCTTCGATTGACCCAATGCTTAAAGTGCATCTCATACTTTGATCGAGCGTTAACCTGTCTGGATCACACATTTCAGCAAAGCATCGAATGGCGGCGCACAAAGATCAGATACGGATGAGAGCGATGGTTGAGATTCCAAACAAAGGCTGTCGTTTTGAGTTCTATTTGCCCACCACCCACAGTCAATGGTGCATTTACATACAATACATGGTGGAATTAATTAGCCCGAGATCTGAAGCCGACCGTCAATCTCTTTAGCCATTCTTCCTCTTCGATCCTTCCTGAGATGCAGAGGCTGAACTGGGATGTTCCTGGAAATGGTTGGCTCGAAATGCATCCCCTTGATGGCCCATGCTCGCAGCTCTTCTCCGATGATCCACGATGCGAGCCATACTAGTTTGAGAGGTGATGCCGGATCTGGAACTCTCGGCATTGTCGTTGTCTACAGGGTGAGTTACCCAGCCTTCAACCCTGCGTGCGAACGCTACACAAGGGATGTCGACAAACCGCCAAAACAGGTCTGAGAGCCAGAAGCAAGTAGTCCCAACGAAACACCATCCCATGATATGTGCAATAACTTTTTGATGATCCTGGACACCTTGCCACCATTCGAGATTCAACGTTAGATCGCTTGGGGCCCATGTCGCGATCCGTAGCGTCCAGGGGAGAACTCTATATCCAAGAGACTTGATCACAGTTCCGTGAACAAGGTAGAGGGCGTAAGATATCTTGCCCAGATAGCAGACAAATGGGTTGTTGAAGAGAGGGGCTAGCGACGGGCAGGTTGCAACACTCCAGACAGTAAATATTGACCCCACCATGAGCAAGGTATTGTCAATGTCTGAGATGCCCCAGCTGGCGAAAAGAGTGGGAAGATAGTTTGGCGTCAGTTGAATCTCCTGTGGTGAAGAGATCATGAAAACCCCTAGGGTGAAAAGTACGGTCCAGAAGAGTTTCGGAACCACGTCTGGAAGATGTAGCAGGTGCCTCCAACTGCCTGTTTGCTTCTCGTCCTGGTTTCCTGGTAATAGCTGGTCCGACTTGGAATAATAAGCTTGCCTGATAAGGTCGAATTCTGCGCAAAGCATCCCCGCAAAGAACAGTGAGGTATAAAGCCTGTAGGTAGAGAGAGAATAACACGCCAGTGCGGCGATTGTGGCCATGCGCGGCACACTTCGCATTCTGGAGGTCGTCACTAGGACGGCAAACACGGCCATGCTGCTCCGAAACTCCTTGGGTATCGTCCATTGATGATCGTCGTACATGAAGTAGTTGTGAACATCAGTGTCCCTATCGAATGGTATCGTGGCACTAAATAAAAAGTCCACATTACCTAAATAACCCAAAAGTTGCCCATAAAGGTTCAATCGTGGAGGAGGCTCCTCCTTGAGGAAAACGAATGTCGAGTAGTCATTATATATTCGAGATGACTCGTCGAACAAGCCCAGGTATGTCAAGCCGCAGACAAAGAGGCTGACAATAAGACACGGGAGGTACAGACGCATGGCGCGGCGGAGGAACGACGAGGATATCGCCTTTTGGAAGTCCAGATATGACTTTGACCGCATTAATTTGAGAGGCTTATAACTCAAGACGTACCCTGAGATGACGAAAAATAGAAACACGGCAGCTTTCCCATACCACAACAGACGGATGAATGGGACTCTCATTATCCATGTCTGAGTTTCCCTTGACTGGTAGCATATGACATAGTGCTCGTTGAAGACGAACAGACAAGCCAGTCCTCTCAAGCCATCGAGCGCGGCAATGCCCGATTTTGAGGGTGTGGTCGCTGTGTGAGTCGTGAGAAAGCTCGGTGTCAGGACTAGAACCGTTCTCTTCAACCTCCCAAGAACAGCAGCGTTTCCATTGAAATGTGGAAGAGTGAGACCCGGCCAGGGCTTGTTCGAAGATACCAGTTGCTTTTCCCCAGTCAACGGCGCCGACTCATCGCAATCGGCTGTATCATCGAGTCGCGGGTCCCCAGTCAAACGAATAGAGTCTGCCATGTCCAAGGTTTCGATCCGCCGAACGCAGGGTGTGCATTTCGCATTCTGGTGGATATGCTGCGCTTATGGATTATTTTATCTGTGGCTCCTTTTGACGTGCCGGAGGCGTAAATAGGGGAGGGCAAAACAGCTCCCCACATGAACAATTTTGGGTTCCAATGGGGGGAGAAGATTAATGGTCTAGCGGGGTTTCTCAATGAACCTTTCGAGTAGCTTCTCAAAACGCGAGATTTTAGTGTATCCGTCTGTCAAGCATCGAAGCGAGAGTCTGGGCTTGTGGGCATATCACCTCCGAGCACTCCATACTCTGGTCGGAGTTCCAGAAAGAAAGACTGCATGCGGCAGGGATTCGGACTTGGGTTTCACAGAAGTCTCGCTTGGCTTTGAGAAGTAATTGGCTCCCCAAGCAGATGACAGGTGCACCAGGGGCCGAGCCACGTCACATTCTGAGGAGACATAAGAGCTGTTTGCCCGCAATTTTCTTTGTGTCTGGTCTTCCCCAGCTGTCGACAAGACATTCCCACCTGGAAGTTTATTACTCATATGTTTGAGAAGCCGGCATTCGAGCAAGTATGGATGCGAAGCGCTCCGACGGAGGAATTACGACTCAGGCGACTTTGTCTTCCTGCGAGGTGGAAATTCTTCAGCGCATCCATATGTATGTAGAGGCAGCAGGCATTGTTACTATGTACTACCCACTACCCTTTTGACCTTTGTTGTAGTAAGGGTGAGGAAATGAACCTGAGCTTCCATGAAATTTATTCCAGTCACTCTTCAAGCCAGAAGCCTGTCAGTGTCATCTCGCCGTCCACGGCTTGACCTGATTGATCCGCATGACTACAAGCCTTGGCGCCCTCGCGAGTAGCAACCGGCCCCTGAATTCTATACCGAGGCTCGCCCCCTCGTGGCCCACCCTGTTCGCTCGCCAGGGACGGAGAAACCGATCAGGGGGTCAGGGTTCAGGGGGGTTTACATCGCCGTACGCGTGCTCATCTCGCTAAGTCAGCTTGAGGGCCGGGCGGGCTTCAACACGAAGGCGAAGTGCTGTCTTCCTAGCAGAAACGACTAAACCGTAGCAAGGTGCCCCTCCACCCCTCCTGGCCGTGCTCCTACTGCTTCTAGGAGGGGCCGCTTTCGGACTTGGTATTATGGATTTTCTCCGACCATTTTGAGAAGCGATTGTTTGCCATCCTCACTCTGCTTGCAAGGGATGCCTTGTGAAGCCCATTCAAATCTCGATGCAGCGCCGCCCGATTCGTAGTTGACGCTCTCTACCAGCGACTCTGCTGGCTACATCAATATCTTTGTTCAATATTTCCTTTCCGGTCGTAAGAGAGGCACGCTCGCCTTGTTTTCGGATCTGATCGAGCCAGCCGCTTAGAGTCTCACCACCTGTCCACTTCAGCAATTTGCTCCATGATACAGGCACCGTGCTCATCGTTAATCCAGATAGTATCTCCCATTGTGCGAGCAGACGACTTCATCCGATCTGATCATCTGTCCCCCGGTCACGTGGTTGTTGGTTTGGCTTCAGCCTTTTTCTTTGCCTTGTCCATTTCTTTTTGTGCTTCCTTCTTTATCAAATCGTCCATCCTCTTTCTCTCCTTCGGGGCCTCGGTCTTCCAGAATTCTTCGATTTCCTGCAGATATGTCGTCTCATTGAGGTTGAGTTCCCATTGTGGTAGATGTTGCTCAGCTACGTCCATCCACGGACTCATTCGCTGTCCTCGCAACGATTTGTGTCCAGCATGATGCACTAAGAGGTCGCCTTCCTTGATTGAGTTCAGTTTTACTTGCGATTGTGGTTCCATGGGGTCAGCAAATAGGCCGTTTGTTTCCCCCCGATTACCCGCATATGCATTAAACCACCTCTGCGGGACATGCATGATATTGGCTCGGAATCTTTCCTGTTGTACATCATCAAAATTCCCCCTTCTTGTACGGTTAAACATGGACTCACCTTCTTGACCCACATCCCCATAGCTGATTGGTCTCCAAACTCGAGCTCGATGGCGGGATCAAATATTTCGGTGCCCAGGCATGCTGTCATGAGCCAGACAGACCACTCATGAACGCGTAGAAAGAAGACACCGTTGTTGAGTCCTCGATGATCGTTTGTTACTACCCCGTGAATGTGATTCCATTTATCGTCCGGCGGAAGAAATATTTCCAGGGGTATTTTTGGATTCATCAACACAATGTCTCCATCAAACCAACTGTGTTCACAAAAGAATTAATCACTTGTCGCCAAGCTATAGGCCGCGAATACATACACGAGCCATTTGAGCCGCCTGTCTTCTGGCAAAGCCAATTCGGCCAACAGTTGCTCAAGAATGTATGCGGGCTTTGACCAATAGCCTGGCAATGTCTTCTCTCTCAAAACATACATGCTGTAGCCGAAATTTCTGTTGTGTGGAACATGTGCCGCCAAAGCACGCTCATAGAGGGTGTTGGTCTCTCCGTAAAGCATTGACAATTTTCCGATTGAGGATCCGCGGTGAAAACCCTCGTCCTCTAGACTTGCAACATTGGGAGGTGAATTCCCGGCATTGCGGAATATGCCAAACCAATCAGTGATCACTGTGCCCATACACAGTACGGTGGTGAGAACACTGATCAGCTTCAAATTCGCCCTCCAAATCATGATTTCTCAATGGTCGAGTCAGGGTTCAAGGCAGAGTGATCGCTCCGGGTGGTAGTGTAATTGATGCGATCGAACCATTGCGGTTCAGCTTGCGGCTGGGTTGTCAAAATGGATTTGGACGACGGGGGAGAAAGAAACGATTTCAAGGAGTGGGAGCCTTCAACTCGGTACATGTACAAAATTTTAGGGGACAATCTAGAATTCCGAGATGGGGCATAATTACGAAAGGGGCAGGACGATTACCAGTTTCGTGCTAAATGAGCGGAGGAGGATCCGTAAAAAAGGGCCCAAAGGCAGGGTGGGACGACCATAATCGGTACCCATACAAACAAGAAGACTACTTTAGCGAGCGAGCGATAAGGCTGATTCCTTGTCACGATACGGGGTATTCAGTATTCGGAATCTGTCAAGCGGGCGATCCTCCCGATCTCACTAGTTGGCGATGCACACAAAGGCTCCCAGGTCCAATGCCTCTCATGTTCATACAGTAAGAATGGGCCCCTATGCGATTCTCTCTTGCTTGACCTCGGGAAGACAAAGATGGTGTTCCTTGGACCGCCATCAGGGGTTTGATGGTGGTAGATGTCGTTCCCATTTGAGACAATGACAGCTACTTGACGGGCAAGGGCCTGATCCATAGTGGGCCATTTCAATGGCACCCATCAATAACCAAGACGTGTTCGAGGCTGTCTTTAGCCATTGACAGCTGAAATCTTGTTTTGGCAGGCTGTTATCAGCGATTAACCAATATCTAGTGGCGTCGATACTTCACGAGGTCTATGCTACGCATGGTGTCAAGTATTTCTAGGGCCAAGCGAGACTTCTCGGCAAGCCACGCGGCACCACAAGGCTACTCCTGAGTCTTGACCAGAGCAGACATTGATCCAGGAATTTCAGTCAGGAAAAAGATCACAGTACTCTATTCTTCTCACACGATCAGCCATAACCTATTGCCCATGTATGACTTGAAGTTGCAAAAGTTACAAGGAAATTTCAGTGCCTACCCACAATGGCTACATAGATTACAGTTCGCCGACCACCCGAAACTCTGAACCCTGCCGAAACCCCCAGTGCTAGAAAGACCAAAGTTTGCTTCCAGAATCCTCCAGCCTTATCGAAATCCCTGGAAACTACCGAGATCATTGAATCTTACGACTAAAGAACGAAAACAAGCTGTGCGCTTCGTATTATGGTGTCAAAAACGGGCATCGTACGGCTATGGATTGCAGCCGTGATATTTTTTTGTGGGGTGTACTGGTCTTTGCGTATCTTGAAGATTGAAATATGGCAACCCTCCGAGAGACTAAATGCTGTTAACACTGACGACAAGAATTGGAGGAAAAGGCCGGATATGAGTGACGACATCCAGCAGCACGTGGCTGCTGCTGAAGCAGCTGATTTCTCTGCACCAAAGACTTACCCATCAAGGTTTCCAAGGGTTGTTTGGCAAACCGCTAGCGAGCACGGCAAACAACAATATGCCGACAAGGCTGATACGTGGAAGGGCGTCCAAGGATTTCAATATAATTTCTTGAGTGGTATGTTGTAAGCGGTGACTTCAGGATTCGAGTTGGACTGATTTCTTTCAGACGATGATGCGGACGATTTTGTGCATTCCAATTTTTCTTCGCAGCGATCAATCATAAAGTTCTGGGACGAACTAAGTCTCCCCGTTATTAAAGCGGATTTCCTCAGATATCTGACGATGCTTGCTGTCGGCGGAGTTTACAGCGACATAGACACTTCTTGTCTGCTGCATCCCGATCGTTGGATTCCTGTCGACCTTGGCGCCAAAACCGTCAATGCTATCATCGGTATAGAATACGACGACACCACCTACAAAATGTTCGTCCGTCCAGTCAGTTTCTGTCAATGGACTCTGATGGCGAAACCGGGTCACCCAATATATGAGACAGCCGTCCAGAGAGTGATGAGCAACCTCGAGTTCCTCGCTCGTCGTAAACGAGTTGCTTTAAGTGCGCTCACGTTGGACAAAATGGAAGTGCTCGAGGCGACCGGACCAGGAATGATTAGTGATGTCGTCATTCAAGTTCTCCAAAACCAGGGTCAAAATGTGACCTGGGAGACTTTTCACGATCAGAGAGAGCCGAGGTTGTTTGGAGATGTTTTGATTTTACCCATTAATGGGTTCGCTGGAAGTCAAAAACACAGCCATGCAGGGGACCCTTTATACGGTGAAAAATATGTCCAACACCACTTTGGAAGGAGCTGGTATGCCCCTGAGAGAGCCGGTACAGACGCTGATCAAGCAGCCTCTAATTCCTCCCATGTCCCGTCCCGCTGATGGTTAGAGGCCATTTCTAGTGGAACACTTGATACCAAAAGATTTGAATACGATGCCATGACTAGCCCAAGACCGAAATGAAATGTCTCAGGAGAAGAATTCACATGTAGCATTGAATCCAGATTAATCAGCCAAGACCCACCGACTGCTCTATCTACTTCCAAACAAAGATTTTTGAATAGGATCAACAAGAAGCTTGGTATGGGGTTCTAGGGTTGGATGAGGTGCGGAACTTAGCTATCTATGGGTCAGATAGTTAGTCAGCTTGGCGACCTACCAAAAGATTTACCCAGGTGCTCGGTAAGGACATCTTCCCTCGTACATACGTGCGAATAGGGTGCACTAGATAGGCACACCTAGGCACCGACGGTTCGTTAGCTACTAGGCAAGCATTGGCGCCCATAGGAGCTTTGCCGAGGTCTGCCGCTTTTATTACTTAGCATCAAGTATATCAGTAATCGTGTCAGGCGAAGGGTGTCCAACATTACTTCTTAAAAAGCGTCTGCATGGCTACCTCAACATCATAAGGAAAGCTGTTTTCTATCACAAACCAAGCCCAGGAAACGCGCCCTATACCGCAGATTGATCGATAAGTCTGGAAATCAGGGCAAGCCCAAACTAAGATCAACTGCAGTCAATCAACTACAAACCTCCATCTGGAGTGAATGAGCTAACGGTGAAATCCCATTTTCTTGGTGCAATCACTATGTCGTCAAACATGCAGAAAAAACCGGTCATTGCCGTCGTCGGAGCTGGACCTGGGATCGGTGAAGCTGTAGCACGCCGTTTCACGGCTGAAGGATTTGCAGTCGCTCTGCTCGCTCGGACGGAAGACAAACTTCGAGACATGGCGAAGGGAATAAATACCGATTTTGGCCATGGCACAGCCCGCTACTACATCACTGACTTGCGAGTGGAAAAGACCGTTATCGAGAGCTTCAGTCGAGTTCGTCAGGAGTTGGGACCAGTCCAGGTTCTCGTTTATAACGCGGGCGCACGGCGTGTCAACGGAAGATCCATTCTTGACACCACCAGTGAAGAGTTTGAGAACTTTACCAAGATAAATCTGTTTGGGGCATTCTGGTCCACAAAATGTGCCCTGCCAGATATGCTAGCAGCGGAGAAGGGGACCATCATATTCACGGGTGCGACTGGCTCGCTTCGGGGGAATCCAGGGCTCAGCAGCTTCTCGCCTGGGAAATTTGGCCTGCGGTCATTGGCACAGATCATAACCCGTGAATACCAGTCAAAAGGGATTCATGCAGCTCACATCATTGTGGATGGACCCGTCGACGGCAAGCTGATCGGGGGTTGGTCGAAGAGGAAGTGGGAACGAGAAGGGGCCAAAGAAAAGCTAGCCGATCTTGATGCTTTCCTTTTACAGCCAGCAGATTTGTCCCACACTTACTGGTTCCTACACTCACAGCCTCGTAGTGCATGGACGCACGAGCTAGATGCGCGGTCACAAAAGGAAAGCATGTTCTCGAAGTTGTGATTGACGGATCTTCCGTAGAAAGCTTTGGCATCCTGGCAGAGATGACAAGTGCATCCTTCTTCCAAAAGATCTCCAACGAAGGCATGCAGTTCAAATTGAAGAACCTCAAACTCGTTAATAAAGATTAGTCGTCGCACCCAGGGTCCGAAAAGAAATACCATGGACGCAACGTGAATGCTGTGAAAAGATCAAATTTGGATGCTATTACAGGAGATGTGTGGCGACACACCAGATTGACCTCATAGAAGAAGCTAAAATGAAAGATGGATGATGGGTTGGTTGGACATTCCATGGATCGGACACTGTTACTAAGGCTTTGCTTCAATGCTTGACTTATGTTCTACACGTCGCAGATTCCCCAATCTACTGGCCTATAGAAGAACCCCACCGTCTTGTGGCGGGTCAGTATTTTGATGTCTCAGCGGTGGAACTGAAAAGCTTACCAATTTCGATTAATGTACCTGTCGCATAGTCTGCCCGTACGGCGTATAAATACGCCTCAGCGATATGGTCTGGAGTTGCTACAAACCCCACTGGCAACTTGGAGCTGCTGTTGTCAAAAAGCTCCTGCTGCTCTTCTGGGGTTTTCCCTTGCTTGTCCCAAAGCTCTGTTTTGACCAGCCCAGGAACCACTGTGTTCACTCGGACTTTCTTCTCTGAGAGATCCGCAGCCAGCCCTTTGGTAAGAGTCAAGACACCGCCGTTCAAAGCACCACCTACAGCGGCTCCTTTCCCGGGTTTAATAGCAGCCGTCCCAGATGTGAGGGTCAAAGAACCACCTGGACGAATAATATCGTATTTCAGCACAGCTTTTGGGCTTGGTTAGCCTTCCATGTCAGTCTGAAACATTCGAGGGGATCTCTAACCCTTTCCGACCGTAACTGCTCCCCAAAACTTGACACCGAATAAATATTTCGCGTCTTCGAGCTCTAAGTCTTCGAGCTTCCCTCGAATGATGTTGTCGACAGCAGAAAACACTACATGATCAACAGGAGCCAGGGATTGCAGAGCCGCAACCACGGCTTTCTCATCCCGTACGTTGACCGCTATGCCTTTCGCCTGAGGGCTATCAAGACGCCCTACAGCTTTATCGATTTTCTCTTGGGAGGACGAAATGATTATAACGTTGGCGCCCACGTCGAGAAACGCAGCGGCGGCTCCAAATCCGATTCTACACGGATCTCAGTCTCTCTAACAGGATTTCGTGGACAACATACCCTGTTGATGCCCCAAACACCACAATGGTCTTGCCCTGGAGTTTATCAGCGTAACCCATCTTTTCCTGGAGATTTCAATTGTATTAGGTGGCAGGATACATCAGACGTTGAGTCGTTTGGCTATCCTTCGCATGTAAGATCAGATTTCCTTTCGGAGTAGGCTTACTCCGGGTGAGCCTCGGGAATTCAGATGGTACCATTGCGACCAAAGTAGCGTCATTATCTTGGTAATCGGCGTCCTCTTGTTGACGGTTAAGGGATGCGCCACCTTGGCAGTGAAAGATGAGTAAAAATTGCTCGTAGATCACGTGCGACTCATCCCGAGCGTGCCGCCTTTATACCCACTCACCCTGCCTCACCTTCGCATCCGAGTAAGTAGTCGTCTAAGAGCGCGACTAGCGTAGGGACGCGGCAGCCGACATTGTCCCGGTTGTGCTTAACATCAATTCTAGGCCCGAGGGCGCTAGGGACCAATCAAGAGACAGATGTAAGTCCAGTATAGACTGTATTCTAGGACCACACCACCATATTACGGTGTCTCAGAAGTAGTAACACAGCCTGACAGTCCAAAATCTCGCTTGCGTAAGTGAAAGCCGTCACTGTCCATAGCCTACGACGAAGTGCAGAGAAGAAATAGAATTGACGGTCGTAAGCGCTACCGCTCAGGCCCTAAAGGAGGTCAACGTATACCTCCGGCAGGTCGAGAACCGACGGGAGGGACGGATAAAACGGGAGGAGGGGAGACTCGTCGGTGGCCATGGTCGATTGGTACGAAGGTCTTCGTTGGTTGGACGGACTCTGGAGAAGCTTTCACAGCGAGGTTGTTGTCCTGTATCAGGTTACGTCGTTGCTCGAGTGTCGATGTGTTGAGCAGTTAAGCATGCAATCAGTGTCGGTGAAAGGGAGGCCTAAACCGGCTCCAGCTGTGCCCCTCTGAAAAGGGCTCGGCGCCATCAGTCTGCTTTCGCGCGGTCTATAAAGCGCCTCTGCTCTTTTCTTCTTTTCTTGATCGCCAAATTCTCTCCTCTCAACCTTGGATTGCTCGGTCACACATCCTCGCCTTGGTACGATCCGAGATTCTACGATCCTCCCTATTCGACGACCTACTACGACCCAGCATTGCGGTGACGAATCAGTGGGTACTCTGATGGGCCCAGTACGCCCACTATTCCGTGGGGACAAGATCTCCTGCCGTCTCCGTCCAACCCTGGCAGAATACGAGGCTGCAAGGGGAACTTTGGTCGAGTCTTTGGCCTCGTAGTGCCTAAATCTTACGTCCTAGTGCCGCTGACGATTGGCTTGCTACCAGTCCTCTGCAGATGAAGCCGTGACCTTCCACTTCTCCGTCGTGCCAAACTCCAACCGACCCTCGCGGAACCGCCAGGGGTCGATGAAGAAGCTGATACCGATCTGATCGGACAGGAGGTTGTAAACGCGCACAATGCAATATACCTGGCGGCGACCAGTATCGTGTTCTCTGACGCCAAGACAGCGCATCTATCCGCATGAACACGGACATGAAGTTAGCGTCAACTCTGTCGGGCGTTGGAAGGGACTTCCGATAAGGATCTGTCTAGGTGCAACTCACCAAGGCGTGTTGATTCGGACTCATATAGAAGTCCGTCTCGCATGGTCCCAGCGACGTCTTGACTTCGAAAAGCCACTCGAATGACTGCTTGGACACGTTAGCCATCAGTGATCCTCACGATTTACATCACAAAATCTCGAAAAGGGCCTGACCGAGCACTTACCGGATTCTCGCCGTCCGGTGTAAGCCAATCAGGAGCCCAGTCAGGAAAAACATCTCCAGGGGGGTTTGTACGGAACAGAGTGCGGAGCGAGTTGTTCTGGTCCAGATACATGATGTCCGCTGTCTCTCGTTGACTCCATTTCGTGACGTGCGCATATTGTTCATGCGCCTGGACTAGGTACCGGATCTTACTCTGCCAGTTTTCAAGTCCAAATGTACCTGGCAGGAGAGCTCTGAGGGTCTCATAGACCTGCAAATGTAGCGTTGGATGCGTTAGAATCCGACCCACGATAAGAACTCCCCTGGATCGAGGTTATAGAACTTACAAATAACTCCCCGGCAGCGCCCACTCTGAATTTGCTTAGCCAAAACTCACTTCCAAACAGGTTCTTATAGTCGGCAGGGTCAATGTCGTCGCCCTCGAGACTCAACGATGCGAAAGCCTGCGTGATGTTTTCAGGCGTGGTATATGTACCATTACCGTTCACGTGCATGAAAGAAGCGGCCTGCCTACGGACGTGCTCGAGTACTTTCCAGTACATAGGTGCGTCTGTGGCATGGTCGGGCACGTCTGGAAGGGCTCTGAACGGTGGTGGAGGACGGTCTTGGTAGCTATTGGTCGCAATCGAGCCCATGGCCCGTATGGGACTTTCAGGTTCCCCTATCTCCACCGGGTATGTCTGGCCGTCCTCAGGCTGTCCATGGGCGATATGTGCCAGTTGTCGCTGCAAGGTACCCTCTGGCCGTTCGGCTGGTGGCGGAGGGTCGGGACGGCAAGTCTCGGGAAGCCACGACACTCGCGAAATCTCTTCTTGGAGGAGGATGGCATCTGTGCCGCACTCGAGCTCGTTGAGGATCCGATAGAGCTGCTTCTCGCCCCTAGAGTCGTAGATGTTCAAAATCTCTGCGAGTCTCCCCGGCAGCTGACCACGCATGCACAGCGTTCTCTGTACTTTGTCCTTAGGGAGAATGATGGATAGTCCCTCGTCGTTCTGCTCGATGAGAAGTGAAAGTCTGTCATTCACAATCTTGACAGAGACACTGTCTTGTACGACCACGAGCTTGGTCGACATATCTGCCGATGTCTGAATTGTGGCGGACACAAGATCATTGTACATCTGTATGTTTTGGTTTGAATATAGAGAGCTTCGGTGCGAGATGGCGCAACTGATACAGTATTAGGCATATCCTCTGACGCAAGGTTCCTTCTCAAAAGCAAGACTTACCATGATATAGGATATGCACACTGCTGAAACTGTTCTGTGAGTAAATTGTTGCGTTTGGGACCGTCAGCAGAGGTCTCAGGGCCTACGTGCCGGGTGAGGTAATGGTCGTCAAGGCGAAGAACTCTGAATAACTCGTGCAAGGATATTAGCTGCTCATAGGGGAAATCGAGCATGAATATTTTGCTACTGAATTTCTCCCCACAGTACTGATTGTCCAAAATAAAGAACGTTTCGGATGCAGTCCGAAATACAATGTCACCTGTCTGGGGTGCTTTGCAGGGCAGAAATTGGCATTGCAATAGGGACTCGACGGATTCTTCGACTTCGGACAATCGATTTTCGGCGCCGAGCGACTGAGATGTTGACAACATGAGCTTCTTGACTTCATTGGCATCTTTGGGTGGCCGAGCTGCGGCGGTGGCCAATTGTTTCATCATGAAGCCACTCGTGATGGTACTGACACTAAGAACGTCCACGAAGAATTCCTGTAAGTCCGGGTACATGGCGGCGATGGGCACGTGGTTTCCGATATCTATCGTTTCGTGCCAGATGCACGAGTTCGGCTTTAGCCAGGAACCGCTGCTCCTGTTGTAGATGAGATCTTTTTGTTTGAAGATCGACCTGAGTCGGGTGTTAGTCTCGAAGCTCGTTCGGCATTGCTCAAAACTTGCTCACCGAATCCATTTCCTATCTTCAGCATCTTGAACCACATCTTTGAGCAAGGTATAGAGGGCTGAAGCACGATCGAGAAAAACCTCGCCCGATTCGGCCTGAGAATGCGCCTGCATGTACTCGAGCTCGTCGACTAAGCAAGATAAGGTGAGGTTCCCAATCTCCAGTAGCGTTCGGAACAATTCGGAGATATTAGACGCTGTGTACGTCGGAGTGAGAGCGAATTTGCATTTCAGCTCGATCGCGCTTTCCCAGACGCATTCACCAAGAGCGCGCCATTTGCTGCTGATTGGATCCCATACCCAAGTTTTCTCTTTAAAGTCATTCTGAGACACTATCAGCAAGATCTGAGGACGGAGAACAAGAGCAACGGGCAGATTTCCACGTACTTTGAGGGTTGCTCGGTCCGCCAGGGTTGTTCTACCTCCCATATTTCTATATAAATTGCTTAACCGCTCGACACCACCGAGTGGTGCTTGACCCGTCGCGCACAAGAGAGTCAATGCCTCTTTGTAGAAGGACAGTTCCACGACTGATCGGACGTCCAAGTCACTGAAGAATGACCATTGTGAGATCACGTAGTCCGCGGTGGACTCTGGGAGTTGGAGAATCGGGAGCTTCGAGTCAATACCGTAATACCGGGCGGTGCTGATAATGGAATTGTTTGGAAACCAGGTCTGGTGGAGGCGTTCATACTGGCCATTTTGACAGAATACCATACTCTCCATCAAGGCGGTCTTGATTTTGCCGCGGAATCTGCACACGTCGCCATACTCCTGCGACCAATAGTGCTGGAGAAGTGGGACAAATATTTGCGGATTCTCTGTCCGAATGGTTTCAATCATCCAATGCCGCTCGTCTCCGTCGTTCAGTGGCGGAAACCACCTGGCGCCAGCTACTTGGCAGAGCCACCGTTCCCACGTGAGATTGTTTCGAGATCTCGTAGCAACTGAGGATGTCTGATAGCTTTCATCTAGGAAATGACGGTTGTGTTTTGGGTTATCTAGTAAGCGCAGAAGGCGTTCTGCATGGTATGGCTGCTGTGAACGCATAAACAATTCACTGGTTGCTACGTACCCTCCACCGTTGCATTGGGCGACAAGAGACGAAGGGCTGCCATTACGTGGAAACTTGTACGCATCCGAAAACCAGAACAGTAGCTGGAAACAGCCGAGCAAGGCTGAGCTCATTTTCGTTCCGCCTGTGGATTGATAGGCCAAAATAGCGTTGCACAGAGTACTAGGCGAACAGGTGCCCACTCCGAGCGACTGGTAGACCTTGTGTCGGGGAGAATCTCGCGCAGCATCCGGATGGAGGACAACCAGATCTAAGCCGATTGGCATCTCAATTTGGACTCGGTTAGATCTGGCACCTTCATCCACAATAATTGGGTAGTAGATCGTTTGGCTTGGTTTGTACCACTCTCGCTCGTTCCCAACCCGAACCGGAATGATGTTCTTTTTCTTGATCTCGGTTTTTTAAAGTGAGCCGCTCGCGTCCATTGCTCGTAGGATAAAGTCCAAGAATGAATCGTGTCATTTGTCCTGTAGTGGCACAGTTCGAAGTTCCGAACCTTCGGGATTGGAAAGAGCATCATCCAAGAGGTCCAACCCCTCCCGATATGTGGCGACTGCGATGCCCAGGAGTTTCAACGTAGATAATTGAGAGTGTATGTACTCGAGTGAAAGAAAACGCCAGCATCTTTTGCTCGTCGCTGGGAGCAATGGTGCTTTATCATGCTTGAAGTTAGACGGGACGATCCGAACCTCGTCCGCCGTGTACAAACCTCCACATATCGAATGGAAGACTTTCAATGGCGCCAGGTATTTCGTAATGAGCCCTTGCAACGGCTGCCAAAAGAGACTAGTTGGTTGTACTGGAATGTAAGCCGGCCAGGCGCAGCCAGTTTGGTGAACTTTAGTACCTTCTCGCTTGCGCTGCGAGATAATAGCACCCTCGGTATTACGAATTACTCGATCCTCAAATCCGCGGCGGTTTTGGGTCTCTTTACCATGATGAATACACCTAAACAGGCCTCCCAGGAACCCTTGCACTCGGCTCGTCTTTACAAACGATGTCGAACCCAGTGATAAGCGCCCACATGTGCAAGTGAGCCTCAGCGCCTTTCTACTGTCGAAGACCTCACCCACCTAGGCTCCTGGCGCCAGGCGACTGGCAAGGCATTTACGTGGCGCTCAAGGAGGCCTTATGCTCAACGCACTCCCTTGGTGCGGTCTTGAGGCAAAAGATCGCCCATTGTATTGACGACAAAGAGGAGGATAAAGAGGAGGAGTTGCTATACCAGAAAAGCTGATTCAAAGTGCCAAAGTGGATAATCGAGTCAACAACGAGGCCACAGAGTCAAGCGATGTAAAAGGATGCAAAAGGGTGCACTTCTCCAGCTAAGTTTGGTGTGAAAACCATCGCTTGGCATCCGCTCGCAAATCCATTCCCTCAGCAGCCTACACGGTCGCCGTGGCTTGGAGATTGCCTTGATCTATGGGTTGCCACTTGAGGCAGAATGCGTTCAATAGGTATTTGTCACGTTCTGGGAAGACGAGGGTAAGAGATATGGAAAAGCACCCGGTTATTCCAATTCTGAGACGCCTGGTGCGATCGGCGAGCACAATGTTTAATCAATGTTGACGGTAGTTGTTTCTCAGTCTGTCGGGATTCAACGGGTCGCTCTGCGTGGGAGCACCGTGTGGTTCAAGGCCTTCGGTAACCCTGTCAGCCATTCCGAATTGGGAATCCATCAGAGTCTGTATTTGTTCTCTGCTGGCCGCAGAGCGCCTTCCCACTGGGATTGAAATTGTGTCGTAACCAGATGAGATTACAAGCATTTCAAAGTAGTATTCAAAAGAAGTTATCGAAGGTTCTTCTCAGACAATGGTCCCGCCGCCACCAAGAGAACCTTGCCACCACTTCGCAGCGAGCTCTTTTTGGTAGCTTCATCAGTTAGTATCAAGTCCGGAATAAAGAGAGTCGAGGCTGGCAGGCAAGGGGCGTGTGACGGAGAGCTTTGTCGACAGTGGCATGGTTTCTATGACAAAGGCTTGATTGACAAGCAATGAGACAACGAGGCAGAGAAAGCTGACATGAAGTGTGCTTTAAGTCGAGGCGTAAACTTAGGATAAGGCTTGCTAAAACTCGGGAGTCCGGTCATGTTTCTGCTCGGGTACCAGTGATGAACGTTGGGGCGTATCGACGTCGGCGTCCTCGTCAACCGGCTATGGCGTCTGATACGGCCATAGACGTGTGCCGGTCTCTGTAAGCCGATAGGCAACTTGTCCGATCCGTGAAACGTGATGAAACATGAAACATGGCAATGGAAAACGGGGCAGGCACGGATGTGCTCCTGCCATCGGAGTTTATGTTTATTGGGGCCCCGGGGAGGGGGGGGGCGATCTTGACGTCATGGGGCTGCCGGGAGGCTTCCGTGCTGCCAACGTGTCAAGTTTCGAGAGCATCTGAGTCGTTCGTTTTGCTGTAGTACTCCGGGTCTGTACTACAGAAGCGCAATTGCAAACAAGTGCTCCGATACCGTCCAAGCCAAGGAATCCATTACCAAATGCAGATGGTTCAAGGTAGGTATTGTGCACAGGCGACTTCCGAGACGTCGATATCAGAATGCCTTCCGAGGCCAAACAGTGTTACCAGCCCGATAAGGCCACCTGATCTTGAGCCCGCGGCTGACTTCATGGCAGGATGAGTGCTAGCAAGCCAAGCATGCTGATTAGGCGAGGGTCCTCGAATTGATCAGCGACTTCAGAAACAACCCAGACCGATGGACGAGTTCCCTCCAAACGTTGTTCCCACAAAGGCTTGCAGCGTGCAATACCTGGTATTGCCATACTCCCTAGTCTCTTCATGTCTTCATCTGGTACCAACAGAAGGTACATACCCCCGAGTCGCCGACGAGATAAGCCTCAGCTGTCCTGCACCATTTGCAGAAGCCGCAAGTAATTCCTCAATCCACTAGACACCAAACACATCTCCATACTGAAAAGCTCTCCAGACTCAAATGTGACCGAAATCATCCATGCCAAAATTGCCGCAAACGAGACATAGCTCCCTCGTGTACTTACGTGCCATTCGAACGACAAAGTGTTCAATATAACAACCATGCTCAGGGTTCGTTCCCCGCGCCCGGAGGTGAAGCGGTCCGCTTAACTCAAACTCCCACCAATTTGATACCTCAGGTCAATTTGGCAGCAAGAAGTGCCTCTACAGTGGGTAGATCGAGCGCTGCGTCATTGGATGGCCAATCCAGCCTATCTGAATTCGACGAACCACCCGGACGAGTAGACATGAGAAACACGAAGACGATTCATGTTGAGAGAGCACACTGGGCAACGCCACTAAGTCAGGTATGTACGGCAATACCAACGTATCATACCTGGCAATCTTTTTTCTGGGTGCATTACCCTTCCCAAGCCTTATGGATGATGTTGTCGTTCTTAAGCCTGTTGTGAGTGACATTGACTCTAGGTCATTGGTTACAGTGATTCCCTGCAACCACCCAGAGATACCTTACTGCTAGATGGACAAGCGGCGGTCAACCTCAGTCCGAATAGTCCAGATCTGCTCTTTGGAAACCAGGAGCCAGTTTCTTTCGATAATATGCTATCTTCCTTTCCCACAAGGAATGTAGTCGACCGTCTTCTGTCGTGGTTTTTCGCCTCTGTCGATCTCGCTCCTGGTGAGTTCTTAGCAATGTCTTATGATGGAAGCCCTAATGACATGAGCAAGCTGTGCTGCATTCTGGCACTTTTGCCAAAGAGGTGACAAGCTTGATTCTCGCTATATGTTTCGCAGGATACTGATTTTTGAGCAGTATGAGAAGTTTTGGGAAAGTCCTAGGACAATCCCAGTGGCCTGGCTTAGTCTGCTTTTCAGTTTGATGTCTCTAGGGGCCCATCTGAGCACTCTTAAGGGAGATGGACCTCTTGGGCTGCCCGAGACCTCGCAGGAGATGTCATCCCATTTTCACAAGAAAGCAGCACAATGCCTTATTCTCAGTGAATATACCAAACCCCAAAAAAATACCGTTGAGGCACTCATTTTGTACTTTGCCTCAGAGACTATTCGACATCCTGGACTGCCTTTCAGCCTGCACATCGTGTTTGGTATCATTGTTCGCATAGCCATGCGCATGGGATATCATCGCGACGGCTCATTGTACCCGAGCATCTCCGTCTTTCAAGCAGAGATGCGTCGTCGAGTCTGGACCTGGATTCGTATGGCCGATATACTGATGTCTTCACAACTTGGAATGCCAAGACTCATTGCAGAAGGTGTCGATGATACAGCGATTCCTCTGAATTTGCTTGATGACGACTTTGATGAAGATATTGTGAAGTTACCGAGCCCTAGGTCTGACCTTGAGTCCACAGCAATATCCTATCTTGTGCAGAAAAGCAAGCTGATAGAAGTTCTTGGGAGGATAATAACCACCGTCAATCACCGAACACCTATCACAAATAGCAAGATGATGGAACTCGATGAACACCTTGGTGAGGTACATCGCTCTCTACCACCATGGCTCCTAGTCAAAGCACGTACCAGTTTCATTACTGATGCTCCTCACGTCCTTCTCCGACGCATTGCTATTGATATGGCTTACCGGAGGGCTCAATGTATCTTGCATCGGCGATCATTCTATTTGCATTCGCAGGATACGTACTGCCAATATTCAAGAAATGTATGCGTCAAAGCTGCAATGCAGATCTTGGATCACCAATCATCACTTTACAAAAACGCCCAGCCAGGAGGCTGTTTCCATCAAGAGCGTTGGAAGATGACCTGGCATTATACCAACGACTTTCTACTTGGCGCCGTCATTCTATACCTTGAACTTAGATCTATGGTTCAAGGCCGACAAGATGAGCAGAACGTGCCCTATCCCAGGAGAGACTTGATGAAAGCCATCCACGGATCCTTCGAGATCTGGGCCCAAGCGTCAGCGACTTCCAATGAAGCCGCAAATGCTTCACATATCTTAAGTCTAATGCTTGAGAACCTAGGTGTTACATCAAATGCTACAATTGGCACGATATCACACCCTCCAGGGAATCCAGGTCCAAGCAATCATAATTTTATGCGTGAGTTTGGTGCCGGCTGGAGCCCCCCCCCCCCCCCCCCCGCGGAACGAATTTTGTGCACCAAACACCATGTACAGAATTGACTACGTTTCCTATTATACACGGGAACAAGCTAATAGATCTCTTGGAGCAGCTTCACTGGACCTTTCAAGCCTATCGATAGCTCGGCGTCCGGTCGGTTATGACATCGTAGGGGATCCCTTTTCATCCACGTTCGACATGATTGAGAACAGCATGAATGCACCGATTCATCTCACTTGGGTAGGTGACCTATCTACTGCGATCAACATATCGTATCGTAACAATGCTGACATACTTCGCTTTGAACGTTTAGGGCCTTTGAAACAGCATGGGTTTGACTTAGCTTGAGCTGCAGTGAGCCTAGCAAGATTTAGCCATCGAGGATACAGTAAGTAGTGTGAAGAGGATACCATCGATCACTACCTCCGACTGTCCTGCCCAGCACTATGTTCGTACCAATGATACCTACCGATAGACCCCAAGGAACGCAAGTCTAATAACGGTGAATGATGTTGTGTTGCGAAAGTCCGATTGACTGCAGCCTAGTCGAGCCAAGTGGAGGTACGCAGGGCCATCAGGCTGAGTCCCCCGGCACTCAGGAGACATGATTGCCCGCCGCTAGAGACGAATAATTATCAGCAAGAATCCTTATCTCTTATGCCATTAATCCACAAGTGTAAGTCCAACCCGGAACACATTATCATTCTCGGAGACGACGAGTGACGGAGCATAACCATTGTGATATTCAAGATACCACCTAGGACGGTCAAGGCGGTGCAACCAATCGGAGGGTCAGATTTGAGCGGATGGTAGATGCCCCCAGATCTGTCCTCGTTTGGATACCCAGGTCATTTCTCGGTCGACCAGGTAACTCAGGACAGTCTGCTTCGTTTCACTATGTCGCCGCCATTACTGCTATCTCCGGGTCTTTCAGGTTGCCATCGGCAGTCCATCTGACTCGACCTATTTAGATTCACATGAAGTTCCTGTCCGTGTTTGCCACAACAGCCTAGCTACCAATCACCAAAGAAGCATTTCTCCGCCTTGGATGACAACTAATACCATGAGCGGCATTAATCCTTTTGCAGAGCAAGAGGTTGTTTCCTCGACTTCTCTGATAATCGCAGACTTATTGATTCCTGGTCGAGGAGAGCCAATCAAAGATGCAGCTCTCGTTTTCAATGGCGGCCGTATCCTCTACGTTGGAGGCAAAGACCAGATGCCAGAAATCTACACATTGTTGCCTGCCACTAGGTTACCAGTCGTTATGCCGGGCCTCTGGGACTGTCATGTCCATATGCTTGGCCACGTCCATTTTTCAGGGACAGCAATCTGGAATTTGAATCCTGTCATTGCTGGTGCCAGACTCATTCGTGACGCAGCTGAACTGCTCGGTGCCGGTTTCACCTCAATCAGAGACTGCGGGGGTCACGGTCTGTTGATCGACAAAGTCATTCAAGAAGGCCACATGCCAGGGCCCAAAATCTACTCTTGCAACGCCTTGATCAGTCAAACAGGTGGCCATGCAGACAACCACGAGCTGCCACTGAATGTATGGCGTGATGCATGTGAGAAACGGGTTCCTTGTCATCTCTGCGATGGCCCCGACGAGTGTCTGAAGGCTGTTCGTCTCCAGCTTCGACAAGGCGCAAACTTCATCAAAGTTTGTGCCAGCGGTGGCGTCGGTAGTCCCGGAGATAATCCTGAGCACCGACAGTTTTCAGACCTAGAGTTAGAGGCCATGGTCGCTGAGGCTTCTCGTGCTGAGAGAATCGTTGCCGCGCACTGCCATGGCAAATCTGGAATCATCGCAGCGTTGAAGGCGGGAGCCCACACCATCGAACACGGGACGTACATGGATGAAGAATGCATCAAGCTGATGTTGGAGAAAGGAGCAATTCTTGTTGCGACAAGGGCCATCAACGAAGCCGTAAAAAAGCAAACACAGCTCTTGAATCCCGAGAGCTTGAAGAAATTTGAGAAGATCGAACCTCAAAGGCGGGCAGCATACGCAGCTGCAGTCAAAGGTGGTGTCAAAATCGCATTGGGCTCCGACTTTGGTGTGAGCATACCAGGGCATCATGCCGGACATGGTGCAAATGCCTTGGAATTGAAATGCGCAGTCGACGCAGGGATGACTCCGTTGCAAGCCATCGAAGCTGGTACTGCCAACGGGCCGTTAACTTTAGGACCACAGGCTCCGTTATCTGGAGAATTGAAGGAGGGATATGATGCCGATTTCATTGCTGTTGCGGGCAATCCTTTGGATGATATTGAGATCCTGACAATGCCGGACAATATCACGCATGTGTGGCGAGGCGGGAAATTGTATAAATCTCCTGGACTACCCGTAGTAACCAGCAAGCTTCAGAAATGAGAGAAATGACTATGGCCTCATCTGCTAGTTCTGTTTCGAAAGCTTTCTCTAACTTCATAAGGCGCAGGATAGCAGTGGTTCGTACTCAACTTCAGTATTTCAATATAAGTGAATCACTCCTAGTCGTCAGCCCCTGCCCTTTTTCTCTTGTCACTGGTATCATGAGCCAAAAGTCCGGGTGCCGGGGTTGAAAAATCTCAGTCTCTCACCGATTATATCCTTGACTAGGACCAATGCCGACTTTAGGACCTTTCAGTGTGATAAGGACAATTTGCGTGATCTGGTTGATGACGCAGCAAATGAGCATGATATTATTCCTATTCACACACACTCTCTCTCTCTTCCCTCGAGCGGCTATATATATATATATTTTATATATGCCCCGAACTGTGCTTTATCCATTACCATTTCTGTTCAGGAAAAGGAGCGAGGCTGCTTTAATCTGGCACGTGCCAGAGCATCGAGGGAGCTGCGGCAGAGTCTGGGAGAGCCACAGGGAGCGCTATCTGATGCCCGCTCTCGGAAACCAGTTCGGGCTTAGGGGTGCCCTTTGGGCCTCAACTATGGATGCCTAGCTGTAACCCCGTACATGTTCCCAAGCCTACTGCGTGGTAACTTTCGATCATTTCGCCACTTGAACCCCCCTGGCGCTCATATCCAAAGGAGTACGGAGTATACTGTAATATGTACCTAATCAATTCTTCTCTTCGAAAGCCAAGCCGTTTCATACACTGTTGAGCCTATACCAAAATACTTGGCGGCGAATCCTGAGTCTCGACTTGGCGATCCCTGAGACGTGCCCGGAGTTTGTAAATGTTCGCCACTCCTCGGGCCCGGACTTTCTCGGTTATTGTTGCCAGGAGTACCGTCAGGCCAGCTTTTCTGGCCCCATTGCTGCCTAGAGTGGGGAGTATTTGATAACCAGCAAGCGGGCCACGCCTAGTCTGCTGAGCCTAGACCTCCGTGGCCTCCGACCGTGCGGGGATTGAAGATTTTGTGCCTAATGGTGAAGGTCGTTTCTGTCACTATATGGATTTGCTGGTGGTTGAGAAATTAAACCAATGGGCTATTTCATGACATCATTGGTCCTCCGCACCTCACTCTGGGGTCCCCGCCGTAATTCCGACCATTTACGACTATTTCCTACAATTCCGACAATTCCAGACGAACAATTAGACCACCTCCATAGACATTCTAAGTCTCGCGCGGGTGAATCTGGTCTGGGCCAGGTGGAGAATTCGGATAGGTCTGCTTACCTGCCACGAAACAAACCTTTACTCCCACTGTGCATCATTTGGTAGATGTTATGGGTAAGGTGATCTTTGTTCATCCCATCGAAAGAATGAGTTACTTGGTACCTCTCGATATGCTGACAATTTCCAGTGATTCTCTACTCAGAGGCAATGGCGTCGCCATGATCGGCGCGGCATCCGGGACATGTATCTTCATAGCTCGCTCGCTGGCCTGCGAAGGGGCGATCGTGTTTGTTGCCGGACCTTCAGAAGCTGCACTACTTGAAATTGCGGGTGATGATCCGAAATTACCATGGATCTCAAACTCGTGGCACCGTCACTGATATGGGTCAAGAGTCAAAGAAACAGATGGGCGGATGGATAGAGGGAGTGACGTTAACATTCGATCACTTTGACAGTGTGGCATGTGACGGCCATTTTACTTGTATCTATCCAGTTGGTGGATATTGCAGATGGACGACGCAGCCCAGTACCATGCTCGATATTAACTAAACTGTGCGAGACACTCCGCATGCGCATAGGTGATCGTGATTCTCGAGTGGTAAAGCATTGTCAACCCTTCAAGAGTGGCAGCCCTCATAGTCGGACTGATTCGGTTCTCTTGCTGTTTTGCCAGTAAACGTAGAGTCATTGCCTTGATAAAATATGCTTGTCGCACAAAACGCAGGATTCAGAGAATTCGGCTCCATCTCATCACGTCGCAGAGACTTTTCATTTCCCACGTTAGTCTCTTTGCGTCGAGAAGCTGAGTGTAGGTGTAAACCCTGACAGCAGAGAAATTACAACATCAATGAAAGTACAGGCGTCGCAGCTCATTACCAACCCTGAATTTGTGCAAGCGAGAGGTGGAGGCGGACCCTGGATACCAGAAGACAGTAAGGGTCTCTGATAGCAATCCTTGTTGGGGAGTATGAAACGATGTTGTTCTGCAGAAGCAGAAAATCCTGGTTGAAAAAGGTTCGCTCTGCTAGATCCCAGCTGCTTATAGGAGAGAAGTATACACCGCAACACGCATCGCTTCTCCTCCTTTCCTCCTCTCCCGGCCTTTTCCCCCTGGTAGGGCATTAATCCAATAGGCCTTAGATTTTGCGGGAGTCGGTTGGTTCGCCAAGGGCCTCGGGTGTCTTCGAGCGGGGTGGCGCTGAATCGTGGCAACAATAAAACGATAAAACCTGCCAACAATCCCCTACGGGAAAAGTCGACTTGGTGTCCTAGACCATCCGTGATTCACCTTCCAGGGCCTTTTGAACTACACCTCAAAAAGACGATGGACCACAGACCATCACATCCCGCTGATGCCAGCTTTGACGAGCCACAAGTCACGGCTGACACCGCAATCACACGAGATCGTCTAGCTGCCTCAAAGCGTGGCCGTTATGTTATGCGTGCCTGGTAAGGAAGATGATGTCGTTGAGAACAGTACACCGCTGACCTCTGCCAGTGAGGGTTGCCATCGACGTAAGGTCAAGGTGGGCTGGCCTTCTGGTTATAGCGCTGTGGGTAGCTTCTGATCAACTTTTGTTCAGTGTTCCATAGAAAGACCTTGTCCACAGTGTCGCTATACGGGTGAAGAATGTACCTATACGACCGGGCGATATAGAAAGAGAAAGAAGACGAAAGATGTCTTGCACGTTTCTTCCCCAAGGTATGTGCGGATACCATTGGTCCAGCACTTCGGAACGTTGAGAGTTGCCAGATCAAGCAGCCAAGGAGCATGCAATGTTCCTGCACAGACCTCCGGCTTCGTGCTGTCTCCCGAACAGACGAAAGACCCTGAGACCTGGAAATCGAAGGTCATTGCCCGCCTGGACGCCATAGAAAGAAGGTTAGATGGTGATCACGACGTCAGGCGAGAACCAGAGACCATCAGCGCGACAACTTCCGAGTCGGGTGTGTCACTTTCCCCGGCACAACATGAGAGATGTCGTTTCCCATTCATGAGGGAATTCTCTGAAGACATTCAGGACATGCATGCGACCTTTCAAAGTGGTACGTCATTGCTGCCTCCGATTTCCACTCTCCAGCGTGCCATCGGTGGAAACGTTGAGCAGGAAAACTCCCCTCAGACGTCAAGATCAGAGTGCATGAGTTTATGTCCGTTTACACGATCAACTCGTCCGAGTACCTGCTATGCTCTTGAACGCCAGATGTGGGGAGATAGCACACCGGAAGGATACAGCGTAGAGAAACTGCGAGAGTATGTCAAAACATACTTTAGCTGTCTGAACCCCCATTGTAAGTCTTTGACCGGTGCAACCAAAACACCTCCGCTTCATTCGAGTTTCCACTGATGGGACTTGCAGATATGTGCATTGATGAAAGATCTTTTCTCAATCACCTAGAGTGTTATCTTGCCCGAGATTATAGCCCTTTCAAGTACACGGATCTCTTTCAGTTTGTGGCGCTCATCAATATCGTGGTTGCGGTGGTCAGGGTACTTGGGGAATGCTCCCCATCCCCAACCTCTAGGCCGTCATTGGCTTCCGGCTGGAAGGAATTCATTCAGGCAGAACACCTCCTCAGCCACACAACATGGCTCGGCAACGGTGACATATTGACTATTCAATGCCTTTATCTGAAAGCTTACTACTGCATTTTTGCGGGGAAGACAACGGCAGCAGCGGATGCCATCAGCAACGCTGTGCGTTTGTGCTTCCAGATAGGTCTGCATGACCAAAATGTCTGGAGTGATGGAGCCCCGTGCGAGATGCAGATGGGACAGCTTCTCTTCTGGAGCTTGTACTGCCTGGACCGTCATGTAGCAATTGTCTGCGGTACGCCATATCTGATTCGGGAATCTCTCTGTCGTGTGGACAAACCCATCTCAGACGCTGATCATGATGTCGTTGCTACCATGCCGTCTTTGGGACACGTTCCCGGCTACTCGCCAGTCTCTTATCTCCACGCCACCATCAAATGGGCTTCCCTCTGCTCAGATATCTGCGACTCTACGTTTGGAATCAATGCTGTGAACCCTCAGAGTCAGGAAGCAGTTGCTTCCTTGGACGCACGGGTGACTGTACTGATTGATAATCTACCCGAGGAGCTACAGTGGCGGCCAGGGATGGTTCAAGGCAAAAGCGAACAGAGGTTGCCTCTATATGTATACCGTCAGGCGTTCATCATCAATTTGGTAAGTACCTGTCGCGGTGGTGTCCCCGTGTTGAAGGAATTAATCAGCTGACATTCAGTTTGACAGCGTGCAAATCACCTTCGGCTACTCCTGCGACGTCAAGAAATGGTCAGCCTGAGTTTCTCTTCCCGGACTGCCGAGACTTGCGTCGAGATTGCAAAGGTTTCCACCGACCTCGTCTCCGAATTTCACGTATCATCTTGGAGCCAAAGAACAGATCGCTTCTCATCTGTCATATTCCTTGCCGCGGCGCTCATTCCGCTGATTTGCATTCTGGTAAGGCACGACAGTCGGGATGAACTCAGAGAAAAAGCCATTGCTCCCTACTGCAAGGCTCTCAAAATTATCCAAGATCATTCCAACAGTCTGGCATTTGCCCAAAACATTCTCCAGAGACTTGGGTGTCTCATCGACGCTGCAAACACAATCATTGTGGCGAGAGAAAACGCGAGTTACTCGAGTCAGCAGGCTTCCCATCCAATTGATCTTCTTCCTGACCTTCAATGGCTTACTTCTGCTGAAGGCTTACAAGGAGACATGGGCTTGTGCGAAAGTGAGAGCTTCATGAGCCAATCGCTCGCTGCTTTGAATACCACATCATGGGAGTATCCCACCGATGCTGACGCCCAAGACTATCTTCCCTTATTGAGGTTCGCCACTTAATTGGACACAGCATTGCCCTGAAAGCTTCAATAAACATAATTTCTTCTAAGATTTATTGCTAGTTTGCTCACATTAGAAATGTATTCTCATATTTAAATATATATATATAGATTTCTGATGGATTAGATTCCACTTTCTCAACCTCGCGCCCTGGGAGAGAGGCGTCCATCACAATAGAGGATGAATGATGTTGCAGCTACGCAGACACTATCCGCATTGTTCCTGGTCACTGTCTCGCCAATTGTCTCTGCGATACTAGGCTCGGTTGTTCTAAAGAACCTTCGTTTGGCATCAAGGTTTGGAACACATTTCATTCACGCTCGGAGTGTAAAGCAAGCGCAGGGACATGCCGGGCTTCGCATTATTTGCGCCGTAAACGGCAAATAAGAGCTCTTAAGTTAGAAGATGGCCACAGCATTAGGTGGACTGCCCACTCCGCCTGTGATGTGGATTGGCATGCTCGATACGAAGAAGGAATATCTTTTGAGTCGCAAACACTGCTTGCTCAGCTCTTCGAGGTCAAACATTTCACCTGTTTTGGGTCAGGACGGGACATAGAAATGGGAGTGAAAGCTGGAAAGGTACATAAGAGGCCACGACTTGCGCGTGCCCCCCCCTCTCCCCCTGGGGAAAAATGAGCCAGACTTACCAATTGGCATGCCCCAGCCACTCAACATCACCTCGTGCAAGGCCAGATCTTCTGAGCCTCCTCCAATGTCACTTCTACCACTCCACGTGGGGAAGGCTTCCCACCCCGGCGCATCTCCAGCACATGCGCTGAACCCTGAGTTCCACAACCATCTGGCAGTGCTTAGAGAAGTCTCAATGCCGGTCCATGCCGCTGGTTTGGACGACCAGGCGATCTTCTGCTCCTCCCCAAGTGCAGCATAGCCCACAGAGAAACCTGATCGCACGAAAAGGATATCGCCATGCTTGATTTCCAGATTTTGCGCGCTTGCACACGCTTGCATCTCATCCGCAGTTATAGCGTGGCCTTCAAGGAGGTCATATTCTCTGTTTTCCGACTGGGCCCATTGAAGGTAGTCGATGAGGATTCCGCGGCCTACGATTCCTCCTCTCTTAACCCAGGCTGCTCCGGCCCCCACCCGTCAGTCTTCGTCCGCTAATATCATATATATGGAAGGGGGAGATGTGCTCACCATCGGTTCCCAAGATGCGGGTTGCCCCTTGTCCCGAAATGTCATCGGCTGTAAACCCGTTGTAGAAGAGACCAGACTTTTGATACGCAACGTGTCGATAACCGTCCCACTGCGAGGATATCTTCAAACTTGGAATTTCAGCATGGATTTCTTTCCGCGCCTGATGCCCACGTGGAACTCGTCCAGTTTTGGCCACATACCTGAGTATTCATGGAAATAACGTCGTCATGGCTGACCTTTTTTTTGCCTCGGATGACAGTGTGCTGGAGCGGCTGGCGACCGTGTGAGGGTTGTAATAAGTGATCGACTGGATAATCTAGAGGCACTCGGATCCCGGTTCGAATTTCTCGGGCAGCTTCTTGCACTATCTCAGGCGTCAGCAGATTGAGGGTCCCTAGTTCGTCTTTTTCGCCGTACAAGCCCCAAGCGGAATGAGGGGGGTCGCCTTCACGCATGGGCAGGTCGTCAAAAAATGGTCTTTCCATTATGTATCACGAGTGTTTGGTTCCAGCGTAGCGGGAAAGGTGGTCTAGCGTTGAAGAATAGATATGAATTGAGAAATTGGTACGGAAACAAAGGAGGTAAGAAGAAGAATCCTGACCCCGTCCAGTGTCCGTTTCTGATATTGCAGAACAGAACCATCGGCAACTTTGTTCGGTATTTGGATTCTTTCCATCTACCGACCGAAAAATCCCTCGAACGATTCAAATTCCTTCCGACGGCGAGACTCTTCACCATACTAGCGTGGGTTTTTGATCCCAGAGCACTCAAATTTGAATCTTTTATCAAGGCATTTCCGTTCGCAGACCTGAGCCTGTAGGCCCTGGTGTGCTGACTCCGCCATTTTGACCTGTGGCTTTTGAGTCTCGCCCTCGATATCTTGAGCAGCCCTGGGTCTGTAATTGTTCCCACAACTTAGCTCTTATAATCCCAAGTCTTTGGTGTTACGATTACTCGGCAGTGTTCAATTCCATGTTCCACACTATTTCCAGTTCAATAACAGAACACTTCTATTCTGGGGTTCCGGGGCCGCACATCGAATCCGAATAGAACCCAGCTCGCACTTGGAATATTGCGAAGGCACTATTGGTTTACGCAGGGACAGGGGAGTTTTACGGGTCACTTCTATAAAGCAGCATACTACCCTTCAAGATTAAGCCTGTTGGGACGATATTATCAGCCCGCATAGAGCCTAAAATCTCTTGATTTTTGTATAAGAAAATTCAAGAGCATTGCAAAGCAGGCCCTAAGAGACCGATAATATTCCATAGAAGTCTAAGGTCTTCAAATGACATTACTACAGCGTGACAAATGGACAACGGCCAAGGAAGCTACCATACTTAGAATTAACATCTGTTGCACAAGTGGTGGTTCGATCAAAGCTGAAATTTCATACTCGCTCAAACAACTTCACCTTCCGCAAGATCTGTTGACCATCGCGTCTACTGCAGGCCACAGGATCTGGATGGGGCGCTTTTGCATCGCGACTTCCTGCAGCACACTTCTGCTTAACATTGGCCCCTTGCTCCATAATTCGGGAATAACGGCCGGCGTAGGGCGGAAATATCAAAAGCCGAGTTTCCGTTCTTTGACCGAGCAGCGGGATCCGTATGGTGTGCTCGCCTGGTTCAAACTAATCAACAAGCTTGCTAACTAGCAAACGGTGTTGCCGTTTGACCTCAGGATAATGTTCAGCCCAGGCTGTTTTGACCTGCTGAATTAGAATTTCAAAGATGGCATGAATCCGAGTCAAATTTTGTTGAGAACTAGCTGATACTATTGTAAACAGAGAAAACGAGAGAGAATGGACTTGAATCGTAATAGTATTTGTTGACCTTTAGGTACATAACGTAGCGAGTGGGCCTTGACCCAACCGTCGTACAGTATTCTCGCCCTTTTTTGCCAAGACTTACCACCTTGAAGTTCAGTAAAGACGTTAGTCTCGTTCGGTCTCAGAAGACTATCGCAAGACCGTTTCGCCTTCCCATTATTCGCTTCCTATGCAATTGAGCAGCTGTGCTAGCCGTCCGCCCAATCCTCATGCTGTCTAAAGTTTCGAGTGTTGAGCGCGTCAGGGCAGTCACAGATTTGGATTGCCGGCTTCTTTCATGAACTCCCGTTTGCGATTGTGCCATTCGACTCTCCGGACCTTTCATGTACCCAAAGAACATACGTTAGTTCGGTGCTGTGATTTCTAATCGTTCGAGAAGCACCGGCGGGAACATAAACGGCGTCCATCGCCAACAATTCCTCATTGCGGGAATCGTCCAACCTAACAACCGCTTTCCCACGTACGACCACACAGAGTTCGGCATTTTTTCTATTGTGGATGGTTTGGCGATGACCTTCAGGGATGCACAACAGGCCGATGGCGACTTTGTCGTTATACATGGCATGTTCTGGAGTGAAATTGCGGCTTCCGGCCACCCCACCCACCCAATTGATCATGGAATGCATCTCGCCAGGCACCGGGACCTTTGCAGCATCCCAATTGGGAACGATGTCCCTGAATGGGACGACCGTAATCTCTTCCTTTGACTCGTCTTGCGGATTGGGCATGCTCTCGTCCCAGTACGCAGTCGAACCCTTCTTTTCCAGCGCATCGTGGACCCAGAGAAGGTCGACGGCCGCATCTCCATAGGCGCGCACTCCATGTGGTACGCCGGCAGGAATGTAAACGCAATCAAGGGGACCAGCAACATGCTCGTGCCCGTACCCGTCATAGCCCAAGACTTGACCTCTCAAAATGATGTAGATTTCGGTCACAGTGTGGGTATGACGACCTTTCTGCTTGTTCCCAACGTCCAAATGCTGAAAGCCCACCGCAACGTTGTGACTGAGCACCGCGTGGCCGGGATTGGAGTTGTAATATCCCTCGGGACCAGCGACCCAATTGATGAGCCAGCGCAGCATGCCCGCTTTCTGGTCAGGTAGATGCCACGAGGGCTCGAGGTCCTTCCATCGAATCACAGTGGGTGACTTCATTTTGAGCAACAAAGACAGAGCTCGAATGTTTGGAGATGGACTGGCTTCGCCTGTTGGAAGAATGGGGGTCCAATTGAGATGCTGGACTTGGTGAACTCGGCAATGAAAGAAATGAGTTAGATGAGAAGTATGTATTGTGTTTACCTCTAGTGCTAATCTAGCCGGCAATTATACGGTGTGCATGTAGACTATCAAGGGCGCGCCTAACAGCCACTGTAGAGAGCAGGAAGTCTTATAAGATGGTCGATATGGCTTCCTCAGCCAGGGCCGGATCCTCCCACTACTGAGGTAGAGTGAAACCGGTTTCTGGAATTGACGGCGCCGAATACGGAACGGTATATTTGGTCGTTCCTTATCACGCTGCCCGCCATTACTTCATTACTTCATTACTTCAGGAAGTGTCGCTGCACAATGGCCGTATTTGCGTCAATTCCGGGCTGGGCGCGGGAAAGACCAGGGGTGCATTATTTGGCTAGGGAAAGTAATTGTTAGTGCAATAAATTGTAGTTGGAACCCAAGTATATGACAGTAGTGTTTGACAAAGATTTCAAAACGTTATCTATCCAGCTGGCAAAGTTCAATGACTAGCTTTTCATCGACCGAATAGTCAGGCTGCTTGTCCTGACCATTTATCAGACCCAGATACCATGTTGGATCACGGCCGTCAAACTCTCGACTCGCAAATCCATTTCCAAGATAGTAGAATCTGTTGTCACTTTCGTATTGCAACTCGAAATCTTCAAAGCGAGGTTTCATTACCTCCATGAAGTGAGCCCGGGAGCCAGGATAAATCCGAGGAAGTCCATCAACGGTCCCATTTTTAAACCAGCTTCGACATGGTTGATTCCAGACGGTCCTCTTCAGGAGTAAATCGCTATGCTCACGAAATTCTTGGGTAGCTTGAGCCGTTGGAGAGATGGACCTGACTCGTTCGATTTGGCATTTCTCGATGATTTGTAAGATATAGTGACATCCTTGCTCAATCGGAGGTATTAGGGATCCATTTGCGGCATTATATGGTCCTAAAGATGCAAAATAGTTGGGAAAATCAGGCACCATTGTACCAAAATAGGCGACAGGGTCAGATTCCCAGACCTTACGAAGGTCTTTACCGTTCGCAGTGATGGGAAATCGAGGGACATACGAGACGTCGAACCCAGTTGCACAGATAATAACGTCAACTTGGTGTTCATTGCCCTCGTGATCGATGAATCCATCCCGCGTAATCATGCGGACCTCATCGGTATAGGTAGAGACGTTAGAGCAGAGAAGAGCTTCCAGATATCCGTTTCCAGGGGTCGGTCGACGACAGCCCACACCATATTTAGTTGGGATAATCTTCTTGATCAGCTCCGGACGACTCCTGAGTTGATTCTCCATTTGTTGTCGTGCAAAGCGGACGGCATCCCTTGCTTCATCGGTGTTGTCCATCATAAAATTGAAGCGCTTACCTAGCTCTTCGTCCAACATTTTCATATATCTGAGGTGTGCGTCTTTCTCGGTAGCAAACCGTGCTTTTAGCTCATCAGGGTATGCAAAGTTGGTACCGTTTGAACCCGCGAACTTAGAGGCGAAACCAGAACTAATCCATAACGGTGATCTAATCCAAGTGTAGAGATGATCAACAAGGGGCTGAATGGTCGCGACAATCTGGACGCCCGAAGATCCAGCTCCAAAGACCGCGACCTTCTTGCCTTTGAGTTGAATACTCTCGTCATAGTTAGCTGAGTGTACTAGCTGTCCCTTAAACGAATGAAGTCCTTTAATCTGCGGCCATTTCCAGTTGTTAAGGAGCCCACATCCGTTGATCAGAAAGTCACACGTATCCGTGAATTGAGCTCCGTCAGGCGTTTGTACCTCAACGATCCATTTTGCAGTGCTAGGGTTCCAGTTGGCCCCAATGACTTGGTGTTTTAGCTTGATGAGCTTCGTCAGATCATGCTTATCAACGACGTCCTTGAAATATTGGAAAATTTCTTTTGCGCCAACGTAGTAATGCGACCAGTGAGGATTAGGTGCCCATTGAAACTGATAGATGTGAGCGGGAATGTCGCAGGCACAACCTGGATATCGATTGTCGTGCCAGGTGCCTGAAACCTCGTCACTTTTTTCGTATATTTGAACATCAAGATTCGGTATCGTCTTGGAGAACTGAGCAAAACATATACCCGTAGCTCCTGCTCCGATGGCAATCACCCGCTTTGGTACATGGGTTCCGTACGGCCGCTCGAGGATCTCATATCCTCGTTGGTTGATTCGCTCCCAGGCAAGTTTCGTTGCTTTGGCCTCCGAACCTGCACTAGGCACTTCTTCTAAGAACGGTGCCATGGAATTGATGATGATTCTGGATGGTAGCTAAAATGCTCCTGTTGCCGCCACGAGTTTTGAAACCCAAACTGCAATATTTGTACAAGTGCAGCATCCATTGCGTCGCTAGCAGACCGTTCAGTTAGGTATGACATGGTTTTCCGGATTTCCGATGTTACCGAGCGATCAAAGCTTTGCGGGAAGCGAGAGGTTCTTGAACGGGTCAGCAACTGCTCTCCCTGACTGGTCCTATCGTCTCATTCCATCGTGCCGGATATTTCCGAATACCACCAACCGGGTTGTCTTCTGGGCCGGCTACTGACTACATGTAGGTCACGGTAAATATGTGATACCTCTTTACTGCCTGGACTGCCCTTGCCTGTTATATGCGGCGAAAAAGCAGTATCGGGATTCCGATTTTGCAATACTTCCGTGCTAGACGAGAAAACCTAGGCACTGTGGCCTCCATCGACACCAAGGATTTGCCCATTCACATAACTTGCGTCTTTAGAAACCAGAAAGGCCACCACGCTTGCCAGCTCTTTGGGGTCCCCAGTTCGATTTGCCGGGGATCTACACGCGGCCACAAGCTGATCAATGTACGATCTCTTCGAAACCTCATCCTCCTGTTGATCTGCAAGCCCCGCGAAGGAACCAACTCCGACTGCATTGAGTCGAATTCCTTCAGAACCAATCTCCCTCGTGGTTTGTTGTATCAATTTCAAGATTGCCATTTTGGGTACAGCACTGCAGCCGTCGTATTCCAAAGTCCTTAGCACCGCAGTGCTCAGGAGGAAAAGGAGGGATCTGTTGGTGCCCTTCTGTTGTCGGAGGATGTTGATGCCTCGCTTAACAATGTTGAAAGCTCCCACTACTTCTGTCTCCACAATCAGACGGAAAGTTTCGTCTGGTACCTCGACAATCGGACAGATAGGGATTGACGCCCCGCAGGCCATAACCACTGTATCCAGCCTGCCCCAGTATCTCGCCGCCTCCTCGAGGAACTTTTCAACAGAGAGACCGTCAGAGACATCGACTTGCCCGATCGTGGCCTTTAATCCGAAGTCGTTGATGTGCGCCACGACGTCCTCAGCTTTTTGCCTGTTTCTGTAGTATCCAACGGTGACGGCACTGTCTTGTGCTAGGCGTAGTGCAATTGAAGACCCAAGCCTCCCATTAGCCCCTATAATGGCGATGGCCATATCGACTGGGGAGCCGAAGTTCTCCGCCATATTTGATTCGCGGCATGTACAGGAGTAAGGAAATTTGGTATGACTGTGACTGAGTCGAAATAGGCTCTCGCCTTCTTATACTGAAGAACAGCAAAAGGTTGTTTGATAACCGTATGTCGGCAAGAAACCTGGCGAAATCGGCGACACGGAATTTTGTTCGGCAATTCTGCATGATGTCTCTGCCGGAGGGTTACGTCTAAAGACGGGGGCTTAGATGGGAGTTTCTAGTAGCTGTCCCTACAGTAGTTCTGATGGCAGGCTGAGCTCGTAGGCACCATGGCAAAATGTCCCATCAAATTTCTCGAGCAAAAGGGTGTCCAGCACTGTAACCTCCGCACACCGCCCAGGACTGGCCGTTGACATAGCTAGCCTCATCACTGCCCAAGAACAAGGCTACACGGGCGACCTCGTCAGGAAGTGCTCCTCTCTGGAGAGGGTTTAACTGCGCAATGGCCGGCTCAGAGCCACAATCTCGTGCCTGCTCAAATAACTTTTGCGTCATGCTAGTCTCGATCAGCCCTGGGCAGATGGCGTTGACGCGGATCAGGGTGCCTGTCAACTGATACGCCATGGTTTGTGTTATAGAGATGACGGCCGCCTTACTGGCCGAATAATTAACAGAACCAGCGTTCGCTCTCATCCCTGCGATTGATGCGGTCCCAATGATACTGCCACTCGAGCTCGGTTTCTGTGGACTCGTCCGCATCATCGCCTGGGCAGCATACTTTGCACACAAAAAAAATCCCAGTGCGTTGACTGCCATTAATCGCATGAATTGGTCCGCCGAAATGCTCGCGAACGTCCTCGAAGATGAGCTGGAGACAGCCGCACTAGGACTGGCAATACCCGCGTTGGCAAATATGATGTCTAGTCTTCCATAGTCCTTGATAACTTCGTCGACAACATCCTTCACCGCGGCCTCGTCGCTGACGTCCAATTGCTTACAGTGAACATTGACCGTGGGGTATAGTGAGTGGAGTTCCTTTTTGTGCGTCTCCAAGTAGTCATCTCGTGCGTCACAGAGATATATCGCATGTGCACCGTTCTGGGCATATTGGTGAGCCGTTGCTCGGCCAATTCCCAAAGGCGAGTTGCAGCCTTGTAAGACAAACATCCCCATCATTAGCTAAATGACAGACCTGAATGCGCGAAATCGGGCTTATGCGTACCAGTCACTACAATTACCTTTCCTGGCACTCGCGGCCCAATCGATGACCCTGCGACTTGACATATTTTCGGCATGCCGTCGAAGGAATCGTCGGTAGGAGCGCCAACGAGTTGTTCCGAAGTTATAGTGGGACGGGAGCTCATGTTGTCAGCTTGATCACAGAAGTTACCAGAGATGACCTGTGACCCTCCGCACCAAAACCAAAACCAAAACCAAACAACGAAGCAACAAAGGTGGTGTAGGTGCAAAAATTATACAAAACCGCTCTGTAAAGGATACGTAGCGTCACCCCTGTCGAGCAAAAAACTAACATATGGGAAGGCAAGTTTTCGGCTAGCCACCAACGATATATGAGAAATGATGGTTTGTAACTTTTGTATGATCATCCCCAAGACACCAATTCGTGTGGAAATATGCTAATGCCGTAGACATGCCGAGCGGGCCGCGGGAATTTTTGGTTCTGCGACGGATCGGTCGATCAACATTTGCTCTATCAACGCATTCACACTACAGCTGCAACTATTTTATGAATAAGCGTTTCCAATGAAATTGAGTCCTGGCTATTTGGATAGTAAAACGAGTTCAGTGCCACAAGATGTCGTGCTAGAGAGTTGAGCATTCATTTAGCCACCATCAGCTCTACCTGGGCTCGGATCTACATTACCAGCATTATGTCCGTTTTATCTTGGTTCCTTTGAAAATTGGCAAATGTCAGCCTCGTAACATTTCTTTCTCATCAGAAACAGGTGCGCGCATATCTATTTCAGAAATATCAGAGGCTGAACAGCGTTTTGCAACAGCACTGCATCTGTCGCTGCCGTTCCTGGTGTGAGAGAAGCCATCTGAAGAGCTTGACCGACCCCAAATTCCACGTTTCACCAGACTTACACATGGACCAGATTTCGTGACCTTGAAAACGTTCAGAGTAGTCATTTCTTGTCGAAGCCGGGCACTGTCATGTTATGCAAGGACAATTTTGATCTTTTGGACCTGGATTTCAGAGATAGGCTCTGAGGATTGCATCGTGCTAGAGGACTTTACGACCAAACAATGAGGGTCAGACCATTGGATTGGACATCTCCTAAGATATTACCTCGTGTATGCTAATTCATGATCTGAAGTTGAACTACGTTCTCGGTATGAAATGGATCTGCCTTGGTAGATCCTCGACTATTTTTCTACGACTACTATCCAGATCAGAGGGGATGATGAACCCTCCGATGACCTTTTTTTGCAGATCGCAGCTGAGGAGGGACCCAAAACCAATTGATCAAACTATGTCAGCCAGATATAATACTGGAGGGCTCTATCCTAATCGAGGGAGGAGGAAAGAAAGCTGGTGGTGGCGATAGTGATAACTCGCCTTGACTAGTATTCGACGCTGCCACCCCTAACATGAGCGAAGTGGACCAGTCGACACTCCAGGTTAGGCATAAACATTGGGATAAGACACTCGATACGATCTCAAAAGCAAAATAGAAAAAATTGAGCAGTTTCAGATTTTGAGAAGGAATGCTGTCCAAGTAGCGCAAAAAGACAGTCCAAGCTTCAAAGCCGGAGCTCTGAGTGTGTGCTCCTCCTGGAAGAGCTTACTGGCAACTGCGGCTTGACACCCGTTCCAGCCTGGCGAGGAGACAGAAAATCTGATTCCGACCTCGAAACCGACATTCTGGTTTGAGCCTCTTCTTCGCCGAAGGTTCAGTATTGCCCGGAAGGGACCCGCTCTCCCCAAAAGACGGCGATGACGGAATGTTCGGTACCTTTGGTTTCGATGTGCACTGGAGCCCCGCTTCTAACTACACCATATAGATTGGAGATATCGACCGAGGACACACTTTCTCTTCACTAACGAGACCACTTCCAACAGACGACTAGATCGATTACCCTCGAACAAAATGGACAAGTCAGAACAAGCAGAAGTCGCCCTTTCGAACAAGGTCGAAGACCCTGTCAAGCCCATCACTACGGAAGAGCTGGACGACGACCCTGTATTCTCTAAGAATGAGCAGTCAGATATCAAACGACTCATCGATCGCTCCTTGATTGTCATCACCGGGCTCATGTACATGATCGCAATTCTAGACAGGGCTAATTTGGGCAACGCAGCAATAGCCGGCATGTCCGAGGATCTGGGATTGGGGTCGGCTATCGTTATGTGAGTACTGCTCTGGAAATCTTTCAAGTATTGCCGTACGCGACATGCGCTGATGCAGTGATGCCATCAAACAGTCGCTCATCGCTCTAGTTCTCTTCATCACCTATGTTCTGTTTCAGCCTCCAGCCACACTCCTAGTGCGAAAATTCGGACCTCGTTTCTTCTTACCGACTATTTGCCTCTGCTGGGGCATTGTCACGGTAACTATTTACTCAACACCCCTCCCCCCTCCCCGTCTCTCTTCTCTTTCCTCTCTCGCAAATTTCTAGAAAGGGATGCTTCAAGCTAACTGCAGAAAGATGTGCTTCGGCTTTCCTCATAGCTGGAAAATGGTGATCCTGCTGCGCCTGATTCTCGGCGCCCTTGAAGCCGGATACTTCCCCGGTTGTATATATACCTGATATCCACTTACTACTCTCGGTACGACCTGCACAAGAGATACGGAGCCTTCTTCGTCATTGGCATAACTGCCTCTGCTTTCTCAGGAATCTTAGCTTATGGTATATCGCGAATGGTGAGAAAACGTCACTTTCGTAAGGCCGGAGCGAAAGTTAAAAAGCTTACCTTGGGATCCAGGACGGTGTAGGGGGTTATGCAGGGTGAGCTCATGAGCAATTCACCGGTGAAAGTTATGATTGACCCAACCTTAGCTGGCGGTGGATCTTCATCATTGAAGGCCTTGTAAGAAACTCACAGACACCTATCTGCGTGTCCATCTTCATTGTCGCTGACTTGGCATCTAGTGTACTTGCGTTGTTTCTGCGCTAGGTGCCGTCTTTATGGTTCCCTTTCCCGATCAGTTGCTTGAGAAAGAGAAGTTCTGGCCAACCTTCCTCAAGAAAGAGGAAATCGAGTTTGTTGTGCGATGTATTAACAAGGATCGAAATGATGCATTTGCCGATGTCTGGAGCTGGAAGAAATGGGCTTCCTCTGGCTTGGACCCAAAAGTCTGGAGCTTCGCGCTGATCTTCATGTAAGTGGTTCATTCTCCATGTGAGGGTCTAAGTAATATATCCCCCCATCGACTGCCATATGCTTAACCTGTCATATCAAGATTTACCAATTCCCAAGGATACGCGGTGGCCTACTTTCTTCCCATCATTTTACGACAAACCCTGGGATTCTCACTCCTAAAGGCTCAATGTCTATCTGCTCCACCATATGTGTTCACTGCTGTCATGACACTTATTGTCCCCTGGATCGGAGACCACTATCACATCCGAGGCCCGTTATTGGCTGCCAACGCAGTCATGGGCTTGATAGCATTGCCAATCATCGTATGTTCCTCCCTTCTGGGTCAATATCTTTCCCAGCGGTGAAACTGATCTATCTACCCAAGGGTTGGGCAAAGGGACCAGCTGTTCGATACTTTGGCACCTTTCTTGTCGCTGCGTCGGGCAATGTGGCCACCCCGTTGGGCATGGCATATCAGGTAATGACGCCCTTCAACAAGTATCAAGTGCTTTGAATACTGACTCTGCCTCACCCACAACCCAGGCTAACAATATACGCGGGCACTGGAAACGCAAATTCTGTTCCGCAACCTTAGTTGGGTCTGGAGGTAAGTCTGACGGGCAATTGTCAAAGGCACCCCCTTCCTCCATCCTTTTTCCCGTTGAAACAATTTGAGATAGCCTCAAGTCGCTGATGCTGAGCAGGCATTGGGGCGATCACTGGCACCCTGATTTTCCGATCGCAAGACGCTCCTGAATACCGACCAAGGTTATATGGCTGTATCACCTGCAATCTCTTGGTCATCCTTTTTGTTTCCATCAACACCATGTACTTCCGACATCAGAATCGTCTTGCCGATAAGCATGGTGAAGTTCTTGAGGGTGAAACCAGCTTCAGATACACTATTTGAAGCGCATTTCCAGGTCACCGCCCATCATTCGCTCGAGAGTAGCTCTAGGACTGGTGCATTTCGGGGGCCTCTGAAGGTGGATAGAAGGACAAATATGTGACTCTGCTCAGGTAGACAGCCCCATCGGTGTCATGTAGGCAGCAGCACGCCAAAACAACCAACAACCAACGTCGCAAGTTTGATGTACAATTTTGTCGTCTCGTGTTCTTTTGTTAGAGTCTTCCTGCCTCCACTCAACATGCAGACCATGGGTAACTTTAAAATATTCACATGAAAAGGGACAAAGTGAAGTCGCACGTAGGTAGCTCACCGTGGACGGCTTGAAGAGGTAGTCATTTCGGTCTGGAAAGTACTTACTTACAGGACAAATCCGTGCTCCTGATGCACATATAAATGACCGGTCCTTATAAGTACGACTGAATGCATCACCCCTGAACCAAGAATGTCTCACTCAAACGAAGCGCAGAATTGATGAGACTGAAAAAAAAATAACTGACAAGCTTGCTCTCTGAAGATGACTTATGTCGCGACCAGCTGTTCGTTTGTGGCACGAATACCGCACTGCAATGCAAGCTACAATTGTCGCTCGAATCAGCAAAGACGGATTGGGTAGTAAATAGTGACCACAGCGCTCTACAGACGAAGGCCTCTCGACAGATTCGCTCGATGGACCTCAATTGGGCCCCGGCTAATATCAAGTAAGGTTTGAGGGGGGAAAGCCTTGTTCGAAGCTCTTGTCGTTCTAGAACAGAAGCCAAACAAAGGAATGCGACATTATTCAATGACTCCATCGATACTTGTTTTGCTCATATTCGTCCGAGCCTCCGAGGTCGTGCCCAAGAATCCAAATTGTCTCCTTCAATTCACCGCGCTGTAAAGCCACCATCAGCCACCAAAGACTGCCCCGTCACAAAACTGGCCATATCACTGACCAAGTAGGCAATGCTGTCTGCAATCTCCTGTGGCTCGGCGAGCCGCTTCATGGGGATCAGTGTGTCCTTCAACGCAGCCACTCGGGTTTCGAAGGTTTCAGCCTCTGCAAAACTGGCATACATGGCTGGCGTCAAAGTCTGACCAGGGCAAACTGTATTGACGCGAATATCTTGTGCTGCATATTCTAGCGCTGCATTCTTCGTCAGGCCGATGACCGCAAATTTAGAGGCTACATATGGTGACAATTCAGGCATGCCAGAAATACCCATGATGCTCGCGACATTGACAATTGCTCCACGACACGACGGTCTTCCACGCGGACTCGGGATTGGGGCTTGCTGGCTCATGATCTTGCATTCTTCTGAAAGGCAGCTGAAGACGCCTACGGCGTTGACACTCAGCGTCCTGTTCATGTCGTCCACCGACAGGTCACCAATCAACCTTCGAGGGTTGGATATCGCGGCGCAATTGACAGCATAGTCCAGGCGACCGAGCTGTTCTGCTCCAGATCGTATGACGGACCTTATTTCCAAGTCATTCGAGACGTCTGCTTGACAGATGACAACTCTTGTCTCCGGATTTTCTCTCGTAACCAGAGTTCTTGTCTCCTCAAGTCCACTTCGATCTCGGTCGCACAAAATAATCCCCCTTGAACCAAGTTGAGTAAAGAGAATTGCAGTCTGTCGTCCAATCCCGCTCGCAGCACCAGTGATGAAGCCGTTGCCAGGAAGTGTAAATGCCATCATCTGGACCACCTTAAATCATTATCCTTACTGATTGGGATTTCAGATGAGGTGAAGAGACAATCTAGCGCTTTTTTGGCTGGTGCCACTAAGTAGGTCACTCATGAATACAGCAGAATTCGTGCCGCCGCCCAAGTGCAGATTCACTGTAACTCCAACAACCGCACAAATGACGCAAGGGGCGACCAGAAATAGCACATTTCATACCTGGACAGGAATGTTTGGAAATCGCTTTCCGGTAGGTTACCGACAAGACCGAAATCCCGAAACTTGGAGGAGGTTCAGGGGATCAAGGGAGAAAATACTGGTTTTCGGTATGGAGAACTCCGGGAATCATTGTGATTCTGCGTCTCAGAGTCATAACAGATTTCTTCCGGCTCGAGAACGGACACGTGCCACAGGCCAAGGGAGAGCCTTCAACAACTGGGTGGTACCAAGTTGAGAGGATATCCAGGCATAGAACAAGTCAGTATACTGACGGGTCACTTGGGGAATACCATGGCGACAATACCGAAGCTGGCTACCTAGAAATACGACTAAATGGGTTCCGCGAGGGCTCTGCTCCCTGAGCCAACAGAGCCGTAAGGACTCTCCATGGGTTTTGTGCTCTTGGTTTAGGCGCAGTCCTGCGCAATAACACGATAGAGTCCGTAGCAGAGTCGAAGGACCGATATTCGGCCTAAGAACGTCGGCTCTTTCGAAAGCTGAATTTCTCTAGTCAGGAGGAGTAAAGTCATGTCAAATGGTGTGTGGCACAGATAACAGACTTCAAACGAAATACATATGTTCTTTGGATGTAACCGATTTGTATGTTCCAAATCGTTGTTGCCGTATCACTGTATGCGCCCGATGGGCCAAGAATATCTATGAGAGAGCCAGTGGCAAGTCCCTACTAAAAGAATTCGAACTTCCAAACTTCCTCAACAACATTGAGCGCGAGTTTCTGCAAAAGCTCGAGTCTCTGGTTGATGAGGCTGAAGGCTTTGGCGCTGCGGTTTCCTCGGAGATCTCGACTTCCGCATCCTTTCCTAGAAGAAATGAAATCCGCAATGACCGTTCCTGTGGGATGGCTGTATATAGCTCTCTGCTTCTGTGAGAGGCCGAGTGTCTTACTGTGATGCGCAACCATCCGTCTCCGCAGGAAATATGATCACATTTTGTCTCGGAGGGAGGGCTCTAGCAGCTACAGGTCGTGCGACCAGCATTAGGGACACCGCTCCACGCTCGGGGGATTCAGTAACAAGAGACAAACTTCTTAGATATACATGGTCCGACGTCTGATTTGCCCGTGGGCGATAAGACTAAGTGACTGCTCGGGGCTTTTGGGCTCTTATATAGAGCCAGTTGTGCTTGCAGAACCACAGGAATCTTCATTCTTCTAATTAAATTATACTAACCTTGCAAGTCTTGTCACTTGTGGTAACAACTTTGGTATTTCGTTTTGTTCAAGTGATTATTTGGCGCAGTCTGAACTATGAAGCGCCCTCTCGACCTCCGTTAATTGAGATCGTACTGCCGCACACATAGGAAGAGCGCCCACTACAGAGCCAGGCAATAGCTTCAGCAATCTCTTTGGGTTCTGCAAACCTTCTCAGAGCGACAATATTCTGGGCACCTTTAATTTTCTCCTGATATTCAGCGGACAGGGTTCTGTTGATATTTGTCTTGACACCTCTAAATTCAGTAGGAAGATCGGAGTCAGTCAGTACAGAACAACAAGGAATCGGGAGCACGAGGGCGAGTCTTACCCGGGACAAACTGCATTGATGCGTATTCCTTTCGGCCCATATTCCATTGCATCTGACTTGGTCAGCCCGCAGACGCCGTGCTTGAATGCCGCGTAGGAGGGGAGGCCCGGATATGGAAATAATCCAGCCATGGACGACACATTGACTATGACTCCCTTGACAGGATGTTCCGAGTGCTTGGGCTTGACAGGCTCTTGTTTCAACATTGCTCGTAGTTGTGCTCTCTCGCAGAAGAACACTCCTCGTAAATCCACCTCGTACTGTAGGTCGAAATCACTCGTCTTGACCTCTGTCGTGATGCCCCCGAGCGTGATTCCTGCAATGTTGCAGCAGTAATCAATCCTTCCAAATTTGACAATTGCCTGCTCAACGCAATTATCCACTGAGTCTTCACTCCTGAGGTCTGTTTGAACGGCCAGGACGACCACATCGGGCTGATCTGCCGCTATCTCCTCCTTCGACTTTTCAAGGCCTTCGCGGTTTACATCGGCAAGAACCAGTCGTCTGCAGCCCTCCGCCACGAAGAGTAGAGCGGTCGCCTTACCGATGCCGGACGCTGCCCCCGTGATTAAGGCAACCCCGGTCAAATCCATTGATGTAAAGTAAGCTTTCCTTTGTGGGTAAACTGCGCGAATCAAGATCAATATGTTAAGTTGATTGCTGATCCTTGGTCTTTCGTCTTTCAGTTGAGAGACCATGAGCCATATAATCTATCAGTTTAGCCGAATCCTGGGACCAGAAGTAAGAGCCGAAACCGAATCCAGCGCTCCGCAATTGTGTTTCAGGTTTGCCGACTTTCCGCTAATTCCGGGCGGTCATGCCACGTCTGCCAACAGTTAGAGTTATGTATAATACGTCAAGAGAGATTGCGGTCTGAGTGGTGAATGTAGAGACACAATTCCCCTGTTTCAATGGCATCAGCTGAAGCGATCAAAGGCAAGGTCCTTGCCATCACCGGAGCAGCCTCGGGCATAGGGTTTGCGACGGCTCAGTATTTAGCGGGAAAGGGTGCCATCCTATCACTGGCAGACGTTCAAGAGCATGCACTGCTCGATGCGGCAGAGTCCCTTCGAAAAACGTACCGAGTCCAAGTCCTCGAAAAAGTCGTCGACATCACCAAGCCAGAAGACGTCGATAATTGGATTACGGCGACCATCTCTGCGTTCGGGAGGCTCGATGGTGCGGCCAACATTGCGGCCATTTTCATTGAGTCGACAGCCGATGGTGGTATCGCCAAAATGACTGACGAGGTCTGGCACAAAGTCCTCGGAGTCAACTTAACCGGCTTAATGCACTGTCTACGGGCGCAGTTGAGGGCCATCTCAGATGAAGGAAGCATTGTGAATACCTCTAGCGTTGCAGGTCTCTTGGGGTCGGCACAATTTCCCGCCTATTCCGCCAGCAAGTTTGGAGTCATTGGCCTAAGTAAATGTGCAGCTCGGGAAGCTGGGGACAGGAATGTGCGGGTAAATGCCATCGTACCGTAAGTGCACATCTATCCGTTCTCGTTCTGCTCGTTGCCCTTAGTTCCTCCCTTCCTCTCGAGGGGCTTTACATGTGAGCATGGATTAACCTCAGACCGTACAAGCTGATAGGGGCCAAATAATTACTCCTATGGCGGAAAAAAACGCTACCCTCATAACTAAGCCTGGGTTCTCTCAGCCAAGAGCGATTACCAGACCAGGGAGGCCGGAGGAAGTTGCCGCCTTAATTGCGTTCCTCCTGGGAGACGAGAGTCGCTTCATTACGGGCTCGACGTATCAGATTGACGGTGGTAGGATCTGTTGAGATAATCTCGTTCGCCTCATGGCTCGACTATAGCGATAGAATAATCTATTCACAAAATAATCCTAGCCTTACCATCGGACAAGGCGTAGAGCGCTATATAGTCGGGATATCTTCTCAGTAATTGTTGAATTCAGGGTTCATTTTGGACATTTCCTTTGTTCGACTATCGTTCTTGGCTACTTGGCCATGGCCCTTTTCATTTCTGACAAAGCCTCGTGAAGATCTCTGGACCAATCACAGAGATCCTCGACAGCCTTGTTGCGAGGCTAGAGAACACTGGCTCGCTGATTATTTCACTAGAAGCAACAGCCTGTTCGGAAATCTCTCGCCTCCGACTATTCGATGTAAATAGCGAGTGCCCTATTTATTTTATAGATGCGTTGGAGTAGCACTCGATGCTTTCCCACGCTGTTTTTTTATGAGAAAGACACATATATATAGCGCCCAGGGCACCTATTCTCTTCACAGAGAACAGAGCTCTAAATGCACTCGTTTGACGCGCAAGTTCCCAGTCCAACAGCAGTTAAGGATGTAGACTCGCTTTATGTTCGATAGTACCCTAACCTTGTGGATAATACCGGCCTGATGTTGATAAACATACCGTACAAAATGATGTATCCTTAGTAAGACGAACTAGCAGGCAATATTAGCGGGGCAGTACCCTCAATTACTTCCGTTCTACATATCTGTAGCCCCATATTGAGAGTATAGGGACTAGAGGGTTCGTGTTAACATGCCATAATGTCAATGTCGTATCGTGTCTGTTCTATCTCAGCGCTCTTATTTCTCTACCTGAACCGGAGACTCCGGCCTATTTGCCATGGCGTGGTCGAAGTTACAACTCATCACTTCGAAGACATTGCCCCAAGGATCTTGCAAATAGACCGCCCTCTCCTTTGATCCAAACATGTTGACGGTATCACCGAATTTCTTGCCGCCGGAAGCCACTACCTTTTCGGCCACGAGGTCAGGATTGGGATCAGTAAAACACACGTGAAATACACCGCCACGAGTATAATCAAACGTTGCGCATTGTGTCATTTTGGGTTCGACGAATTCGAAGAGCTCAAAGCCAACACCATTCCCAGTCGTAAGCAGTGCGAGCTTCAGAACCTGAAGCCTATCATCGTATATTTTGAATATTACTGAGTCGGGCGTCTTTGATCGATCAATGATCCGGACAGATTCTCGCAACTTGCGAAATCCCATCACATCAGTATACCACTTCACTGCGGCCTCGCAATCTGGCACTGCAACTCCAACATGGTTGAAAGAACGGTTGTAAGAAGGAATCTGGCCCTGTGGATAAAGAGTGTTAAAACACGTGAATAATATTTGACAGCAGCTAGGTATAGCAAAAAGGAGCGAAGTAAAGGGGCCTCGATAACTCACGGGAAGAGACATTGCGAGGGAGTAATGTGGAATGATAGTAGGTTTGCTGCGCTCACTGTAGCTCGGAAATGTTTGTTGGGCACCCTTCCTGAATCATGAATGACCTGAGAATTACGTCGAACTGTGAGCGGAGGGCGTGTTTTCGTGGAAAGAGTGTGCTCGACTGCCAGGGAGATATAGGTGACAGGCCAGTTAGAATAGCAGAGTCTGGCCGGTCGAGATTTTTATCGAACTTAGAACATGGCAAACCCTGCGACCCCAAGAAGGTATCCTGTAGCAGCGGAAGCCATGGGACAGCTTTCTGGCCTATGAGGAGGTGGTCAAAGTGTGAGGTATACGTACGAGTAGGTAATTCCCTGCCAATCGTTCCCGCATTCGCCAAAAATTGTAGCTGGGCACGGTTGGAAGGCCCAGAATTCTGGGTAACGGAAATATCGGTACTGGAGGAACCCAATTTGACGACATATTATTACACCAAGTAAGCGACGACATCGTGGAATTGCGGGCATGGCTGCAGAAGAACAACTGATTGCAAAACAGCAATCTTGGCCGCGAAATGCCGAAACCCAATCATTATTGCGCTTTTCCGAGCGGACCGGTCTTGGACAGCAACTTCCGAATTTCCACTTAGACGTCCTACTGTCTCAAAGCAGAGTATTTATTGCACCAGTCTGCTTCAGAGATGCTTGATGGATATGCTCGCGGGGTACAGTATCGGAGCTTGAATATATGACCGTCGTATCATCATGCGTGTCTCTACCAATCAGAAAGCGGCCAAACTCGCGGGAGGGGAGGCAATACTGGCTGTGCGTCTTTCCAGGGATCAATCCTTGTGTGATGAATGTTCTAACCAGCGTCTTGGATAGGTGTTGCCAGAGAATCCCAGACCATGGTATCGCACGCCACACCTGTTGAAGCTGTATATTTTGCTTATGGTCCCTTGTCTGTCTCCGAGTACGGTCGGATATGATGGTATGTAATTCCATTCATCGACATGAGACTGTCAAGACATAACGAGAAATCACAGGAACCATGATGAACGGCTTGCAATCCCTAACGCAGTGGAATGACTACTTCGGCAAACCGTCAGCAACTTTGTTGGGTACAATGAACGCTATGTATCCTGTCGGCAAGATTCTGGGTGTGCCGATCGTCACTTACCTCAATGATCGCTTTGGGAGGACGTTTCCCCTGCGTATCGGACTTCCGTTCCTCCTTTTTGCAGCTGCGATCCAAGGCTCTGCTCAAAATGTGGGATGGTTCATCGCTGGTCGCTTTCTGGTGGGCATAGGTACGGTTTTTGTGGCCCAGCCTTCCCCAATCCTTGTCACCGAGCTGGCGTATCCGGTTCACCGCGGCAGAATCACCGGGATTTATTATGCCAGTAATGTAAGTGCTAAAGGTGCACCTGAAACGGAACTGGTCTTCAGCCAACTTACACCGTGGCAGTACCTTGGAACCCTGATAGCAGCTTGGATCACCTATGGCACCTTCAGGATGGCCGGGAATTGGTCATGGAGGATACCTTCCCTCCTTCAAGCTGCCTGCCCATTTATCCAGTGCCTCGGCGTCTATTTTCTACCAGAATCGCCAAGGTATGTCATGTTGCAACCCCAAAGAAGAGATTCGCTGCCTTGCCTGTAGTCTCGCTGACATGAATCAGATGGTTGATCGGCCACGGTAAAAGTAATGAGGCTCGAGAGGTACTGGTGAAGTATCATGCTGGTGGTGATACATCTTCCCCTCTTGTCGACTTCGAAATGGCAGAGATGGAAGCAAGCATACGCCTGGAGAAGGAAAGTCTGTCTCAAACATCCTATCTCGATCTCTTGCGCACAGCTCCAAACAGAAAACGCTCATTTATCTCCCTCACCATCGGTATTTACTCATACTGGGCTGGAGCTGGTATCATCAGCTACTATCTACACCTGGTCCTCAACACAATTGGCATTACCGCCGTCTCGCTGCAAACGCTCGTGAACGGCCTTCTTGCCATCATGAATTTCATCGTCGCAATCTGTGCGGGTCTACTTGTCGATAGAGCTGGTCGTCGATTGCTCTTCCTCTTATCCGCAAGCGGGATGCTGCTGTCCTTCGTTATATGGACGATACTTTCGGCCCGATTCTCCATGTCCAAGGACACAGGCTTGGGTAAGGGAGTTGTGGCATTTGTGTTCATCTTCTTCTTCTTCTTCCAGGTCGCCTTCGCACCTTTTTTCCTCGGATACCCGGTCGAGATCTGGCCGTATATGCTACGAGCCAGAGGAGTTTCTGTAACACTCTTCGGCAGCTGGGGCGGTCTCCTCATTGGGCAGTTTGTTACCCCAATCGGCCTTCTCAACATTGGGTGGAAGTACTACATTGTCTTCTGTGTCCTCTTGGCTCTTTTCTGGTTCATTGTATACTTCACCTTTCCGGAAACTCGAGGTCGCACCTTGGAGGAGATCAACGACATCTTCGAGGGAACCACGTTGAAGGAGGATTCTGAAGTCAGCGTTGCGTCTGAACCACAGGGAAGCGAGAAACGTGATGAAAAGGTAGAGGGTGCCCATATTGAGGCGACTCTAAAGTAAGCTCACAGGGAGCAAATACTGGCTGTGTTTATAATCTAATCCTCTTAAGGACTTGAATTTAGGAATTTTGATGAAAGAGAGATCTGACACCACGTGGGAATGTCTCAGGAGCGAATGGCCAGAGCGAACGGAAATGCGAGCGAATGCCAAGGTGCCAAGTTCGGTTGGGCCACGCAGCAAATTTCGCTGTGAACACACCAAGTTTAGCTGTATTATTCCATCTCTTAACCTTATTAAGTAATCTCACCCTTAGACCTCGCTGTCGACCTAATAAATTAATTATATAGCTTTTTTTTAGTGTTTTAATAACTCCTCCTCTTTACGTACTGAAATACCTGACTCCGTGCCTTGGACTACGCTAATTAGGTGAGTTAAGCATTGTGCGAAGGATAGGGTTTGGATCTATAGTGGAAGTAGCTAAAGTTAAAAGAGTAAAATATATCGTAGTTTTCTATCTTAGTGAATAACTTAAAGTTTATCTAAGTAAAGGAGTATAGTGTCACGAGTTAAACCCGTAGGATGTCTTAGTAAGAACCAGCGATGTCTAGATTCGACCGTATAGTTATATAGCCGAACGATATTACGTAATATTAATAAATATCTTAGCGAGTAACGCTAAGACTAAACTAGCGATACCTAGATTCGACCGTATAAGTCTAGGTATTAGGAAATAATCCATTCTAGTAATGACCTACGCGTTTTCTAGTAGCGTCTTATACTCCTTATAAGGGTTTAGCTAGGAATTTAGAGTAATTCGTCTAACTACCGTATAACGAGGATTCTAAAGCTAAGGAGAGAAAAGAAAAGAGAAAATCTATCTACTATACGAATAAAGGAAATACTTCCTAGCCTCTCCTATAGTAGATTAGTATAGTTTCCTAGGAGATAATCGATAGAGAGGAATTACGTAGCTTCGGCTATATAGTTATATAGCCTAAAGGTATATTACGAGTAATCGCTCTAGAACGTATTCTAGAGCTTTATACGAATTTAACTCGTAATATTACTTCCTTCCTATTACGAATTAAATTCGTATAAAGCTCTAGAGTACGCCCTAGAGCGATTACTCGTAGTATACCTTTAGGCTATATAACTATATAGCCGAAGCTATATAATTCCTCTCTATCGATTATCTTCTAGGAAACTATACTAATCTACTATAGGAGAGGCTAGGAAGTATTTCCTTTATTCGTATAGTAGATAGATTTTCTCTTTTCTTTTCTTTCCTTAGCTTTAGAATCCTCGTTATATAGTAGTTAAACGAATTACTCTAAATTTCTAACTAAATCCTTATATTATTCTAAAGCTTCCTATCGTACGTAGCGAAAGAGTACCGCGTACGAAATAGATAACGAATAGTAACTAACGGAAACCGTTCTAGTGTAGGCGGTAGAGCTATACTAGCTTTTATAGGCTTAAAACTAAAGGATAATAGTACTCGAGGATTAACTCGACTAATAGAATAGAGTACGAGCTCGTACGCCTAAAGTAACGACTTCTACGACGGCGAGCGCTATATAGAAATTTAATCCTATACGACGAAAGGCTAAGCTCTCCGAGCTAGCTAAATTTAATAGAAAAAGATTAGAGTTTCGGTCGTAGCTTACTTAAGCTTAAGCTAAGTTAGCGGTCGATAAGTAAGAGGAAATCGAAGTCGTACGATTTTAGTATTTCTATTGTATTAGGGCTCGAGGCGCTTAGTTATGAGAGAAGAGAGAAGGAGCCTTAGCATGGAAGAATAAGCAAGGGAGGAAGAAAGTAGACGATCGAAGAGATAAGTAACGCGAGGACGAGTAACCTAATATACGCGAGCTTACGTTAGATATTAGATAGTAGTTATAAGAGTATAGTTTATAGAATTAAGAGCGTTTTTCCTTCTACGAGTTCGGCTATATAACTATATAGCCTAAATTTTAGTAGTAGTAAC